AGAGGGGCAAAGAAAATCAACTGAAGTGTTAAAGGCTAAGTCTACTCCAAAAATAATTTGCTTTTAGTAGATGCAGAGAAGCAAGAAAAATGGAGCCCCCCAAAATTGAGTAAAATCAGAAAATGAAAAAGGCAGTTATGAATTTTTGAAAAAGTATGGGAAAATGGAAATCACTACACAAATTCCCAATTTGGTTGTCAGTTTGTGACATCATTGCCTCACTATTTATCAATTGCTTCATATATTTTTATCCCATTAACTCGTTAATTTCCCTATTTATCCTCCAAAACTTGATTTCCCCATACCTTTGCCCAGGTACAACAACAACAACCAGGTTATATGATTTGTATCATATTGCGTGCATGACATTTCACAAAATCTTTTATGAACTTTGAAGAATTGATACTATTTTCTGAATATTGTATATTCATAATCATTGATTCTTATATAAATAGTTTATCAAAATTCACATTTTTCATGATTTAACTGGAAAATGATTACTCTTCATTAGTGCATCAACACAAAAACATATTACTATCAAAATAACTTGGATGCTGGTGTGAGGAAATAAGATTCTTAGGGGGGAATTGGGAAATTTATGTTATCAATATAAAGAAAACAATTAGTGGATAGTGAGGCAATGACATCACAGACTCGTGAGTGAGTTACCAATTTGTCATGTGATTTTCAAAGTGTTTCATGTTATTAAAAATTCATAACTTTCCTATTAGTTATCCGATTTTGCTCAAACTTTTTTTGATTGGTTTGTGTGATTTTTCTGCTTCTATTGAAAATAAGTTATTTTCGGAGTGGACTTGCTCTTTAACTTACATGAGCATACTCACAAGTACACACACACAATAGGGTGTACCTTTAATTGAAAAGCTATTATCGGTGAGGTATGATTAGTCCTTTAGTTTACACTTGTGAGCATGTAAATTTAATAGCAGTTTGTATGTGTTTTTTAATGAACAAAAGAATGAATTTATACAAAGGGCTATGCATCGAGACACAAAGGGCTGATTGGTTTAACAGGGTTTATAGGAATATATACAAAATTATTATGCATTTGATGCATTTTTAATGTCTTTTCACTATGAGAACCTATCAAGTATTAACAGGCAACTGCCATCAGAGCTGAAAATTTCAAGACAACGATATTGATACGTCATTCCCTTGTCAAAATGATGTGACTGATAAACTGCATCAATTATACATTTACCTTACTTCTACTTCTACGACGATACTCAGCAGGATCCATAAGTCAGGATGTAGTGCTGAGGAATAAACTGTCTAGTTCTTGGTCTAGATGCTTGGTGGAAGCGCTCCCTTCAAGCCCTCCAGTGAAGTAGTGTCAAGGGTGATCTTTGAAAGTGCATTCCACGCAGTTACTGTCCGAGGGAAAAATGAGTTCTGGTAGAGCTGGGTGCGGGATGGGATAGCCAGCAACTTCTTTGAGTGATACTGTCGTGTGTTGCTGGCAATCATGGGTGCTGTGTAATCGTGTGCATTGATGGCTACTGTGTCGTTTTGGATCTTGTACATGAGGTGGAGGCTTGCAGCATTTCTTCTCCTTTCCAGGCTCTCCCATTACAGATGTTGAATCATGGCCGAGACACTGGCCATACGACGATATCTCTGGAGGGTGAATCTTGCTGCTCGCCTTTGTACTGCCTCGATTTTGGATATATGCTTGTTTGTGTGAGGGTTCCAGACCGAGCAACAGTATTCCAGATGAGGTCTAACAAGAGAGAAGTAGGCTTGTTGGCAGATCTTTTGTGAGGTTTTGCGGAGATTTCTGCTGACTAGTCCCAGCATCCGATTGGCTCGGGATGTGATGTTGGGCATGTGGCCTTGCCAGGACAAGTTGGATGAGAAAGTCAGTCCTAGATACCGGAGATCTGTTACCAACGCAAGAGGAGTGTCTCCTAGCGTGTATGTCGTGGTGATGGCTTTCCGACGTAGGGAGAATGTGATGTGGTAGCATTTCTCGGTGTTGAATTTCATCTGCCATGTATTAGCCCATGAATGCAGCCTGTTGAGATCTTGTTGTAGGGCTTGGCTATCAGTGACATCAGTGATCGGACGGTATAGAAGACAATCATCAGCAAAGAGTCGGATTTTGGAAGAGATCCCATCTACTATGTCATTGATGAAGGATATAAACAGAAGTGGGCCGAGAACTGTGCCCTACGTTACCCCAGAGGTGACTGGAACCCATTCAGATGACTCTCCATCTACAACAACACTTGTAACCTTTCAGTTAGGAACACCCTGATCCCATAGTGATGGAGCTTATGGAGGAGGCGGTTATGGGGTACACGGTCAAAGGCTTTGGAGAAGTCTAATGCAACTGCATCAATTGCTCTTTCTGGTCTAGAGAGTGTGCAACATCTTGAGATGTAATGATCAACTGGGTCTCACATGAATGGCCAGGACGAAAGCCATGCTGAACATCATTGAGAATATTATTTTCGTCGTAGTATGATATTGCTGAAAATGACATGTTCGAGCAGTTTACTGCAGATGGACGTGATTGATACAGGGCGGTAGTTGGAGGCCTTGCTCCCGTCTCCTTTCTTGAAAATTGGCAAGATGTTTGCAAGACGCCAGTCAGATGGTACTGTTCCTGTATCTAGAAATTGTTGATTCTTTTTTTTTTCTTCTTCTTCCTACAAATAGGGTGGAATTTGTTGACATTATTAATAGCTGATGATATACTTTATAGCAAACAAGTAGAATTAGCATTGTCTGTCAAGCCTATATTTTGTATTATTCTTCTCATTTTATGACTTTTTTTTCTTGTAGTAGAAAGACCACATTTGTTTATTTCCTTTGAAAATTGTCTCTCATTAAAACATGTACTAAAGTAGCCTGTACATAAAGACCACCTGCCTATAAAGACCAATTATCTTGTCTCCCTTGAGCAACCTTTATATACAGGTTTCACTGTACAGTAGTTTCCCACTTGTAGTCGGGGTCATAAGGTTTGTGGTGACGTCAATGAATATTATGCTGTGAAAGATATTAAATGTAGTGTGTAGACCAAGTTGAATCACTGCTATTATCAGAAATATATTTAACAAAGATAGTGTAATTAATGATGAAATATTAGAATTTGTATGTCAATTATGTATTATTGAATTGCCAAATGTAGTCTCTTGCAAGTAGCATGATATATTTATTCTTGCCGTTCATTGAGTTGCAAGGGTGTTGTGTATGTTGGATCTTCCATTTGTTCTGGATAGATGTGTTTTCAGCTGCTTTTATAACAACTCAGTATAATGTACAGGTACAAGTATGTTTGCCCTAATCTACGGCCAAGTTGAGATTGGACATAGCAAAGTGAACAAGCAAGACTTTTTATGCCTCCGTTACGAAGTATCCGGAGGCATTATGTTTTCGGGTTGTCCGTCTGTCCGTACGTCCCGTTCTCGTGATCGCGTTATCTGAAGAACCAGCTGATGGATTCCTGCCAAACTTCGGTCATGTATGTATCTTGCAGAGCCGATGAACTGATTAGATCTTGGGGTCACGAGGTCAAAGGTCAAAGGTCACAGGGCTCATTATGTATGCAAAACAGCTCGTGATCGCGTTATCTCAAGAACCGATCGATGGATTCCTGCCAAACTTTGGTCATGTATGTATCTTGCAGAGCAGATGAACTGGTTAGAATTTGGGGTCACGAGGTCAAAGGTCAAAGGTCACAGGGCTCATTATATATGCAAAAACAGCTTGTGATCGCGTTATCTCAAGAACCGATTGATGGATTCCTGCCAAACTTTGGTCATGTATGTATCTTGCAGAGCCAATGAACTGAGTAGATTTTAGGGTCATGAGGTCAAAGATCAAAGGGTCATATATGTATATGAGAACCTGTTAATGGATTACAATTGAACTTGAATTTGAAACATTTCTTCTGTTTTGGTTTGTAAAATTGCTCTTTGACGGAGGCATCATTTTCGACTGCACGCAGTCGAAGTTCCATCTAGTTAATAAATGTTTATGTAATCCAGAAAAAGTGTACAGTTGTATATGTGTGTTTTGTAGCAAACTATTTACCGGTATAGTTTCTTAAGAAATTTATCTTCCACCAGTCATTTTACATACCGGTATACATACCGGTATACATGTAACTTTAAACTCCTTCAGTACAAAAATACATCACACACATTTGCATTGAATGCAACTTTAATAACACTTCTCCACTATTCAGACATACCACATAATGCACATGGCAACATACTTTTACACTTTTACATGTACATACTTTGTATGGTTAATTTTAGCAGACAATTGTCATTCTAGGTATTTTTTTATAACAGGCATATATTGTTAAATTGCAAGGAAAATCTTTTTCTCTATATCTCAATATACTATTGAGAATATGGTGCATTCTATGATGATTTCCAATCAAAAGCTGTGCTTGCAATCATGCTATTCTTAAACTGACAAATAACATTCATGTATTTTTTTAATATCAGTATGTAGATGGCCATATTGACCATTTCTTATCATCAAATAACTGGATATATGAGAATTTACATTGAACATTTAATCATTGCTTGATTAACATACTAATATTAATAAGACTATAAACTTGCACTTTATTGATCAGAAGTGATGGAAATATGTATACCTCTTGAGGACAAAGCTCAGGCCTAAATAGAAATAACACATGTGCATATATAATTGTAAGTACAAGTATGTTCATATTGTAAAGCTAGCAGAATTGGTCCGTTCCACATATGTCATTGTAATTCCTTATTCTGCTGACAACATGAATAATTTTCCATCACTTTGTTTCAGAGTTATGGTAACAAATTAGGAACGAATAGATTGGCATCTGGTCCAGGATTCGATTCAATATTTATGTCAGAAATACATGTTTTATTTAGTTTTCGGCTTATATAGAAATACATAGCCAACTTTGGTATTCAGTTGAATAAAGACAGCTCCATGGCAGAATTAAGTCAATTATTTTGTTTTAAGCAGTTTTAAGCAGCACAATATATTATTAGCGCGCATATTATGCAATGCGTTAATTGCACACTATTTTGGATGGACGATGTGACATCACAATGCTTATCAGTTAGTATATTTAATACCAGTACCTTAAATAAAGTAGGCTTGCTAAAGTAAAATACTTGAATAAGACATATAAGCCAAACGCTAGTATTGTAAAATACTGACTTAATGTGCATACTGAATTGAATTAGGCCCTTGGTGCTCAATACATAAAGCAAAGCCAGGATCAACCTGACTTACATGTATGAGAATACCGGCCACAGAATTTCAATTTCTTCACACAATATTGGTGTTCTGCCGAACTCGAGCTCTTATAACACGTACAAACATTTAGCTGCAATGCAATAATACAAAACAAACACAACATAGTTGTCCATGTGACAGGTATACAAATTATATATAAAAATATATTGAAATTCCTTTTATCCTGACACATTCTTTCTTAATCAAAGAAAGCAACAAGGCAATCATAAACACAAAAGAATGTATTCAAGCTTGTGACTGTCCATGAACCTGTGCCTACGCATCCAGATTCATAAATATATGCAGTACATAAACATGTACATAGCTGATGAAATAAGGTATCTAAATTGCAATAATCGATAACAGAAACTGGATGCATGTTTTTTGTAATGTCCAGCTCCTACTTGTATATCACAAATGAGAGAATTATTTGGATCCTATTTTTAATTTCCTCTGTGACTACACAGAAGGCAGCATAGTACAGCCACAGAGATGAATCTACTTCCAAATACATCGAATAAATGTTGTGCACTTTAACATACTGGCCATACATGTCACCATATCAATACACGAACATCACAAACATCAGTGGCTTAAAAGAGATACTGAACGAATGAACTTAAACAGCGCCATTCAACGTACGCATGCTCAACTTACCAACAGTGCGTAACCCACTGAACTGCGTGGAATGGGCTCGATCGCTCGCTTCCACACTGAATTGCCACAAAGGTATGACACCACCAAAATTACGAAATATATTTATTTCCAGATTTATTTCAAATAAGGTTGATGATAATCCACAATGCCTGCTTTTTGCAATTGGTTGAACAAAGATTAAAGAGGCAACTTTTGTTATTAGTCTTCAAAAGTAAACATTTACCTAGCTCCCAAATGATAATCCCACACCTCTATTGTACCCAATATTGATATTACATAGATTTGAAGACAAGTTACAAGTCTGCACACAGCAAACCCATAGGCAGGCCCGTCTAGAAATACCCATAGTCTCTCGAAGAGTCTTTGGGTGAGGGAGAAGTAAGATAATGACTTCACCTTATGGGGGAATGGATGGGGAATGCAAAGCAATATATAAGACCCCTTGGTCATAAAACTGAATGCTAATCCTGGTGATTGACAACACCTGGTGGGTAAACACCCGAATTGTGTCAAATTCCCCACGAGACCCCACTCATATGTGTCTTTGATTTAAAACCCATTTGCTTATAATCTCCCTGCAATGTTTCATATATCAACAGCACTAACGACACACAAACCAAAGAAAACTCAATGTATACGATAATTGGCCATTCTCAAATGCAGCTGTCTTGGAGTATAGGTGATGCTTAATATAGGGTAGCACATGAAACAACATTCACAAGTCCGCAGATCTGCTTTGTGCATGGCAATCATGAGCTGCCACACTCGACAGACAGTTGATGAATTTGGGAGTGAAATTGCTTTACGGACTTCACATGATATCAGCCTGGCATCGCTGCAAGCTCTGCTTTGAGATGCAGGCAGGGGAGCTAGGATCTAGGAGTCGCGGGATAGAGCCATGATGGTGAAATGGACTTCATCAGGGTCTCGGTCCATGAACATCTTACACACTTTGGCAGCCGACTGTGAAAAGAAGACATATATAAACCAGCCATGAGGGATTATTGCCTGACACGTATTCTGTTAGACATTTATTGGTACTGGTCTATTCCAAGCGTTACAGAAAGACATTTTCAAAGATTTGAATATAGACATTTTAATACAGCATTTCTCAAATGGTGAAGCGCAAGGCTTGCTCACGTGGGCCAAATCATTTTTCAAATAAAATAAAATAAAATATTAAAATGTGTCTGATCTTTACTACTTGACACAGCCAAGACTGGAATAAATTTTTTTTTCCACAGGGGCTCTTCCCCAAAAAAAAAATGATGGGGGCTCTTTGTTAAATACAAATACAAGTCTACATTTGTTTACAATATGGAGGCCTACAGACACTGATATTCGAGCGAGAAATGCTGCATGCTAATCTTTAACTTCTATAGTTACATTTTATTGATATAAGGTTTGAAACTCAATATTGTGGGAAAGTTATAACAAAAAAGATAATCTTTACTTTATAATTCCACGAGGGCGATTTTTAATTTTGCAATCACCCGTGAGCAATCTGACAAAGGCGATTTTGCAGCTCACGGGGGTGAATCTGGAGTGTTGGACACAGCTGAAATTCAGCATACAGTAATGAAACTTACTCTTTTTTTGTTTAACTCGCTCGCACACAAAATCGATACACAGGATGTGTAATACTCAACCAAGAGACCTCAGCCCCCCCTCCCCCCCCCCCCCCCCATCATGACAATATCCCCTTCCCTCTATTCACTGCAGTGCTCTCTTGCGAATATAATGGGTAAAATGCACAAGAAATGGTGCGATTGCTCCTGCAATTTCTCAATATATATGCCATTGCATATGATCAGCACACAATTTGTCTTCTATTTTTTGTGTCATAATTTATAGTTATATTTTCTCATTCATAATTGAATAAAGTGGGCCTTGGTAAATTTTTGAAAGCCAAAGTGGGCCTTGAGTTTATAAAAGGCTGAAAACATCTAAAATTATATATTGAGCTTAGATGAGGTACTTTCACAGCATTAGGGTTTCCATTCAACCATTCATGAAATGTATGCAATACTGAATATATATATATATATATATATATATATATATATATATATAGGTTTGTTATGGAATCAAATTTTCGGTTATCGCGTAGCAAAGCTACTTAATACTCAATATATCGTAAATAGGAATCTCAACTGTTGTGAAAGCATCTCCTACACTATGTACACATTAATTTGTAGATTTTTATTAAAATGTCTATAATATTCATTTGGAAATATCATTCCGTAACACTGAGAACTGACATGCTGAGAAGGTGGCTGTGTCTCCAATAAGCCTTCACCTATGTCCAATGAATCAATGACCATGTTTGGAAGACTTTTGATCTTTGACCTCTTACACTCATGATCTAGTTTACCAATAGATACCCAAGTAAACCTTGATTAGAGTTGCTCCTATAATTTTCAAATTATTGTGATAATGACCGAGATGAGATTTTAGGATTTCTTCTTTTATGACTTAAAACCTCTTTCACCAAAAACATAATTCAGTTCATCCTTAGGTATTAAATATAATATTACATGACCCTAACTGCCAAGAATCAGACAGTTTGAAGTTGGCTTGGAGTCAGTTTGGCAGACGTATTACATGCTTTTAAATATTTGATCAAAGTCTAAATGTAATCTGTTCACTCTCTCAACTTATTGTACTAATGAATAATGAGATGGACAAACAGCCCAAAACATAATGTCTATGGCCTCACAGTCAAGGAACCATTATTGTTTGTTTGTCCTTGACTTCTTGGTGGTACAACTCTTTCTCCTGCAACAATTGCTCCACGGTAGTCTCCTACACTAACTGAATTCTTCACTACAAGTCTGGCACAATCACTATTATTTATACTTAGCCAAAGCCTAACCCTAACCCTAAATTTAAATCTAAAACCCAATTGCAACCAGAACCCTAAACTGTTGATGAGAGCATGTAGCATTGTTGTCTTAGCAGCTTAGCGTATATTAGAGCAGCCTTGAATGTACATACCTTGAGGAAGCCTTCCTGGATGGGTCCATGGTTAATAGGGAACTTCTTGTTACCATCTAGCTCATAGACGCAACCATCCTTCTCCACCAAAGCTATGAAATGTGGACACACATCCTCCTCTGCTTGAGGTGCCTACACACAATAAGACATTAAAGTATAATAAAGAGAAGGTGAGTTCTGGGAAGAGGTGAAAATTAATTTGTGAGCGTTATCATTATATTGCGCAAGTGTGGATTGTGGAAGAACATCAGATAAAAAATGTTCCCTGAAAAGCAAGGCTCTTCAAATGCCTTGATATTCTAAATATCATGGCATGTAACATCATAAAAATCGGGACAGATTTTTATGCCACATGTTCGTGTAGTTCCATATACATCTTTCTGTGTAAAGTGCTTGTAACTTTACCAAGACTGGGCCAAATTTCTTATCATTTTGATGATTCAAACCTTTTCCGATCGATTTCACAACGTTTCTTTCACAATGCAATTGCGTATCCGGAACTCAAATTAAGATTTGTGCAAGAGTATATTTCGTCCCAGATGTCACTCGCTTCACTGAGAGATTTTTATAAAAACTGATCATTGAATCAAGCTCATAGCCTATGAGAATAGGGCTATTAACTTGCATATATTAAGAGAAGACTTCCTAAAGGAGAGATATGAAGAAATCACTACAGGCAGGTATATATGCAACAACAAACCAGAACCTCTCGCAAATTTTGTGCTCGATTCAGATTTACATCATTTTCATGCTGTTACATAATTGAATCATAATGACATGACAATAAATTTTAGAAACTTGTGAAAGGTTCATGTCAGCAAAATGTGAGTTCACATAACATGTTCAATGAGAAATACTGTTTCACAGGAAACTAAAGTGCAGTATTGATACAAAGAGGGTCTCTGTATACAGGTGGTCAATCACCAAAGCAGGTTTGACTGTAATATCTTGATGGTATTACCTCAGTTTGGCCCTCCTGAGCACTCTCTCCATGAGCATGACTGATGCTTTCATTGCATTCTAGTTTCTTTCCTCTCTCCTCCGGGGTCATGTCTTTGGTCTGCTCGTAGAATGACTTCAATGTATCATCTGCATGTATCAAGGAACAACGTCTGCACATTCAATCTTCATTCTCATTTTACAATCATCATCATTTTCAGTCATCACACAACTATGTTGTAATATTTAGCGATAGTAAAAGTCACATCATTGGCCTCTAGCTGCCAGGTCTTCTCAGTGCATGCGTGTGTGTCATGCAGTATGTCAAGCTCAGTTGATGGTCCACGATGCCTGGCACTCAATATTGGTCTCGTTTTTTACTCGTACAATATTGAAATAGCTCGAGCAATAACTTGATAAATTCAACTTTGAAATCTATAGATCGGGGAAAAGTAACTCTGGGTATGTTCATCGACTTTAAAAAAGCATTTGACACAATTAATCATAATATATTACTAGGTAAACTATCTAGTTATGGCATTTGAGGGTTACCTCTAGAATGGGTTAAGGATTATCTCAGTAACCGATTTCAGTTTGTTCAGTGTGGTCAAACGTTATCAGAAAGGAAAAAGATAAGATGTGGTGTTCCACAAGGATCAGTATTAGGGCCAACTCTGTTTTTAATCTATATAAATGATTTGCCAACTGTTACTGATTATTTCAATTTTCGGCTGTTTGCCGATGACTCCAATCTATTTCATACTTTTTCTGCTGACCGGGGTGAAATTGATGTAAATGAAGTGAATAACAACATACAGAAGATACATTAGTGGTGCACTGCTAACAAACTTACAATTAATTCAATGAAAACTAATTTCATGTTAATATGTAGTAGGAGGAAAAAATAGGTATAAATGGTAAACTAAAAATCGATTTTAAAAAATTAAAGAGGTTGATATTGCCACTTTTGTTGGGGTTCACATTGATAGACATATGTCTTGGAATAGTCATATTCGTTTTGTAAATCAGTGTATTAGAAAGAAAGTTGGTGTGCTATTTAGATTGCGGCATTTTGTTCCTAGCCGTACTCTGATATTATTATATAAAGCATTTATACAACCACACATTTCTTACGGAATAGAGGTGTGGGGAAGAACTTAGAAGACTAGCCTAAGAAGTATATTATATTCACAGAAAATGGCAGTTCGTGCCATAACATTTAGTGAATGGAGAACTCCTTCAGATCCATTATTTAAAAGATTGCGAATCCTAAATGTGTATAATTTACATGATTTATCAATTTCTACTTTCATGTTTGATCTAGTCAATGGCAATTTGCCTCATATTTTGATAGAGTACTGTGACATTTAGAACATAGCTATTCCACAAGACAAAAAGAAGGTGGACAATTACGTCTTCCAAAATTAAGAACGACACAAGGTCAATTTTCATTGTCTTTTGTGGGCAGTGAATTTTGGAATAGATTACCTGTTGATGTCAGATTGACAAGGTCTAGAAATAGGTTTCGGAATTCTGTTACAAGTCATTTGTTGAACAAGTCATGAATGAAATATCAAGTGTACACAATTCATAATTCATATTTTAAATTATTAGTTTGTATATTGTAAGACATTGTTGAGTACTGATTCTTGTTTGTTTTTTTAAGTATCGATTGTAAAAGTAAATTCATTATTTTTTGTTTTGTTACGTTCTCTAAACTGATTTGTACCAAAATACTTTGTTTAGCTGTTTAAGGGTTAGGCTCGACTAGCACATGTGCTATTATCTGGCCCCTTTTACCAACCAATAGTTTCTCTTCCTGTATATATAAGTTATTGTATGAAATGTATGAAAATGTATTGCTGTTGGTAAAAAAATCAAATCAAACTAAATAATAATATACATGTAGTATTAATATACATGTAGTATTGTATCACACTTAAAGCCATCCAATATTATATAAATATATCCCCCTCAAGCCTATCCAATACTGTAGAATTAATCAACTCTCTCCCTTTTATCTAGACTCTGACTCACCTTGAGAAATCTTATCTCTACAATTGAGGACAGCATGGAGCACACCGATAGTCCCACATGCATTGCGAATTGTCTGCTTCATGAAGTACACCCCATCATTCACTATCTGCCCGTCCTTCTCTATGTTCTCTTGTTCCGTTTTTGCAAAAGCCTTGTACTGAAAATGAGAGAAGAAAACAAGTAGATTGACAGAGTGTCTCTTTCAATTCTTTGAATGACTCGCGTAGTAAAATAGGATTGTATATTTTTTCACATGTGATTTCAGATGCATTTTTGAAAATGACATTATAACCCAGAGCAGGGCTCAAATAAATTTTACCCCTGGATGTATAGTTATATCCAATCAGAACACAGGAAACCGATCAACCATACAACCATGCAACTATACATCCATTCAATAGATGTAATGTATAGTTTTATCCAATCAGAACACAGGAAACTGATCAACCATACAACCATGCAACTATACATCCATTCAATAGATTTTATCCAATCAGAACACCAGAAACTGATCAACCATACAACCATGCAACTATACATCCATTCAATAGATGTAAAGTACAGTTTTATCCAATCAGAACACCAGAAACTGATCAACCATACAACCATGCAACTATACATCCATTCAATAGATGTAAAGTACAGTTTTATCCAATCAGAACACCAGAAACTGATCAACCATACAACCATGCAACTATACATCCATTCAATAGATGTAATGTATAGTTTTATCCAATCAGAACACCAGAAACTGATCAACCATACAACCATGCAACTATACATCCATTCAATAGATGTAAAGTACAATTTTATCCAATCAGAACACCAGAAACTGATCAACCATACAACCATGCAACTATACATCCATTCAATAGATGTAAAGTATAGTTTTATCCAATCAGAACACCAGAAACTGATCAACCATACAACCATGCAACTATACATCCATTCAATAGATGTAATGTATAGTTTTATCCAATCAGAACACAGGAAACTGTACAACCATGTATAGTTTTAACCAGTTTTAACCGCTTTCCTGGAAAAAGCACATGGTTGCATGCACATGTGTCCCCCTAAACTGTGAAGTAGTAAAAGTCATTCGGGGCAAAATATCAGACAAAGCCGCCTGATGGCACTTATCTCGCAACAGTAAGCCCTGATTTGGGTATGTTTTGGTTATAAAACTATACATCCATTCGTTGGATGTATAGTTGTATACCAATAGTTGTACATAATAATGGCGCTTTGGCCAGCACGTTGGAAACCTACAGTGTATACATGCTTTAATGTCTCATGAGTGCCTCGATGGATATGTATAGTTTCATACCGTAGTTGTATGGTTGTATGGTTGTATAGTTTTGGCCATAGCGAGAATTGAAAATTTCCAGCATTGGCAGCTATGTTGAGAAGTTTGTGATCTCACCTTATCATCATATGGGAAGAGTAATATGACGGCTAGTACAGGTTGGGGAACCATCATCAGTAACTCATCATCCAGACCATATACATCAGTGAAGATCCAATCCTTGGACATTCCCAAGTTGTGCATGTACTGGAGGATTTAGTAAACACACAAAAAAAAGAACTTTGTCAATGACCAATGATATGTGAGAAAGGGCAAAGAAGGTAGAGAGAAAGAGATGAATGACAACAACCATATATCTCAAATTTATTAAAAGTCGACTACGATTAAAAATATTCAAGATTGAGAGACAGGCTCTGAGACAGAGAGAGAGAGAAAACAAGGCATGATTTCTGACAAAATTGTCACAAACGAGAGATTCTGGCTGTCTAGCATTTGAAATTCTACTCAATTTAACACACTACAAACTGTTTAAAAAATACAACTGTTCTTTCATACACAGTAATTTGGATGAAAGTAGAATAATCAAAGAACCTTGTTAGTGAAAAATATGACTTTGATACTTGAGATCACTAAACATATAGGCCTGAATTCACAAAGGAGGTTTAAATTTAACCCATGTTTTAAACCCTCATTTACCTAACCCATGGTCTAAAATTAGCGCAAAATAAGCGTGAAACAGTCAGATGTCCAATATTAGATGCGCGCAAGGAACGCTTATTTTGTGCTAATTTTTAAACCATGGATTATGTAAATGAGGTTCTAAACCAAGGTTAAGCTTAACCTCCTTTGTGAATTTGGGCCAATATGTAAATCCCACTTTGGCAAACTGGGCCCCGTCTTACAAAGAGTTGATATCAATCGTAACTTATTTGCAATTGATATCAATCGTAACTATGTACATAAGAGATAGGAGACTGCAACCTTGCGATTGATTGGAGGACTTACGATTGATTTGGATCTATCGTAACTCTTTGTAAGACGGGGCCCTGGTCATTCAACTCAGGTGAAATTGAGGACAACTCTCCATGAATTTCCAATTTTCACTCTAGCACATTTTTTCCCTGAGGTGACTCCTCGAAGCCAGATATGAATATTTTTGACAGGAATCATATTTTAGCCAGATAAAAAGTCATAGTCTTTTGAATTTATGAGGACATTACTTACATGCATATGATTTTGGTTTGTATCAATAAGAGCCTTCCAATTTTCTTACGTTTTCATGAATATGTATAATCTATGAGAGTTAGTACTAGGCCAAATAACAAAAAATAATGTGTTTCTTGTCCAGGCTAAATATAGCTGGTCAAGGTATATTTATTCAGATATTGTGCTTTTTGAGTATACTGATGGAATGTATGCCAAAACAAATCAGTGATTTGTATCATTTTAGAAGTTATTTACCGGTATACAAAATGTATTTCACAGCCTTTTTTTCTTTATGGGGGGGGGGGGGGTTCTGAATGGTAAATAGTTTTTTTTAAAGGAGGCGGTGGCCAAAAAGGAAGCAGGCGGGGACGAGAAACACATCATTTTTGTTATTTGGCCCTATAATATTAAAGCGTGAAGAACTTAAGGAAACATAACTGGAAGTTAAATATTTTGACTTACCTTTGACATGACCTGTGGTAAAAGGAATAGTGGTAAAAAAAGAGGAAATTTTCATTAACGCCACATTCAACAATTATTTAAAAGGGAAATGTATGGGATGAACATATTGTGATATAGCCTGAACTAAGGTTATTCAGTAGAATCAGTAGGAAATGCTGTGTTTGCCCTGCATCAATAACTAAAAAAGCATTGGAGGTACAGAAAGAGGTTATTTTTTTACTTTATACACTATACCAAGGCTTTTGATATGGTAAAACATGAAGATCTAATCATATGGCTATGCTCTGTAGGTTAGACATTGATGGGAAGGATCTGTGACTGATTAGTACTGCCTTCTGAATTGGGAAAGCTACAATCATGATAGACCGAAAGATTCAGTTTCTGATGTCGACGATTGTTCCAATGAGATTACATGTGGCTCCACTGTACAAAACTCAACTGATTTCACTCAAAATCTGTACTTTAGTGACAATTGATGACACCTAAATAGCAGTAAAATACATTTGTTTTAACTTACTGATGTTTAGAATATTTTAAAAATTCAAATTGTAAGTCTAGTGTCAAACTTTGCTTACAGCTGCATCAACATGATTGTGTAGAGTCTATGCGATATTGTGTGGTGTGTATATTTGTGTATACTACTCGCCTCACAGCAAGCATGCAGTGCTAGAGGTCAATAAGCATTAGCATTGACTCTCTATGCTTTGCCTTTGCTGGAGTGGATCTACCCAGGTCGTAAGTTGTCCATAATTATTGCAACATAGCTAGTCTAGGCATACCGACTAGGCCTACTACATAATGTGGCTGCAACAAAAAATTAAAGGAAAAATATTTAACTAAAAGATAAATTTAAAGAGAGGGGGGCAGGGCCCCCCCCCCCCCCAAAAAAAAAAAAAAAAAAAAAAATTAAAAAATTAAAAATCAAGTAAAAGATAAATTCAAAGAGAGGGGGCCAAAATATTAAAAAAGGAAAATATTAAAAAAGGAAAAATATTAAAAAAGGAAAAATATAAAAAAAGGAAAAATATTAAAAAAGGAAAAATATTAAAAAAGGTAAAATATTAAAAAAGGAAAAATATTAAAATAGGGTCTAAAAGATAAATTTAATCATTTAAATGTAGGCCTAACCCTTTTTAATCATTTGCTAGCTCTATTTATTAAACATCAAAACACCCCCTAAATTACACTTCGGTGGAAGAACCCCCACTACCGTGCTGTCCGTCATGAAAATGCTTAGGATGGGGCCTTGTTCACGAGTATACAGTATAGTCGTAATACAGGCCCCAAGTCCGTGTTGTAGAACATGCAACGCCCTAGACAGAAATAACCATCTGATTTGGGTCATTTCTTTAAAGGCCCACTGCACTACTTGTAGCTACTTGCGCCCTCTATATAACAAACCATGCCTAATCGGTGACCATTGGTCCCCCATGATCCTCTTTTTCTTATGTTAACTGAGAGCTGAGTTGATGAGATAACCACCTGTCCAGTGACCTTGCAGGGCAGTCTAATCCCTCCTGTAAACTATGGCTGATACGCTTTAATAAGACTGACATTTGTTGACATTCCCCAATACAGATGGTAACCCAGAGATCTCGTACCGTGGGGGTAGCTACATGTAGAGCCAACAATGTACATCTTTTCGTTCAAAACATTTTCTCCCCGATTTTCTTTATTTAGATCTAATTTTCTGATTTCTAAATCAGATGTAAATTAGGTCGGTATGTCATTTGTCCTAATTGCAGTTATCAAAATTTGATAACTTAATATTAAATGTATAATTTACGGACTTACTTTATCCAATTTGTATCTCCGAACTGTGAAACAGTACGTTCATGCACTCGAACATAGGGCTATATGACCCGGCGGCCAAAATATTTCCGGGTCAACCTACCAAAACATAGCCAAATGGCCAATCAGAGCACTCGTTTCGTGGGAGTTCGTTGGTCAAGCCGGGCTGACTCGTACGTAGCTACGGTAGCTATTGGACGTTCGAAAAGAAAAAATGAATATTCATCAACTAAAACTAGGGTGTCTGATCGCGCACCCGATGTTGTGTGCTAAAATTCTTCCCATAGAGATTACACGCATCCCTATGCAGTCTACGTGCATTGCGCGACCATGCAAAAAAAGTCAAAAAATTTTTTTCAATTTGAGATTCAAACCTTTATCTGTTGTGATCCTGAAGGTGATACTCAATAAATGAGGTGTCATATGAAAGAGCAGGTGAATTCCAATATTTCCAAAGGGGCGTAGCCCCCGAAATTCTCAAAATATCTTGGTCAAAACAGCAATTGAAACATTGTGTCCTGGCTAACTCTGAGGTTTGTCACTTTTGAGATATGACGCCCCGATCGATAAGTAGTCCCAGTCCTAAGGAACAATTCTATGTGCTTATATTTTCGCTAGCCCCCAGGGATCACAACTGATAACAGTTTAAAAATACCCTTCTCGCTATTTTGTGGATCAGCTAATAAGGGGGCGTGCGCTCCACTCAGTCCAAACCATGGTTACATCGCGTACGAACGAAACCCCAAATTCAATTACACATTATAGTGGCCATTACTTCCAGGTTCTATGATGCGAATGGCCACCCATACTAGTCAATGGCACATATCGCGGAGACAGCGTGGCTCAAGCTGCAAGTCGCGCATTGGCTTAGCAACATGCGTACTTACAAATGCATACGCTTGTATATCGCGCGATACAGCTGTTTGTCTGAATTTAGCAAAACATCATCACTCTGCGTGGACGTCTTTTTCGTCGATTTTGACCAAAATGATATGAATATACCAGCGTTTTGGAGGGCCTGTAACTTTTGATAGAAACATCGTTGAGACTTGAAATTTGAAATGTATTATTCTGATAACATTTTTATTCAAATATCAAACAAAAATGGTGAAAAACGATCCCAAATTGAAAATTGAAAAATCGTTCAGACACCCTTCTAAAACCAAGACGGATAATGTTGACGACGAGACTTTCTCGGATTAATCATTAATTTAGGATCTAAATGAGCAAGCTATCGTAAGTCAAATAAGCTAATATGTTATTTTTAATTCTTATTATAATTGCAGCAGTTATGAGGATGTAAAGAGTGAAAATCTTGTTGCATATCTCATTCATCGCGGTCCGGTCCAACCAAACCATTGTTCCGTACAGTCCCGTACAGTCCCGATAGGCCATACTAAGTCTAAGTCTCTATATTCGGAGGTCTAGTGGAGCCAGACGTAGTCTCAGTGGAACAACCGACGACTAGAGAGACTGAAGTTTTCGGTCTAGCAACGCCCTTGCGCGGGGCTTATATCACGAGTAGATCTATATATCACAAGTATATATAGCGAGTTGAATAGGAGACTCGTATAGTATACTCGTAATGAGGGCCTTACTGCTGTGTTAAATTGTGCGCGATGCCGTAGCGCGGGGCCTCGATAACGAGTATATAAGTATAGTCGTGATACAGGCCCCGCTGCTGTGTTGAAGTGCGCGCGATACGCGGAGCTTAGATCACGAGTAGGTCTAGATCTATATAGTCTAGGCCTAGACTATAGTGAGTCGGCTGAAGTTTTAGACCTAGATCTAGAGTCTAGATATCTAACTTTAACTGTTAGATCTATAGTTAGACTCGATTCATAAAAATTCATTATAAAATTATAATCGATTCAAAACAGTTGCGGGGCCTATATCACGAGTATGCCGTGAAATCAGCTGAGTTTTTTACATTGGTGTTTGAAATGTTGAGAATCAATAGCACAGCTAATATACAACGGATAGTGCACCTCAGACCTAACTTAGTACTAAAGTTAGTAGAAGATGTGTGGGCCTAACTTACGGCTACGGTCGGTACTCGCGCTTGCCATGGACACGAAGGAATCAGATTTAAAATACAAATTTATACCTCTGGATTTGATTCCAGGGGAACCCAACGAACATCTCCTCCTGCTGCATCCGACATTCTCGAAAATTTGTCTCACACGTCTTTGGCGTTACTATAGATCTCGTAATATAACTCAGGAGAGCGAAAATTAGAATATAAGGGTGCAGTGCATATTATGCATGCAGTACTTTTGGCCTACTCAACAACGTAGAGATCATATCAGTGGTCAATACATTGATTGGGCTACTTTTGGCGACCAATAAACGCGACATTACGGATTCTGGCGAAGTTAGCCCGGAAAACAATAGAATCTGCGGTATGGTGTCTTTAAAAATATTTAAAATATTTTTAAAATGAATGTGTAATATGGGTAATAAAGAGAAGACAAACGAGGTAAAACCGTAAAAACTTTAATTAGAGTCTCGAATGTAAAAATAATAATAAATTATAGCAGAATAAATATTTTATATACTGGTACATTTCAGGCGTTGAAAACGTCGAATTTCGATTACAAGTTGAGATTATGATACACCCATTTATATAGGAACACGCACTTCTACGGAGTTTAGTTTAGCAAACGAATAGATGTTACATCTATGTCTTAACATGCTAAAAAATTACTACAGTAGTAATTTTTAGCATGTTAAGACATTTGTTAAAGAAATAAATTGTGATTGAACTAAACAAAATACCTTAGTTTTAAGATATTTTGGCCTGGTTTTCTGAGTTGCAACATATCAAAGCATAAATGCAAATTAGACTTCTTACGGTTGAGTCCGGTCCGGGCATTTCGAGTCATATTGGACAAAATGCGTTTTATACTTTGAAGGCTTTTAACACTATCGTATGACATTTTAACTAAATAATGATTGCTACCATATGAAAAAGTAAGATCTTAATCTTTACTCTCATTGTGTCACATGCCGAAGCAAAATGTTTTGGTCTTACTGTTTTAGAGTGAATTAGAGCTGAAACTGGCATAGGCCTATACGGTTTCGATCCGGGCATTTCGATTATAATTGAAAAAAAAATGCGTTTTATACTTTGAAGGCTTTTAAAAATATCGTATGACATTTTAACAGAATAGTTACGGAAACCATTTGATGGGTGAGATTTTACCCATATTATTTCACATGCCGAAGCAATTTGTCTGGGTCTTATATACTACTATAGTGCTTTATATACGGGGTTTATCCGCGGCATGCATGTAGAGAAAATATTTGGACAAATTGTGACATTGGGTGTCGCCCGGTGGGGTCACTCCCCTGCAAAGAGTGACACGTATGACCGTTACCACCAATGCATATAACCCCCTTTTGCGGTCAATTTCAAGGACATTTTGTGAAATTTAACCCCCTTTTTTACGTCAAAACAAGGACAAAATCGTACTTTGGAATACCCCTATTTATAAGATTGTAAGGACACTTTCGCAAATTTACCCCTATTTTACCATATTTCAAGGACAAGACTCGGCTCCGAGAATTTTTCTTCCCCGTTTTCTCTTTTCCCTTCCCGGTTTTCTCTTTTCCCTTTTCCTGACCCCTATTTATCAATTTCGGGGACACATGTGCGCCCCTATTTTCTTAATTTCGAGGAATATTTTGTCCGCGGACATTGCTTGAAATTGACCCCTTTTTCCGCGATTTGGGTAACGGTCATGCGGTCCGGAAGTCACATTGAGTGACCCCACCGGGGGGTGTCGAATCCCGGGGGATGGGAGGAGGGGGGGGGGGGGGGATATCCCCCAAATATTTCAGGTGGGGGGGGTGGTGTTAATTTGTTTTCTTCACATGAGCTGAGAAATGATGCAAGTTGAGCCTGACTTTGACACTGACGGTTGAAAGCTATAACACAACCTTAAAGGGATCGTTTAACATTGTTAAATCTGAGATCGATACACGGCCCTACGTGTTATCAGTGTCTGTGATATGGTGTAATATTGACTTTGACACTGACGGTTGAAAGCTATAAAGGTAATACACAGTTTTGGAAAATTTTGAAAATTGGGTGGATATAGTGATCGAATGTTTACAATTTTGATATATTTGGATGCCCCTGTGGATGTATTATAAGCACTAAAAAAATTAGCCCCTAAAACACTTTTGTTTTCGAGAAAAATTGAATATAAAAATTTACCGGTGCTCCCGGTAAATTTTGATAAATTTCAAATAGCGCCTATATGGCCGTACAATGGTAGTTGCGATCATGAAAATCTCAGAATATGTAGTTGGGATATATATTTTCCAAACAGGAATAGCTAATCGGTCGATTTTAGTCAAGAAACATTGTTTCATAGCTAAATTAATATCTTGATCTTGAGAGGGGGCTATACAACATTAAGAGTTTATTATTTATAATTTTGGATAATATGTAATAATTTCATAACTTTAGACTCGATTTCAACCGCGACAACGATCAATGTATATTGTAGGAACGCATATGCTTCCAATATGTTAATTTGAACCAAATTCATGACCCCATGCCAAAACTTTGTAATACTGTGAATCTCTATATCCTTCTATTGATTATTAGCAGAAAACAAATACAAGATTATTAACCTCAATTTCATCATCTTGAAAGGATATCACCAGTTGAATTATTTATTGGTGATATGACAAAGCTGAGAGACATATCGCAGGTAAAACCGACAATAGCCAAATTTGTACAGTGCTCACTTGTATGGTTTCCGTATATTAAAAAACATGTCTAGAAAGGGCACCTGGCTATGGTAGCCACTCCTTGATGGCCTTTATTGACAGGTTCATTGGTAATCTTGGTATAGAGAATTTTTTTTTTTTTTTAATTTTTTTTAAAAAACTTTTGAATAACCGGGCCTGGAGGAAAGACTACGCTCAATACTCGTGTTCTTCCACAGGAATAAGATGATGGGGTCTTAGTTTTGAAGATTTTTAAAAAGTTTTGAAATAAAACTACGCTCTAAACCCATGCTTTATTACTGGGTCTTAGTTTGGAAGATTGTGGGGTCTTAGTTTAAAAGGTTTTTTTTTTTTTTTTTAACTTTTGAATAACCGGGTTTGGAGGAAAGACTACGCTCGATTCTCATGCTTTATTACAGGGTTTTAGTTTTAAACAAATTCGACAAAATGTCCCTTCAAATTTATTACATTTGTGGGTAAAGTCATTATTACATTTGTGGGTGATTCAAAATTATTGCATTTGTGGGTAAAGTGTTATTACATTTGTGGGTGTTATTACATTTGTGGGTAAAGTGTTATTACATTTGTGGACGTTATTACATTTGTGGGTGTAACACTCCCCCCTCTCTCTCTCTCTTAATTACCCTTTCATTCACTCTCTTTTTACCTCTGCTCATGAGAAGACTTTGGGCATATTTCTGTAAATTTATGAATGACGAAGTGTAGCCATTTGGAGATTTCTCCTTTTTTTTAAATTAAGATTTTAGAAAAAAATGCATCCACACGCTTTGTTTTTGCTTACATGCATGTGCTTCTAAAAAGTTTATTTTGGAACAAACATATTCAATACATGACAAACAATCCACATAAACTCTGGCGACATAAAGTTCTAAGGGGTACAACTTTTCACAGGTATACAGGGCAGATAAAGAGAACATATTTGGTAAACATCAAACTCAGAATTCTTGTCTTCATCGTTATCATAACTTCTCTTTTTAACATCAAGCTGTAAACCTCTCCTTCATGTCTGTCCATGACCCTCTTCCCAATATTGATGTAGTTATTTTCATGGTCTGAAATGTCTTATTTTTCAATGCCTAATACCAACTGGGTCTTTGTGAGGATATCTCTTTATAGACACAGCGACTGAAGCCATTAATGCAACCTTAACCATTAAATCTTTAACAAGTTCCAACCTTTCAAATAAATTACTAAATATATGTAGGAGATGAGGGTTGCCCATACCTCTGAACAGGTCTCTTCATGGACATCCCCTAATAACCCTCTCGTAAACAACTAAACCTGTCTATAAAGACATAAATTAGGAATATAACCTATAACTCTAAGAGTGACTAAAATAGACAGTTGGCCTTTCTAGAAAGGTTCTAGAAAGGTTCTACAATGCATATTCTCTCTTTTAATACAAGGGAACCATAAAGTGGGCATTGCAGACAGGAATTCTCTATACCAAGATTACCAATGAACCTGTCAATAAAGGCCATCAAGGAGTGGCTACCATAGCCAGGTGTCCTTTCTAGACATGTTTTTTAAATCCTCTTTTAATATACGGAAACCATACAAGTGAGCACTGGTCAAAGTTGGCCATTATCAGTTTTACCTGCGATGTCTCTCAGCTTTGTCATATCACCAATAAATAATTCAACTGTATAATATACAACTGGTGATATCCTTTCAAGATGATGAAATTGAGGTTAATAATCTTGTATTTGTTTTCTGCTAATAATCAATAGAAGTATAGAGATTCACAGATTAAGGTTGCGTTATAGCTTTCAACCGTCAGTGTCAAAGTCAGGCTCAACTTGCATCATTTCTCAGCTCATGTGAAGAAAACAAATCAATCTCCTTTTTTTAAAGCAATCCAATTAAAGAAATTAAGACATAAATAACCTTTTTAAGAACTTGGTTAACAGTAGGAAATATCAATACAGAAACCATGCTTTCATCCCCTAAACCATACATATTGTGCAATAAGAAGTTACAGTTAGGTCAATCATTAATAGGCCTATACTCAAAACAGTTATGGATTGCAACTTGGACCAAATTCTTGGTATAATTACATCAACCAGACACAAAGCAATGCCAACTTGACAAGGTAAAACTAGATGTATGCTTTGCCTTCATCTGCAACAAAACAAGCTGAACTACATTCCTTCATTAATGACTAAATGTCAGTATTCTAGATCAGGAGTTCTACTAGAAGTTTATTACAGAATCATTAATTTGTCATATTGTGTCAACACATACACTGTAGCACTTCTTAAGAATTATGGAATTGATTTCCAAAATGTTAAGCAGAGAGATAAATATTATGCCAATCCTCTTTCATTTTCGTGTTAAAAGTCACATTAAATTACACAATTACACTAGGTTAATTTTATATCCCCTCCTTGTAGCTTCAAGGGGGACCCCATATTTGACTGAAGGTTCACAAGAGTTGGAAGTCATAATTGTCTCGCTGTATGTGCTACTCATAATGAACAACCACTTGCTCTAATCTCTTGGTTTCCAATGTTTTCTGACAAATGAATGTGTGCTTATTTTCTAGAGGTCATTATGAACATCAGCTGTGTTTCCATATCAATCTTAACACTACTCTTAGGAAATTATCCTTTTAAAATGATGTATTAAAAATAGCATAAGTTATTGTTTTTATACTCAACTAATAATTTTGTATTATCTTACTCATATATTAGTGACAATTTCATCAACATCTAAATAAAACTAAGAAAGCTTTCATTGAGAAATGATAAAAGTTTATGCACCAATGTTTTTTTAAATAAAATTCTGGGCATTAATACTAGCTACGAGTACAGCAGTATGACCCTTTCTTGGTGTACACATACAATGTACCGCGATGGTGATAAAATAACAATGCTGGATGGAGGGGGAGGGAGGGGGAGGGAGGGGGAGGGAGGGAGGGGGGGGGGGGGACTCTACCTCACAAGGGAAGGTACTTTAAATGTACAAACTAGAAGCATATGTACATGATTTACGACAATGTACAGTCACCTTTTTTATATCCAAGATTAAAATCAATCTACATATATCTGTCATTATACAATACTCAGTAATTTCTCAGACTATGTTAATAATTTATAACTATTGAAGAATATGTCCATAATAACTGTATGGTACTTTTGTGCTCTCTTAATGATACAGAGAATACTTTTATATCTTTTTTTACTAAGTACAATAATTATGCAAATACACACTGTCAAGCAATGGTTTGCTGTGACACATGTAGTGCAATATTGAAATACACATGTAGATCATTTATAAACAAGTTAATACAATCATGTACATGAGTTATGAACAGGTGCAACAAAGCACCTTTGTGGATTTTGTTCCCCACTAAATATACTTAATATCTTTAACTTTTACCAAATAGACCACTGAGTATGCTTGGTGGCTACTGCGCCCAGCAATATTGGTTTTATTATTTATACCCACAACATTGCCTCTGGCCATACATTTACAAGTTACATGTAAGTTCTGCTGCTGCATTAAATCTAAAAGTATTTTACATTGTCATGGTCTGAATGATGCTTAAATAAATTACAATACTGCAAGATGTGACAGAGATAAATGACTAAATGATTTCCAGACAGAAATAATTACTAAACTGACATCATAACAATACATCTTATAGCAACTAAAGAACTTCCATATAGAAAGCAAGAAGAAATGATTAAAACAAGGACATTCTACAACAATAACAACTAGGAGTTTGATAAAAAGCACTCAATTCAAATGAAAATATTGTGGCTATACACTTCAATGAATTTCAATGTCACCTCTATGATACACAGGTATTGCAAGTCAAATCCCACAGAATGGGTCTATAATAACTGCTTTCCTATACTCCTTTTAAAGAAACCTATACAACTAAAACTTCTCTTTGCATTCAGCCTAATGGTAATTGTTATGATGATCCATTATATGCACAGTGAATACAAACACAAAGACTCTCTACCCCCACAAATATTGTTGTCCAATCTGTCATAGATTTCAGTACACCTACGCACATCCTTTGTTGAATAAAATGATATCTTCTTTCTACGACATTCATGTCATTTTCTGAATGGCAAGTTTTGTTTGGTCCTAGAGCTCTGTGCACAGACTCTCTCCAGATGTTGGTCTGGAGTTAGGATCTTTCTGCCACACATCCTCCTTGATTCCCAGAGCCTTTCTCTCCACTTCATTCTCAGCCTCTCCTGTTGACTCTTTGCGCAACGGTTCCTTGTCTGGAGGAAAGAGCTTGTCCTCCTCTGCTGGTGTGACTTGAATATCCAGTGGAACATCATCGCTGAACGAAGCTTTGTTTTCAGATGCTTGAGAATCCGGTGTCTCGGCCATGAAACCACTGTCCATGTCCGGAAGAGGTGCAAAGCTTTCCCCTTTTGCAGGAGAGGGTTCAACTCCCACCCCTGTTGCACCAGTGCTGGTGTTATCTTCATCTGCGAGTTTCAAGGGAAGCGCCTCCATTTTATCTTTATTTCCGATCTCCTCTTCGATCTCTTCGATGGCTTCTATGAGAGCTGTCAAGTCAGACTCCACCTCTTCCTCATCGATAATTCTGGTGTCACCACTCCCTTGTACCACGTCTCCATCAACCTTACTACCAGTTGCATCCTCTAGAGTCACATCTTCAATCTTGACTTCTTCCTTGTTCTCTGATGACTCCTTGGTATCAAGGGTCACCTCTCGTCCTTCATCGCCTCCGTTCTCCACACACTCGTTGCTCTGGAACACAATCTTGGCTTCCTTTGTCTCACCTTCCCCACCTCCTACTTCATCACTGGTGACGGTCACAACCACCACCACTGTATCTTCTACCTCCCCACCTTCTCCTCCATCTTTCACTTTCCCATTGTCCACATCCTCTCGTTGCTTCTTATCTTCTGGTAAGCTCGGCTCGGGGGTGGATTCCTTACTCGATTTCTTCTTGTCCTCCTTCCCCTTCCTCTCGTCTTTTCCTTTCTTCTTCTCATCAGTTCCCCGTCCACCTTTCTCTCCACTCCCCTCCTTTGTGTTCCTGTCTCCCTCACTTTTCCAACCCTTTCTTCCATCATTCTTGCCCTTCCTATTGCCTTTTCTTCTGAGCTTCACCTTCTCATCTCCCTTCACCGGTCCTCCTCCTTCTCCTTCAGCTTTCTCCATCTCACTCTTCTCCTCTACCTCCTCCTTGGTCTCCATATTCTCAATGACCTTGATGGATTTTTTGAGTTGAGCGTTGATGCCCATCAGCTTGTGGCATGCTGTCTGGAGCTCTTGGCCAGACCTTGAGATCACAAGAACACCTGCTTGTCATAAAAGAGAGAGGGAACGTCCATTTAACTTTGATATCTCCAAAAGGCTATATGAGAGGGTACACAATGTCCCATTTGATTCATGCACAATACTGAATTTATGTTGATGTTAGCTAGTATCAAAAGGCATTTTTTTTTCATAACATGATCACTCTAGGTTAAAATACGGAGCCAATAGTTTTCATGAATATCCAGTATCTTGTCACTGCCACTCATAGGACAATTCAAGGACATTGGACCATTAAAAAGACAATGTTTGATAGCAAAACATCTTGGATGAAACAAAACAAATTTATTCCTGTGTGTACCTATAGCATGTGCACAAATACTGGAAAATACATATACTTGGGAATCAAAACACTCAAATGTTAAAGATAAATACCAGTTATGGTCATGCGATTGCATTGTGAAAGAAACGTTGTGGAATCGATCAGAAAAGGTTGATCATCTAGCATATAAGTATTGGTGTGTACTGCAAGGTTCTGGAATCATCAAAATGATAAGAAATTTGGCCCAGTCTTTGTAAAGTTACAATAACTGTACACAGAAAGATGTATATGGGACTACACACACGTGCGCGACACGTGCGTTTATCTCTCACAGTCCAATAGATAAACTAATTTACCAAATATATCAATTAGTAGGCGGTTTCCCGGCAAAATTGTTATCATCATGTATTAGTCAAAACATATTCTTTCACATGATTGGTAATAAAGAGCTTCCATTTCATTTTTTTTTAAATTGGGGCATTTCCAATACTGGTCTTTACCTTTAATGTAAATATGTTGGGCAATGACTGAATCTTAATCAAATAAACTCTTGTATATAAACTCATCACAGTTACATACCACTTCTGCCATCAGCAATTTGTTTACAGAGTAACGCTAGCAGCACATCCTGGTCATCTTCCTCACTGGAACCAAACAGCTCACCAGACCACATAGACCTGACCAACAATGAAAGACAGTACAGACCATTATAATAGAGAGTGACATTGATGGGAATAGGACATTCAAGACCAGTAGAATCAGTGCAACGTACTATTTTCAGTGGCAAAGAAACTGGGGGGGGGGGTCACTAATGGAAGGGGGAGAGGGAGAGAGAGAGAGAGAGAGAGAGAGAGAGAGAGAGAGAGAGAGAAAGAGAGAAGAGGGCAAGCAAAGGAATGAAGGGAAGAAAAAATGAGAGGAAGATGAAAGGACCACTTCCAACACCTTCTGCCTCATTGTTGGCTATGTTAATTAGCATATCATCCACCAAATGATACAAGAACCATCAACATCAAGTACAATTGAAGATGGGTGTCATGTACATAAATCTTAAGCTGCTCAACAAGCAAAACTAGACTGTTTTAAAGATAAGGTTGAGTACTGGTACTGGATTGCATTGTGAAAGAGTATAAGTATTAGTGTGTACTGCAAGGTTTTGGAATCATCAAAATAATAATAAATGTGGCCCAGTCTTGGTAAAGTTACAAGCACTATACACAGAAAGATGTATATGGGACTACACAAATGGTGTCGGGGTTACCTATACCTTGATTTCCTTATCTTTCCATGCTCATTACTCAGCCAGTTTATATTTTCTACCAAAATTGTTTGGCAAATGACATTTATTTGTAATCTTGAACATTCAGTGTAAGTTTTGTTTGATTCTGTGAGAATTAATTTTCTTTTTTTTAACCAGAACTCAAGTTTATCTTTAAGCAACAAGGTGATCATTATGTGTCTCATCATAACAGTGTTCCTCTTGGGAGATGAATGGCAAAATCCGATAAATGTATTTTTGGAAACAAAAGTTTCACCTGTACACGTGTAATAGCCTGAGAGCCCTTCTGACATCCCTGCGTCCCAGATGATTGGTCAAGGTGACGACGGCCGCTTCTGGTGTGGTGATTCCTGTGTCGCCCTCTGGTGACAGTGCTACCTGGCCGCTTTCCAGCTCCTGGGCTGCAAGGCTCAATTCCTCCTTGGCTGAACAGACCGGCACTGAGAAATCCTGGATCTACGATAGCAATATGTATTGTTAATGTACAGTTCTAAGAGCTGAAATGAAATGAACATTCTTCAACAAACATAGGCTATAGCTGTGTGAGTAATAGCACCTTCATTATTGGAAAGTTAAGTACAGAGTTCACAGCTTATCCCCTTTTAAACTGTCCTGTTGATTAATTCATACAGCACAAAAGAATAACTCAATTTAAACTTTATTTTCAGTTAAAAATTAAAAACTGAAATCACAACAATTGACTTTCACTAAAATACTAATCTCTGAATGGCTACCATTGTGTACATAGAGAGGAAGCTACATTGCTGATTGAAAAATGGAGGATTCTTGGTTATCCGACTGCTAAGAAAGCATGTGTGTGCTTTATAAGTAAGCAGCCAGGGGACTGACAGCTTCAAGTCCTCCCTAACGGACTTGGTAATGAGGATTAATGCCTTACCAAAGGAAACTAGCGCATCGACTTGGTTTCTAAACCGGAACCTCCCAGTTATACAAGACCATTGCTCTACCACTGAGCCATTATGCCTTGTTTCCTGATTCAGATTTGCTGTCAAAGGTAATTCCCAATTGGCATCAAGATCGCAAGACTATGCTCAACAGACAAGAAACACAGAATTTTGAAAGATTACATACTACAGTTTTCATATGTCAGTCCCTTAATCCTCTGGATACTAAACCCAGAAGACATGAACATGTATAATGGAATGGTGGTGGTTATTTTACCTGACTGCTAAGAAAGCATAAATGCTTGTAAGTAAGCAACCAGACGGCCGACGGCTATAGGTCCTCTCTGATGGACCTGGTAATAATGATTAATGCTTTACCAAAGGGCACTAGCGCATCGCCTTGGTTTCGAACCCGGGTCACCGGATTACGAGACCACTGCTCTACCGACTGAGCTATCGCACCTCCGATAACAAGCCGAGATCTGTCATACCAAACTCAAATCACTTTTAACCCAGCAACAAGGGAGCTTATCTTTATCAATTCTATAGCTTCGTGAACTCAGTAGCTTAAAGTAATTAACCAAAGTGATACATTATCGTATTTCTACCATTGAAATCTACCTCATGATGGATTGGGCGCAGTGTGTGGCTTAGGCTCCTCTAATACTTACATGTGAAACATGTTTGGCGCCCTCTAAAGAATGGATCAGTTTACAGTAGCTATCAAACAACATCCTCAGTTGGCAGTAGAGACGGTACAGGCGACGACATAGCTCAATTTGCTACAAACAAAATATAAAGATAAACAACAAGTTATACAGGGAAATGGATTTATAAGAAAATCAAGGGTTGAGAAGAACTTTCTCATTAAATGGCTTTCTATTCAAGAACTTTCTCAGATCATCAAGGAAATGAAATAGCAACAAACAGAAATGTGATCATTATAAATCCCTGCCTATTGCTTTTGTTCTGAAATGGATTATAAATGATGGAGCAATATCATTGGACTCAGATTTCCATGCATTTTTAGATACCCATAGAAAATAATTTATGACTCACACTAATTTGACTTTAAATAAGGATTTACATATCAATATTCAAATGGACATGCTTTGCAATAATTCAGGTGTTTTAACAAATTACAGATGTATTTGAAATTTGACTCCTGCCATTAATGATTTGTTCTTTATCATCTCTTCAGTACACACGGCACTATATATTATGTATATGTTTTTTTTGTAACTTCTAATTTTCTTATAAACTGGACTGCGGAACTTTATACAAATATTTGAAGAATAAACTGTGTTGAAGCTTGTCGTACAATGTAAAGCACTGATGACAACCAGATAAAAGCCTGGATGAAGTAAAGTCTGCAATGTGGGTATCAATGGAAACTTGTTTAATGATATTATAAAGATTTTGCATGAAACTTTTCATTGTACTTATGATAGGAACCTCATTTGAATTAAAAGTGTGCACATGAGAATATAAAGGTTATCTGTGCCAAGTGTTGAGGTCTGCCTAGATATATACTGAACACTACATACACAAATTACAGATGAGATGTGAGCAATTAAGTTATAGAGAACTCTAAAAAAGCTCTGAAAAAGAGAGAGATAAAGGTCTAATTAAATACGTAGCTCTTAAATTGAAGGAAAAAAATTACACTGCTATATAGGTATGCAGTCAAAATGTGCTTTATTATTTAGGAACCAAATATGCACTTCATGGCATATGGGTGAAAAAAAACACCAACACGGCAAAGATATATGCAGTTTGAAGTCCCGACAGCTAGGGTGATAAACATATTATAAATCAACAACTGTAGCATTTGGAAAAGAGGATAAAAAAAAAATCATGCACAATTTCACACATAGCATATGAAGCATACCGTACTGAAAATAATGGTCACACCAATTAAAAAATAATGAATCCTTCTACACTGCATATCACTCTATAAGTACCGGCTATACAATCAACAGAATATCATCAGTAAAGAAACAGTACATTATTTTATGCTCAAAAAGAAAAAAAAAGACCAATACTATACTTAAAAAGACTGCAGTGCAAGATAGAATGCTGTGCAACATCAATAATTTTTAAAAAAAGAAGACTTTTTTTAAACGGTAATCAAAGTCTGGGTAATATATGCATCTCATAGAAAAGATAGAGAATATGTTAATGGTTAACAAAATGGGGTTTCTATTATTATTACTTTCTTTAAATACTTTCCATAACATTTTACTTGAAGGAAGAACAAAGAAAATGAAATAAAAACACTAATCATTTTCCATGAACTATCAATACCAAAACACTTTTTTGCATGATATTATAACTGTATTTCAGTACATTCAGTTCTTGACATTACACATACATGTATTTAGACACATCAACTAAAACTCAAATGTTGTCATAAAACTTTATATGTCACCCGACTACATCCAAATACATAGTTTATAGTATTTGTATATATACATATATCATATGAATACACAGAGTATGCACACTTTTATCTGATAGACTATTTGACAGAGAAATACAGAAATTAGGGCGTAAATGCATACATGTACATCACACAGTGAGTATTTATTTATTACAGTGCTCATAAAGGTGTGGGGTGTCTATTTATGAAAAAAGGAAGACACATCAAAGTCCAGTTTCTCGTCCTAACTAAATTCAATTCCTCTGCCACATAATACTAATTCAATGAAAATTGAAGTATAAGGCCAAGGTCCTACAAATACAAGCTGGGGCTCAAAACTTCTTAATGTGAAGAAATGAAATGTATTAAAAAAAACAAAAAAAATCTTCACAAATATTTTAGCATTTAATCTCATGAAAAAATTAAGAAAAGAGAGGAGAAATAAAGAAAGAAAGAGAGAGAAAAAGGGGAAGTTTCACTAATCTTAGATGGATGTAATGCAAAATGAACCCTTCCCCATTTTTAAGTGACAATATCCTCACATACAAGTACCCCTTATTAGCCATCCTATTACCTGTCACTTTTGTGCAAATGTTAACCCATACATCCCGCTTTAAGGATTCTCTGTGCATTGTAAAGATATAATCAATTGGACAGGCATAAGCAGATGTGCAGAATGACCATTGGATGGAGAACTTGAGAATGCATCAAGTCATATATATTAATATCATATTTCTTTGTTTGCTGGAGATCAGATAAGGTTACAAATGAAAAGATAGATTATAAAAGACCACACACGCAAATGTTCACAAATTTAACATCTTTAAAAAATAACAACAAGTATATTCAAACAGATTGGCCCGAATTCACAAAGGAGGTTTGTCGACAAACCTTGGTTTTCGTACGTCATATGACATGTTTTTTTGTAAAAACACGAAAACCAAGGTTTGTCGACAAACCTCCTTTTTGAATTCGGGCCATAATGTTTAAAAAGAAGCAAAGCTCATCAAGGTAGGGTAGAAAAGCAAAATTGGGAGAAAGTATGGCAAATTTTAAAAAAGGGTATTTCATGCATATGAACAAACTGGAAAATTCAATCTGAAACCATAAAACTTGGGACTGCAAATTTCTGGAAATTATGAACTTTACAATTAAGAAATATTTTAAATACAAGTAACCTCAATATTCTTTTAATACAAATAAAATAATTTGTTGATTACAAATAGAAAATACAGTATGGTATAGTATTAATTCACTCATAGGACTACTTATGTGTATAAGCAAGAAGTATGCTGTCTAAATTTCAAAGAAAATGAAATGTTTGTATTATTCCTACTTTGCATATAGAGTAGACATCACGGTTTGATGACTATATTTATTCAAAGTGGGAGCAGCATTTAATGTAATTGTGAGTTAAAGTTAGAATAAACAGTAATTAAATTAAATGCTCAAACAAATAATCCCCTTTTCCCTCTTTGTGAAAGGTAAACAGTAGTAAAATCTTTGTATGAAGTATAAATTATAATGCTACACAGATGTGTGCACTATTAATATAAGTTTGAATTGCCTCAGAAAGAGGTCATTGTGATGCATTGCTTTCCATAGGACAGCAATGACAGGTTTTAAACTTCCCCAGACACTACTATATGTTTTGTATTACCTTACCATCTTGAAAAGTGGTTTTTATGCCTAACTAAGGCCATATATTTATAACAAGAACTATTACAACCCACTTGTATTTGCATTTAATATGAAAAGTTGCTATTATCAAGTTATATAATTACCAACACAATCAATTAGCAAATGTGGCGCCTATGGATAAAGTAGCTAGATATCATCTGAACAAAAATTCCTGCTTTGCTGGTTGCTAGTATTTTCTTTTATTTTGAGGGAAGCAAGCAAGCAAGAAAGCAAAGCAAAGCGGACAGACGGATGGAAGCCATGCGATACAAGGCATACTTACTTGGTTAATATGGACCCTCTCCTGTACAACCCCAGTGTGTGTGTTTGTATGAGAGGTGTGTGGTAGGGGGTTAGTATTAGAAGCATTGGTTAGTTAATAGCTACTTTGCTCTATTCAATTCAACACTTAGCCAGGACTAGCTAGCTCTCTTTGAAGCCCAGTAGTTTCACTTGTGATTTAAATGTTAATGCATGATTGCTCAGAATTAAGTATGGAAAGGGATGGAGATGTCATTTTAGACCATCAGATCAGGGCACTTTTTGCATTTGCTTGTCATTATTTGAACAAACAAAAATAGGGGTGATTTGGGTTCAAGATTAAACAATATATATATATATATATATATATATATATATATCTCTTACCAAGACATGTGTATGGCATTTTCCTAATTTCCTTCCAATATTTAAAACGTATATATGGGTAATGAAAAAGTCTTTTTATATTTCATCAACCTTTTCCTTGTAAAAGCATTAAAAAGCTTGGGGGAGAGGGGGGGGGGGGGTAATATCAATTCTGGAATGATCATCCTTTACACCTTCATATTCACAAGTGAAAAAACATGGGCTTTGAAGGCAGCATCATTTATTTCACTTTTCTTTTTAATTGTCCTCTTAAACATCATATTTATTTCTTTAAAAATATTTAAGAAATCTTGAATCAGATATATATATTCTACGAAATGTAAAAGAGAACAAACTGGTACATACATGTATCACTTTGTTTAATTGGAAATACCAGTAAAATACTCACTTTGAGGTAGTTGATGTCATATTAGCGGTATTCTCAAATATGATCTTTCATATTCTTGATTATTTATTATCCACTAACCAAGTTCCTCTAGTTGCTGGTTTACTCAACTACTCAACACTATATCCCTATCCTTATGCATGGGTAAGAAGTAGATGCTTATAATACCTGTCTCTGCTGAGTACAAAATCCCTTATTACTGTGAGCCACAATATAATAATGTAGGTGTGATTTAGGTACATCAGCCGTTTATAGAGAGTCTATAACCATATATCCAATATTGAGTGTTCACACTACAACAATGTGATAGGAACCCACAACCTGAATAATACAACTCACAGAAAGTGAATAAGAAGTTAAGGATAATGGAAAGTACAGAGATGAGAGGAGTCGTTATTCCAAAAGACCAATACAGCCTATAGAATACACCACAATATATTCTCCATGATATACAGGTATCATCTTATGAACATAAATGTTGATATCCAAGTCCTTTGTGGGTTCTTTATCATCATATGGTTTGAAACAAGAGGCTTATTTCAACAATTAATCAGTGATCGTTCTTCAAACAAATAATATTTCTTAAACCTATATTTACCAGCAAAATGGACATGAAAAATAAAAAAATAAAAAAGCTGAAAATGAAATCAATGTTCGACTTTACCTGTTCTTCTCCTGTTGGCCCATTAATATCCTGTACAAAAACAACAAGAAACAAATGTAAGTAGTGATCACTTTTCCAGCTATTTTTGGCAGTCACCTGTGATTGAGAGGGGGGACTAGCAAACTTGGTAAATACAACCCTTAGTTTCTTTTTCCCTTGAGTCAACATAAGTTCATACTATAATAATATAATGATATTGAGTATAATATAGCGCACATATCCACCATGCAAGGTGCTCAAGACACTCCAATATTACCCTGGCTCTAGCTAGGCTACCTATTAATTCGATGAATTGTTCCCTACCAGAACATATCCAAAACCTGGGTGGAGAATGGCTATGTCTTGCCAAAGGATAATAGGATTTTTGTTTATATAGATGATTTGATACAATAATAATAAAGGTATATAAGAGTTGTTCATCACAAAGTCACAATTCAAATGAGAAATCTCTCTTACAATGTAAAAGTTAACAACATTGAATTGATCACATGTAACTTTATATAAGTTAGAAGAGATGTACATCACTTGACATTTATTAGTGCTAAGGAAAGTCTCTTTCTCTCTCTCTCTCTCTCTCTCTCTCTCTCTCTATAACCCCCCCCCCATCTCTCTACTCCCCTTCTGCAAGTTCCATAAATCAAATAAACTTCATGTATATTCCAATGACATTGTAAACACAGACATACTAGTAATATTTGAAAGAGACTTACATGAGCTGCTAAAGTCTGTCTCTTCAGAGAAGCTTTGATAGAATCCAGACACTGAAAAGAAAATGGTGTGAAAGAAAAATTAGCATAGATTGATTTTTCTCTGAACAGCTTTGCTATTTATTGAGTGCAAACTCACGTTAAAAACCAACATCATAGCTTGGGAGACTTGAGGGCAACTAGGCTCAGAATTAACGGGCAATGGGTACAGGACTAAAGGACAAGGGGAACAGGAGTACGGAGCAATGAGAACAAGACTGGAGATTGATAGTAGGACGATGTTTAAAGGTAAAGACTAGTTTTTGAAATGCCCCCCCCCCCTCTCAAAACATGAAATGGAAGCTCTTATTACCAATCATGTGAAAGAATATTTTTTGACTAATACGTGATGATACAAATTTTGCCGGGAAACCGCCTACTAATTGATATATTTGGTAAATTATTATATCTATCCGGAATGGATAGATATCGCGCATGTGGCGGGTAGTCCCATATACATCTTTCTATGTACAGTGCTTGTAACTTTACCAAGACTGGGCCAAATTTCTTATCATTTTGATGATTTCAGAACCTTGCAGTACACACCAATACATCAGTATTGGTGTGTACTGCAAGGTTCTGAAATCATCAAAATGATAAGATGCTAGATGATCAATCTTTTCTGATCGATTCCACAACGTTTCTTTAACAATGCAATCGCATGAACATAACTGGTCTTTACCTTGAAGAGAGGACAAGTTTTGTACTTACCTCAACTGTTAGGTCCCTCTTTGAGATGTAGGTATCATAGTGTTCGTTGAGCTCAAGCACACAGTATTTATGGCTGTCCAGAAGTCTACATATCATCAACGTCTCGGTGTCCACATAGACGAAAGGACAAAGAGCATGGGTGCTCAGAACTTCTAGGGTATTCAGTGAGATAGGGAGTTAAGGCCAATATTGATTTTGTTTCATATTCAACTCAATACAAAATAATCCTAGGTCTCTCCCCCAATCTGGAGCACCCTCTTTCCACCATACAAGTACTTAGACAATACAAGTCAATTATTTAAATCCAATGACTGGGGTCAATGCACAAGGTGTTTAAATGAAGAATCTCACGAGGAAAAATCAGATATATATGTATGAAGTCTATTTTGTATGCCTTCCACTGAGCTTTTCAGACAAAAAGAGGCATCTCGGTTCACAGCATCAGTTTAAGGGACAAATACAAGAATGATTTCTTAAAAAATAGAATGCTTGGATGCTATATGCTGTAATTAAAAAAAAAAAAAAACCCTCATTATTAACCTGTTCATTACTGAATGATCTCATTCCGTTTTAATGTTTAATATATGGATGACCAGGGGGGTGTTTCACAAAACTTGTCATCAGTGACAAATGGCAGTTTTTGTTATAAGCTACTGAAATCCTTGCTTCTGATTGGTTATCAACAGATTTGTCACTGATTTTTGTCATTTGTCATTGAAAAAAGGCTTTGGGGTCCCAGGTTGCCATAGGCAAGGGTTCAAAGGATATGGAACTGAAGTGCGATGCCTCTCATGCGATCACCCAGGTAGTTACATGCTTCTCTGGTCAGATTACAGAACCTCTGCTGCATGACCTTATAGAGCTGGGTGAAGATATGGAACGTATTGACCGCGTAACGACCGCTCATGTCCACCATGACAGCATCCACGTGACTCTGCCACGCCTCTTCCACCTCGTCAACAGGGATGTAGATGAAGGAAGAGTTGGCCGTGGGTGAGTTGCATATTGGAGAGGTGATGCTGTCTATGTCACTGCCACCACTATCAAACAAAAACAAAAGTATTTAACATGACTTCAAATTGAAGTGCAATTTCAGGCAACAAACCATACGATAAATCTGTCGGTGCTATAGTGGTTTCAACCATCTATCAAATCCATCCAATAGTGTTCACATAATTCTTTTGGCCTTTCTGCTTTAGATTCACAACAGGATTATGGAATGAATAGTATGATACCTTTGAACACTGTTCGAACAAGATGACAAGAAAAGACCACAAATCATGATTACAAACTGCTCTCATGAAATCTTTAATATAGTAAACTTATTTGAAACTTGGTAGTTGTAAAGTTTTGGAGGTATTTATTTTCATTATTTAACAATTATAGTATTCCTCATCATTAAATTGTGGAAAGAACATCTGCCATTCACAATTGCATGAAGTCTTGAGATGTGCCTAACTCTGTCAGTCTCTGGCTTTGTCAAATCAAGAGTAGCTATAATACACGGCATATGGAGTACAGTAGACTGCAGTCTACATAGTCTAACAGTTCAGACACACTGTTACGCACTACGACTGACGAGCGTCTGTACCTGCGCACTAGACTCAGAGCAGAACAGAGCAGAGCATAGTAAGGGTTATCCCAGCTCACCTTGATAAGGACCCAGATGTAGCTCTTCTGATCACATTGCTGCCCCCAGTAGAGGGGATGAAATCTTGAGACATCCCTGAGTAGATACGGCTGTTCTCAAGACTAGGTGTGTTATCATCTGCACCTGATATACTAGTCTGTATGACAAAACCAACAGATAGAACCAGATTAACATTCCTGTTCAACACCACAAATTGCCAGCTTTTGATAAATGTGGAGTAAACTATCTTTAAAGACAGACTTGAGTTCTATTCATGCAATTACCTTGTGAAAGAAACTGGCTGGAGATATTGAGAAATATTGATTATTGTGCAGGGGATAAAAGTCAGTTCTAAAGTGCGAGGTTTATTTTGGACACATCAGAATAAGATATTGATTAAGTCAAGCTGGAAGTTACATGCACTGCACACAGATATGCATATACCGGACTATATTCAAAGGCATGTTAATTTTTTAATCATATTCCGAATATGAGCAATTTGAAAAACAATCCTTTTCAAGAAACCCGACCTGAAAACTGACATAAAAATAATGAGAAAGCTCCTAAATTCCTTCTCTAGGAAATTAAATGAACCTTACCTCATCTTCGGATGAATACTTGGATCCTTCATGGTCAGGGTTTGTTACTCCACTCGAATCAATATCCTCCAAAGAATGCCGGCTGTCATACCAGTTGAACCCTTTACCATCCTGCAATGAAAAAGAAAGGCTCTGTCATTTCTGATTTACAGACTTAAAAGACTTGGTCGCATCTGATAATAGACCTCAGTTTACAGATATAATTCTAGGTTGTCTGTTATATCAGTTAAACTCTTTACCATCCTGTAGTTTAAGAAAAAGGACTCAATCAGTAGACTACAGTTTAAAGATAGATCGGTTGTCACATTAGTTGAACTCTGTACCATCTTGAAATTAGAAAAAGACCTGCTCATGTCTGATTATAGACTACACAGATTTGAATGCTACATCGGTTATTACATCAATTTAACTATTGACCATCCTGTCTTATAATTTTAAAAAACATTATCATTATTATAAAGAAGGTTTCATGCATGTATCGCTATACTACCCTAAAAATGATAGATCGATCAATGAGTACCTTTTAAAATATAACTTTTGGTAGTCTCGTCAGTTGAACTCATAGGCATCATAAAGCCAGAAATACTGAATAGAATCTCTTCTAACATCTCGGCCACTACATATTTCAGGGATGACAGGGAGGCAGACATTTCTGCTCTAATTGCTTTGTAATAATTAACACAGGCTAATTAGAATAAACGGTTACACGTGGACTCCAGTACATATTTGCTTGTTGTTATATTTGTGACCATACAAACAAATGTGAAAAAAATGAACCCTTGCACAAATTACGGTTTGTAATTAATTGCAAATTTTGATAATTCAAAACAATCTTTACAAAAATCAATGTATATGCATACCTCTCTATCTACTTCTTCTCCCTCTAAGAAGTCAAACTCTTTGAGCGTGGGAATATCACCGCTCTCCTCTGCTTTGCTGCCCTCGGGGTTCATTGAGTCAACAAGGGAGGTGGACTCACTGGACGAGCAGACACTGTTCTGCCGCTCATTTGCAATGTCACTTGTTGAACTAAAGATCACCTGAAGGAAGATACCACAGAGTTGATACTGATATCAATAACAATTATAAAGTAAAATTGATACTAATAGTAATAATGATAGTAAAGAAAATATGATTATGATAATGATTTAAATAATACGTACTACAGTACAAATTGAAGAGATGTAGAAGCTATTGCAACAAGTATTACAGGAGAACATATAAGTCAGCTGTATGGAACGAACCTGTTCAAAGATCAATCAATTTATCATTTAATTTTTAGATAGTATAGACCTGTAAATAAAATACTAAGTACATCAAATAAATTCAAGCTATGACTCTTGAATAAAGGTGGTACTATTAACAGACTGCCTGGTATACTGATGGTATGATGCAGTGTATTTCTAGCACAATTTGCATAGCTGCTTCTGACATACATGTAACTCCTACAAAGAAGATTGTGAACCATTATCCAACTTACAGACGGGCTCCTAGGCAAGCCAACATTCTGGCCCAGCCCCTTAAGAACTGACACCATTCTCTCCCTTGTCCTGCGCTGTGACTGCTGGGGCTTGCGCCAAGCCGAGGGTACGATGTTCTGCTTGGCAGCGTTGATGGTTGCTGATGATGCAGAGAACATGCTTCCACCAGGGCCGAGCTGAGACATGTCTGTGGGTTCAGTACTCATGCTGCTATCATCGCTGCTCAGCGTGCTTGCAGCTGACTCATCACTGAATGATGTGGTGATAGTGGCCATGGAAGGGTACTTCCGCCGAATAATAGGTGTCTGCATGTTTATCAATAATAATTGGTTATAAAATAAGCAATCATTTTCCTGGTGCGATCGTCCTCTTTATGGGAATTCAAATATGTAAGCTAATTAATGTAGGGGTCTTCTCATTACAAGGTTCTATACTGTAATCCTTTAATAACTGATGAATTTCATAGGAAGAAAATTCCTAAATCGCAAATTTAATTTAATTGACGAGTTTCTTTCCTTTAAGGTGGCATATGAATTAGCTATCTAATTTCATCTTTACAGAGTTATTCAATATATAATATCCCATTAGTGTAGTATACATGTCCCATATATGAGATTGTTCAATTGATTACAAGGATTATTAAAGTAAGCAACATTTTATTTTTCACTAAAGCACAGTAGAGAACATTTATATGGAAGCTGAGCTATATAAATCAATATTATTATTATATATTTGGAAAAAATACAATTGATATGAAAAGAAAAAACATTTTGAATATAAAAAAGCTACTTCGAATAGGAAGAAAGTGTGAAAACAAGTGGAAAAAGAATGGACAAATTGATTGTTTTTGAAAGCTGAAGAACATCAAAAACATTCCAGTAGATTAGAAAGCGAGACAAGCATGAAAAACACTGCAAACTTTGACTTACAGGTATAATGCTGAGAACTGCACAAAAAGAAAATATATTTTCTACAAAACTCATTAAAAAGAATTCCCATAAAATCCAAAGATTCCATTCATCCTATTGAATGCAAGCAAACACAACTAAGTTTTCTAATGAAGTTTATGAGAAAATATGCAACTGTGCATTATGAGATGAAACTTGTTAATAGTTGATTTTTTTCACTTACATGAATTTCTCTTTTTCTCTTCACTATTCTCTTATTTTACATCTTATTCTTCTTTCCACTTCAGATTGATTTTTATCTTTTACCCTAAATCAGTTCTGATTTCCCCCATACCTATTTTTTATGTCTTCCTATTCTTCTGCATATTTATCTTATCATTTATTTATTTATTTTCCTTCTGCTTCTCTATTTAGTTCTTCAGTTTATTTTTTTAATCTTCCCGTTAATAAATCTCTTTTGTGTATTATTTTCAATTTATCAACTAATTGCACATTAACTAGCCAAATTACACTACACAGTCCCAAGCCAAAACATTAAAGTCACACAAAAACCCAGTTAAAGGGAAAATTACACAACATTTTCATGGTTAGGAAAAGAGCAGCCGATTTTAAGAATTTCATTGACAGTACTGTAGATGAAAATAAGCTCACAAATAATGAACTTACAAAGTCTCTTCTCACTGTGTAAAGGCAATGAACACTGCATCACACTTTTTTTGGTTACAGTTAGAAAGCTTATCGCACAGCACACCTGGTTAATAAGTTAACTAAGCATTACATTACAAGACAGATTGGAAAGGCTATGAACACTAAAAGCATGTGTGAAGGGATAAAAAAAAAGAATTTTAGCTGAGAGAAACAGAACCTTTAAAGTGCTGGTGGGAGATCTATATGTATCTATATCTATGTGGTCTTAAATGGAGGTGTAAAAGCATATATTTGGTTGTGCGACACTTGCTCCTGCAACAATTGCTCTGTGGTAATTTCCAACACTAACCAAATTCCAAACTTGAACCCTGATCCCAATACTCTGCCTCACTCTAACCCTAAACCTAGCCTGAGACCCCAATCACAACCCTATCACTAACCTATACTTTGGACAAAAGCTAGGAGCAATTGTCACAAGAGCAAATGTCGAAGCACCTAATATTGAAACGTCAAAATATAATATAAACTAGTATTAAAGGCGTATATTTTCATTGCTCCTCTGTGTCTCCTGGGGGTGTTTTCTCTAGTCTCAAGTAGAAAGAAAGAACAAACTGTATGACAGAGGTTCTCACTAAATTGTTGAAGACATATCTGCATTTTAACTTTTTTTTCAAGTCAAAACTAAAAGAAATGGAGAGAAAAACTAAGAGAAAGAAGTAGAAACTGCATGCTAAAACTTCACACCAAAGACAAAATATTTCTAAACCGTCACCTTATCCTTTGATGATCGTGTCTGGAAGAAAATTGAGGGTAAAATACCAACAAAAATAAGATAACACAATATCAATATTTGTTCAAATATTAATAAAACAATTAGAAACAAACTTGATTCATCTACATATCAATTATATCTAGTGGAAGTGAAAAACATTACTAACAACACATTTTTTAATTGGTAAAATGAGGACAATTTCATAATTTGTTTACAGGTAACATGAATATACAGTTAGGAATACAAATTTTCTAGAGACTTTAAAATTATCCTCCTTTAATCTATATTACCACAAAAAATGTAGAGGGGGGGGGGGGGGGGGGCTAATTAAACCCCCCCCCCTGCTTTATAGGGTTAAATGGCAATATCAATATTTATTCCAGTGATAAGGCATTTGGGTCACAAAATATATCTATTAACTAGATGGAATTCGACTGCGCGCAGTCGAAAATGATGCCTCCGTCATAGAGCAATTTTACAAACCAAAACAGAACACATTTTTAGAATTCAAGTTCAATTGTAATCCATTAACAGGTTCTCAGAATATCGTGATTACAAGCAATTTCTCATATACATATATGACCCTTTGATCTTTGACCTCATGACCTAAAATCTACTCAGTTCATTGGCTCTGCAAGATGTCCTGAGTTAAATAGTAATCCATCTGTCAGTTCTAATGAGAATGTGTTCACAAGCTATTTCTGCATACATAATGAGCCCATGACCTTTGACCTTACGAACCAAGAATCTACTCAGTTCATTGGCTCAGCAAGTAACATACATGACCTAATTTTGGCAGGAATCCATCAATCGGTTCTTGAGAACGCGATCACGAGCTGTTTTTGCATACATAATGTGCGTTGTGGCCTTTGACCTTTGACCTCGTGACCCCAAAATCTAATCACTTCATCGGTTCTGCAAGTAACATACATGACCTAAGTTTGGCAGCAATCCATCACTCGGTTCTTGAGATAACGCGATCACGAGCTGTTTTTGCATACATAATGAGCCCTGTGACCTTTGACCTTTAACCTCATGACCCCAAAATCTAATCAGTTCTTTGACTCTGCAAGATACATACATGACCAAAGTTTGGCAGGAATCCATCAATCGGTTCTTCAGATAACACGATCACGAGCTGTTTTTGCATACATAATGAGCCCTGTGACCTTTGACCTCTTAAGCCCAAAATCTAATCAGTTCATCGGCTCTGCAAGATACATACATGACCAAAGTTTGGCAGAAATCCATCAATCGGTTCTTCAGATAACGCGATCACGAGAACGGGACGTACGTACGTACAGACGGACGGACGGACAACCCGAAAACATAATGCCTCCGGCTACTTCGTAACGGAGGCATAAAAACTGTATGAATAAATATCACATGATGCATAATATAGAATTACTGACTGGTATTGAAAACAAAATTTTGATGAAATGTGGCCAATGTAAACAGATATCTAATGCTCATCTGCCTGACAAAAATCCTATGATAAAGGATGTGCCATGGGAAAAGAATTTGACTTAAACTGTGTAGTACATTCAAGTCAAGTCTGCATTAAAACAAAGCTATATACAGTTAAAGTGCCAACAGAGACAACTAGATTTCTATAATGACAAGTTTAATACTGCAAGTATTATACACAACAGTATATTCTTCACAGATTGGCATGTACAAGACAATGGGGTTGGATTTTGAGTGGTAGTATCTCAAGGCAAAAGATATTATGGGCTTTTTATTCTTAAAGTGGCACGTTCCCCGTATTCCAGAGGGCGTTCAAAATAGGTACCCGCTGGCGGACGGTGCTAGCTGCCTATTGACACCAACAGAATACGGCTCTTACGCAGATGGCATGTTCCAAATGCCCGCACAATGCCGATTATCGCATACATGTGCCGAAGTAATACCAATCGCAGTTCGGTTCTAAGATTCGACTGCTGTTTCCGCCCACTTTCGTGACGTCAGGATCGGCCGCGATCAGCTGGCTTGACGAAGGCAGGCCAGGCCGCGCGTACTTTTATTGACAGCTGTATGCAATTTAGAAGTCGATCTTCGGAACCAAGATGGCGATGACTAGAGCAGCGATAACTACAATGGCGGGAACATGCCCCTTTAAGGGACCATACAAATACAAAGCAAATTTGTATTACTTTACTTATGAATGATGCATAAAACACAGTAACTTGTACATGTAATTTGATTACAAATATCATTTATTTATATGCATTCAAGGGAAGCCACAACTTATATTTCAAGCTTTAAACAGTGTACATTTGTGTCAAAGGGGGGGGGGGGGGGAGGGGAGGGAAGGATGTGTTTTGTGCAAGCAATGAATTACCTAAATGGCCATCAAACTATTTGTATCTCTTTAAAAGGGCAGAGAGGTCTGTCACTAGAGGTCAAACTCATAGCTTGCTTTAAAACAATAAAGTGCATGGAGAATGGTCCATGGATATTGAATATGCACAATGAACTTGCAGCAGCTTCTCAATAACATACAAACTGTAGAATGTAGTAGGTGAATTACACAGAGCTGCTACGTAAATATAACCTGTAATACTTTGAGGCCATTTTGCATACATGAAGTAACATGGGTGTATTTGTTAATGGATGAAAAATATAGTTTGTTTTCAATAAACCTCCACCAAGTTTGTTTGGTTATATATTATCACAAGGAGTCTCAGGAATAAAACATTGTGATCAATCGTAGCTCCAAATATCTTAACCCTCTCATTGATTATTTGCCCTTTTTTCAGGAAATTGGGTTTCTTTGTTTCCATTTTATAACTTTTAACAAAATATTCTCTAAAATTTACAGCTTCTAGCTTTCCAACAATATATCCTATGTCTGTCTTGACATTGATTTGATTTGATTTGATTTGATTTATTTATTTCTGTTTGATTTTCTTTTTCTTTTGCATTTTTACAAATATATAATAAACAAACATTGCAAATGACAAATATATTGAAAAATGTTGGTAAGATTGGTTTGCATGATAAACAGTGTTCAATGATGTAAAAAGACTTTGTAATGAGAGGGATAATATAACTCTAACTGCTTGGAAGTCAACTTGTGTTACAAGTTTGGAGCTGCATTAAATCACAATCTTTATGCCAGAAGTCCCAATTTTAGTTCCACCACAAACATTAATGTCAAATAGTTTCCTGGTGAGAAGTTAAAGATCATAAATATAAATAGATGTTGTCCTTTGGAAATGTTATAATGATGATTGTTTTTAGAAGCTATTTCTATATATCCCATGGTGAGGCTAAGTCTAAGTCTGGGATGAATTCAAGTGAACATAAATGAAATACCAAAAGGCCTGATGGGGAGTGCTCCTTTTTCGTCATTTTCTCTGACCCAAGTAGTTGTGTTTCAGGCAAACTCTATAAAAAGCATGCAAACAAAAAGTTCACACAAATATTAGTTCTTCAAATTCACATTAAACAAAGAGAAACAAAAACAAACAAAATGCATTTTCAATAAAATCAAACAAACAACAAAGAGAAGGGCACAAGAAGAACAAACCTGTGAGTGATGTATGAACAGGTCTGGTGTCAAAAGGAATTTATACTCTATGGATATCTAGCTCTACATTATGCATACATCAGTATCAAACAAGGGGTCTACTAAAGGATTAGGGTGAAGCTACAGACAACTACTCAACCGGAGTGTTGGCTCAGTCAGTAGAGCGTCCACCTCACAACCGGGAGGTCGTGGGTTCGAACCCCGGCCGCGTCATACCAAAAGATGTTAAAAGATGGGAGTTGTTGCTACCTTGTTTGGCATTCAACAATAAGGGATAGAGCAACGTCGATCTGGCGCTGCTCAGTGGCTGCGGGCTCACGATCAATTGGGCAAAAAGAATTTCCGTTTCGGTTTAATAAAATTTGGAGTGGACTATTAGGATATTATTATTATTATTATTATTATAACTATTTAGTGTGCTACTTAGGGATGATATTGAGGTTGAACGTGTACTTTTCTCTTGCTTTTAAACGCAGTTCATTGAGAGTTGAAATGATTTCTCTGTCAAATAATGAGAGTAAGATCTAGGTACATGGCAATTATTGTCATGTTATAACTCTCCTACTTGCTTTCATAAAAGCATGTGTACTCCTCACAGACTGCATTAAGCCATTTCAAACTTGCATGTGAAATGTCTGGTATCTTTTTAATATCAATAAGGGGATATTAATGAGGAACCTGAGGAACAATCAAAATAAATTCCCAAGGTTTGTATAAACTTTAAGTAATGAGCTCACTATAACATGTACCTTCATAAATCCACTTTTAGATCAAGGAGTCAATCAATAGTGTAAATAAATGATATATAAATCTGTTTTTACTAAACCTAAAGGGAAAAGGGATGTTTCCCAAGCTTTCACTTTGGATTTACATGAATTTCTTTCAGCAGAGTGTTTGTATCTTCCCTCTAGGCTACATACACTGTAAGCTTAGAAGATGACAAGCTTCCAATTACTACTTCCTTTCATTATGGTGAAGCTAACATATAGACTAATTGTTCTTGGTACAAAATAGAAATGATAAAATAAAGTAATGTGTGAGTCAAACCTATTCATGTATACACACATCCGCATACAGGGGTGTACATGGTTTGACTGACACAATCACTGTATTTTCAAGTCAAAGTAACATGGATCCATTTACATGTGGCTAAAATGTACATGTACATGTACATGTTCATTTACATGTAAGTCAATTGTCAAAACAAATTTGAGATTGCAGTGCGATGAGTAACTGGTTAGTGGCTTTCCATTGGTGACTGCGTATACAAAGACAATTAAAAAACAACACATGCTGCAGGCGCAAACAGAAACTATTGATTTGTTCTGACAATTAACAAAATTTGCCTTCCGCCAACCGGTAATAGAGTTTTCAGAATTCAACCCTCACACTTATCAATTAAACACCAGCACTTCCATTCTACTTTAATCAAAGGTTTTTTTTACACATGCAACTGCTGGTATGAGGGTATGATCAAGGTCAATTAAATACTGGTAGGCAATTATCTTTTTTTCTTCTTCTTTCTTTCTTTCTAATACATGCACTTTATGTCAATGAGATGTTTTGGGAAGGATTTGACATGAAAAATTATAAAATGGTAAGAAAAGGCATAACCAGTTTGGACATTTGTGAAATTATGGACCGGTAGGCAGAAAGCAAAATATTTGTGTTCTATTCCCGTTCTCTCTTATCTTAATGGCATAATGCACAGAGGCAGAACTATAAATGTGAACATATATTACTTCATGTAATACACAAGAAACTATTATAAGTTTACCTCTATTTTCAATAGCTCCCTTGAGTCTCCTCTACACAAAACCAACTAGTGCTAAATATTCTAACCATCTAATGGTAACAAAATATCTACTTGTATACCGGTACAGTAAGACAGTATACCAAACACCAATAGCAAGAGACATACAAATAATGCATGCAGAAAAGCCTTCACTACAACTTCCACACAATACAAAACACCAAACTAAAACTAGAAGCAACAGATAAAAGAATCTAATCCTTGCCCCACCTTGGCAAATGAAAGACAGATTGGTTGTTCTATCTCCATCCCCCCCCCCAAAAAAAAAAAAAAAATGTTAAAAATAAAGCATAATGAAAGGAATGCATATATTGCAAACCTCATAATGACTCATAAAACTGGGGAAACTACAATTTTTTTCAAGGGAATTTAAAAAAAAACGAATGCTCATTGAAAATATGATACTCATTTGAAGAAAAACAGGGATATTTAATCACATACCTTGGGTGAGCCTATCTGTAATACATTGCAAAGGAAGGGTTAAAGGGTAGATCTAGCTACAGGGTCTCTTGTATATCATCTTCCTAGAACTAGAAAGGAGTCTACAAGAAGTGAACACCTTTAGTTCGTACCCTCCTTTGGTTTTATTGAACAACTGCTTACATATACGTTTCATCTGCTTGAAGCAAGCAAGAAGAAGCAGATGATACATGTATGTAGGTAGTTGGACAATGAAAACAAACAAGTTACAAAGCCTACTATCACATCAACAGAACAGTATGGACATATCTACTTCATGACTTATTTCTTACTGAGAAAGTGATCAACAGTTTTAGAATTTCTTCCAATGGTAACTTTGTTCAGCAAGAGTGGTCTAATTTCATAATTTGGCTTTCATTCATCCCTTTACATTTTGCATGTTTTTGCAGAGTAGGGCCTTTTGTGGCTTAAAGCTTCGGAAAAATATTTTTTGCACTGGCAAGATATCTTTGTGAATGAACTAGAAGTAGTAAATATAGATCCATACTGTTTTTCTATGACCTTCACTAAGTATTAGGAGGAGTTTGGGGACTACAGCTAGGCTACATGTATCTGTATCTGCACAAATCTAAATGACAATGCTGCAAAGGAATGAGGAAAAGGTGGCAATCTGCAAGCTTGATGTTTTTACTCACATCTGCACGACTCTCAAGTATTTAATTAATATTCACTTGACAGCTTTCTCAAAGACTCTTTGATATACTTCTTTGGCTGGATACAATATCATTTGAAATAGAAATGGTACATACACGGTACCAACCAATATCTAAATGGCTCATAACATGACTGTAATAGTCCTCCAACAAACTTTGACAAGTTGTATTCCCTATTAAAGAGCTGTAGTATGTAGTGCTACGGTTCATCCAAAATGTGCGGATTGGCAAGCATATTAAAACCAAACTGCCCCCTCTAAAATTACAGTATTTCAGTCTATATGGCATCTTTTCTAATTGGTTTAATCAATAACAAGGCAAGTTCTCTGAACACCAAGTAGCCTTTCACTAAAAAGTGTCATCTACTCTAATTGTTAGTACTAGTCAAAATGTTTAAGAATTTATGAGAGCATACAAAGAGCAGCACACAACTCAGTGCAGAAGCTGTGTATGTATCTTGCAGATATAATAATGTATGCCAAGAGTCAGTGAGTCAGTGTTATTAATGCCATTCTGGCTCCTAGCAGACATTAGCAACATGTAAGGAGTGTTAAAGAATACTCAAAAGTGGTAAAATACAAAAAGGGAAGGGAAAACAAGAATGGTAAAACAAAAAGTGTGAAAACAAAGCAAACAAAAAACGTCTATGAAACTCACACTGGAGGTATGTTCTGGATCAACCACCTGGAGCAAACAAACAAACCATCTCATCAATATTCAGACATTCAAAATCATCTCATGAATATTCAGACTGTAAATGTTACCTCATTAAAAGCATGCACGATCTCCTGTATGTTATGAACTAGACTGTTTAAGTTACGTGGGGATGATGAAAGCATGGCAGAATGGCACAATGCAAACTGCAATTTAATCCCATGCACCTGAGTGTAGGGTGTGAGCAAGAAGGATGTAAATACTGTATACACTTAACACCTTCTAGTTCTCAGCCAATGATTTTAGGTGCATTTGATGTCTATAGGCTTTTTAAGGCTGACCAATCTGATAAATGGACTTGTCCTTGCAATACTATGAATGTGATAAAACATACAGACTTGGGAGTTTTATTCACACTTGTTGTACTGCCTGCGTGTGCAGCATTATGGCATACACATTAAGTTGTATGTCAATTGCAAAAGTCTTCTGAGTCAGTGTGGTACAGAACAAGAGTTATCAAATTAATTTGGCGTTACAAGAAATCAACAAACATGCATACACCAACTCTGACATGAGAAAATATTTAAATATGACGATGGGTATGTTCATGTTCATTTTTGTTTTCCTAAATACAATAACCATAAGAACATTCCAGCTAGGTGATATTATTTTTTTCTGTCAACGAATTGTGTTTTCTCTTTCAGAGTTTTCTGAAAACAAATACATGTACTAAATTATAATGCTTTATGCACCTCATCTCACTGAGATATACATACATGACTACTACAAATGTTTCACTTCCCCAGTATAGGTATCCATTTGTGCCCCAGCATACTTGTTTTCTGCTTTATAGCAAAATACACTCCTTTTGATAATACCTTCCAGAACAAACAGGCCTTCAAACGATTACTTAGAAAATATTAATAATCAGACAAATTAATCAATATATCATACTGTCTAAAGGTATTAAGACCTCAAATAGCCCGGCCTTTTTAGGGTTAAAAACAAGGAAATAAATAGTCCAAATTAATAATCTTAACATCATACCAGTCATTTTTCACAGAACCCCCCCCCCCCCCCAAACCAAAGACACAGTCAGTCTCTTACCCGTGAAAGGTCAAAGGTGAACTCCATGGTGCGACCTGGTAGCTCTTTGCGATGGTCCAGGGCCAGAGAGACTACCCTGTTGTGATGGTCACTAAGGGATGGAGGCTTGACCAGTGAAGAGGACTTGGACACAGCTACTTTGAGGATGTTGAGAGAATCCTGCCAGTGCACGCCCTATAGTGGTCAAGAACAGATTCATGTACATGTATGTATATCATGGTCAAATTAGTCACATCAAAATCCTTCATAAAAGAATAAAGGTGTTTGTTCATTTTGTAACTGCTAGTAAATACATGCCTCCAGATGTTCACATTGAATACTCATTCATTGATGTATGACAGCTCTACTACAGAAACATTTATTCACATTTATTCCCCCTCCCATGCTCCATATTTATACAAATCTCATGTTGATTTTTTTCTATTAATAAATGTTCTATAATGTACCTTTTAATTTTGCTATAGATGTGAAAATCATCAACAAATGACTTTGTTTTTTTCTTAATGAAATGCCTAGTTTTCATCCAAAAAATTAACTACAGTTTGATATCAATGTTAGATTTCAATAGTGAAAATGAGTGAGTAATTTTACCTGGACATATTTAGCAATGACCCTTAAGAGGTTATCATTGACCTGTTGCATAGGAGCAGCCATCAGATCAATGTTATGAATGAGATGATAGACTATCTGAAGAACTGGAGATTGGTTGTTGATTGGACCCTTCTCCAACACCTGCAATTTCAAAGGCAGTTACATGTACAATTAGTTTTTTAATGTATAGATTCTAGGTTCATTTTGCATACAAACTAGCCTGATCATACATGTACCTAAGGAACACAAAATTATTATCTATCGATACAATAATGCAAAGCTATAACATGTGTCAACATTTCTTTTCACGATGGGAACACTTATAGTACAAGTTCTAATAATCATCATAACCTCCAACAACAACAACACCACCACCACCACCACCACCACCACCACCACCACCACCACCACCACCACCACCACCATCACCAGCATCACCATAAAAAATGCCACCAGTATGATCATCATGATCACCATAAAAAAAAAAAATCACCACCATCATCACCATCACAATCACCACCAATAACACCATCACAACCATTATCACCAACAACATCATCAACAACATCATCACCACCATTATCACCATCAACAACACCATCACTACCATCATCACCATCAACATCACCATCACCACCATCATCACCATCACCATCACCATCAACAACATAATCACCATCACAATCACCACCATCATTGCCATCAACAACATCCCCATAACCAAGCCCATCCTATACTTACCTCTATTAGGAATGTCATCATAGGAATGCTGAAGTGAGAGTAGGCCGTGTGTAGGTATTTGCAGACCACACCAGCCCATGCCTTGCTGTCACGATTGTACGTTCCATTCTTATACATCATTAGCACCGTGGAGAGAGGTGCCATCTTGGTGCATCGCTCCTGGCAAACCTGAATATACCAACATATCAAACAAGAAATGTAAATTGTTCATGTATGCTTCCAACATGTGATGAACTCACAGAATGTTAAAACAGTCAGACTTTTAATTCAGCGCTACTACTTCTACTACTAGAAGTAGTAGCGCCCCCAAAGGCAAGCATCGACAGGCCAATATTTCAACTCGGGGATCAACATCTTTCAACCTGTGCAGCACAGCAAAACACTAGCCACTGATCGAAGTGGACAAAGTAATCCGAACTGTGTAAGTTCATTCAGTGGGATTTGGAAGTCAAAACCCGCCCTTTACTAAAAGTTGGCCTGATTTTAGACAAAAATCAATAAAAATAGTCCTTTTTAGTTCAAAAAGTAGCTGAAATTACCATATAGTTGTTGATGGGGGTCTACATGTATCTGACCACTTTTTTTAGCATCAGGGCTCATCAATACATAGAATAGCGATGCACATCAATACCCCCTTTTTAGCCCCAAATGGAGGTAAAACCCTTTAGTCCCTCAGCACATGATACAATGCACCTACCTTGCTGATGTTGGTTGCTATTTCACAAGCGAACTTCTCCGGCTGACCAAACTTCTGGATGAGATACGGTAGTAGGGCTACCACATTGAGAGGGAAGCCAGCAGCTTGGGTGGGATCAATCACCCTCAGGTGGGTATAGGTTGTCAACTTTGACACAAGGTGAAGGGTCAGGTCATAGGTCACAGAAGAAGTAAAACCCTGCAAGAGCAGAATTGATGGGGATTAGGAAATTTCTGATGTTCATTTTTTTTCTCAGTAGAAATGAAAACGAATGGCTTTTGCAGTGTTGGTATGAAATTCAATCATGCACCACACATTTTGATCAAAAAACAAAAAAATAAATAAAAAATAATGTAACTGGTTTTGAAAAAAAATTTATCAACACTGATTGGATACAAGTTAAAATAAGCATTTTTTAAAGTTATATTAGGGTAATATGATAGTTTTATGAGATAATGCATGAAGTGACATCTCCTTCCACAAAAAAATACATGTATATGTTTTATACTTCCTCTACAAGAAGTTGTACTGAAGAAAGCCTCTCACATAAAGAAGTACATCAGAAGTGCCTTATTTTTGCCTACTATTAGATAATGATAGGATGTGGAATTTGATGGGCCTGGTTTACACTATTACCTTGAGAATGAGTGCCTGTAGTCCAGGGTAACCTTCCCATCTGAGTTGACTAAGAACTTGGTCAAGACGGCATCGAACCTCAAGACGGTCAAGAGGCAAGTACTTCAGAAGCTGCAGGAAGGAGAGAGGGGAAGGTTGGAAGTAGTGCACAGGAAAAGATAGATTGACAAGAAAAATAAGTATGAAATAGGGGGGGGGGAAGAGATATCAACATTTTTATTTGTACATGTTAAATGTTTTCTAGTATTCAACATCAATGCTATGACATTGGTCCTTGGATTCAATTACAATTCTGCCCATATTTTACACGATAAGGAGCAAAGTCCTAGTCAAAAGTTCAACACCTCAAATCATCACAAAATGAAACTTGACCTGTCTTCTTTCTGTCCCAAATCGGTTGGTACATCTCCCTATAATTATGCTTACTGGTAGTAAGTATCTCCTACATTCAGATTTATATCATCATTGTTCGATATTTCTTTTATATTGACAACACCTGCAGATAGAGTGAGCTTTCACAAACACTGGGAATACGATAAATATCTACAGACTACTATGTCACCTTTTCCAAAGCCTTGAGGGCCATCAAGAACTCAAACTCATAGTCCGATTCCAGGAGAGATACAAAGATCCAGAAGACCTGGGCTAGCATGTTGAGTCTCTCCTCAAAGATGTTCTCTCCCATGTGCTTGAGAGAGGAGCTGCTCCGAGCACGGCCTCGATGGAAACTGGACTTGTCAAGCTCGCTGGTGGTGGAGCTCCTGCCACGGTGCTCCGCATAGGCCCGCATGTCTGCTAAGAAATACAAAAGGTGGATAAACACAGTCAAGTACAATCTAAGAATGAGACAGTCATATCTCTTGGATGTTTACCAATAGTAAAGTTAAGTTAACTGGAAAGACATTGTGCAAAGATAAATGTTTGAAAAGGTTATAAAACAAGAAAAACAAGACAAATGTATTGATCATGATCACAGACTTAAATAATGTTTTACCCCTGAATCCACTTTAGGAAGAAAACAAACAACTTTGCAACAGCTTTCTTTACTCGTGCATTTAGCCATTAAGGAACTTAACATTTATAACTTATATCAAATTATCAAATATTACTTAACATTATTGTTGAACAGCTAGCCAATTCATCAAATTGCAGTTACTGTAATAGTATATTTGGAGGAAATTTCAATAGATAATGTCTACAAGGAGTACAGAGGTCATTGGGTCAAGGGTCACCTGCAGCATTGTTTCCTGGTGAGTTGACAGAAGAGGGCCCCTCCATTATCTTGGGGCGGATGCCATCATAGCTATTGGTAGGACCTATGCTGAAGAGGTTACTGGTGCTCTTACGAAACTCTGTCTTGCGCGATGTCCCAGACTTTGACCTTTCCCTGAGGTCGGTAAAGACGAGGTCTTGGGCCAGGGTGTCGATGGAGTTCTCAAGGGTGAGGAGGATCTCTGTGGCATAACCCTAGAAACAAGAAACAGTAGATCGGTATCATGAAACACCAGTCATTTAGGGGCATCAGGCCAAGTTGGAAGTGAAGAGGAAGACAAAACAAATAAATAAAGTTCATAGGATTTTTTTTTTTTTTTTTTTTGGGGGGGGGGGGGGGTTACTTCCACTGTTCCACCCCCCTCCAAATCACGTCAATGGAAGTCTTTGGACAAATGTCCAACTTAATTCCATAGCATCAGGTTCTCACAATCAAATACACGTGATTTGGTAAATGTTACACACTCAATTACACAGCTCTAAGGAGACGATTCATCTTCTAACACACCAATATAAAAAAATACCCAAATAAACGGCAAAACCATCTTCATTGTCAGAACATGATTATAGCTCTCCTCTAGACCTACCTGTACATCCTCTCCCTGATCAGCCACAGTCTCAACAAGTCTAGTCATGATGTTAGACAACATCCTGGGATTGAGTGGAGGATTCAGTGCCCGGAACATCTGTGATTGCAAAAAGTCAAAGGTCAAAATTGTCATAATGGGACTGATAAAAGAAAAAAATACAAAATAATAATGAGGCTTTAAAAAAAGGTTACAAGTCAAGGTAGAGTGACATAATAACCACCAAAAAAAAGCTGGGAACCAGTTACGGTAGATAAATACTGATTAAAAGAGTGATAAAAGAGGATTGAGAAATGTTGAAAAATGTGGCTATCAACCTCCATTCTAGAAAATGATAAATGTAGATGGAAGAATCAGACAGACATCAGGGTCTGCTGAAAATGCCATGAATGCTATGTCAGTAGGTCTGCTTCTCATTCAATAAGATACATGTAGCAAACCAGGGGGTGTTTCACAAAGATCCTAAGTTTGACTTATCTCTAAGTTGGACTTAACAATTATGGAAAGCCATTGGCGTCTTCGTAAATATTTTGTAAAAGTTATTTTTAAAGGCATAAAAATGTTCGTTCAATTAATTCATATTTTCTATTATCAAGGAGATTTCATGTTCATGGTGTGGAATTTATATTAAGTCTAAGATACTCGAATTTCTGCTTTTGAACATATTTCATTTCAAGGCTACAAATGGATCTCCACAATTTTAAAGTCCAACTTAGAGTTAAGTTCTACTTTCTACATACAGCCGCATATGTAAAAGCTTCTTGTGCGACACTGCAAATATATAAATCATATTTAGTAGTGTCTGTATTCCCCAACCTATTAATCAGTACTGCATTGCGTGTACATCAGCAATTCGTGCATTTCACAACATGTGGAGAGCCCCCTAAAAGGCGGTCACGTGATCTGAGCCCGACAGAGCTGGTTTTAGTGCGTGTAGTAAAGATACCGCCACACTCGAAGGGCTTGCGATAAGCGAAAAAACTCGTTACAAAATCTCTGATTTCTTGAATTTAAGCGCTTTTTTGGCGAAGCCGTTTTTTAAAATTGGGCTAAGCCACCGCGTGCTTTGGAAATATGGCACCGATTCCGCACTTTTGACAGCAAAATTTGGCTTTTGGGGTGGATTCTTGGAAGTGATATCGAGATTTTCTTGTACTAGTGAGTGACGCTGTGTGTAGTGCAGTGCACTGATATGTAATTTGCGTGTGTTGTGGATGTTGGTTTGATATCACGATCGGATGCATGTGTGTATGAATGGCCTGGGGTAATTCTCACGTCTTTGAGTGGTGTACATCCCCTGTGTTGTGTGTAATCACTGACCTCTGTGTGTAATGTGCATGCGTGCGCGCCGCAGGAATTGCCAACACGAAACATTGGAATAACTATGCATACGCTCGTTCTCACAGCCAACCTATAGCAACGTTCGCACAGCCATACTCGGCACTTACAATTTTAGCACAGCAAAACAAATACATATTTCCCCTTAAAAACCAGTATAAATACATTAAAAGCGTTCTACTTGGCAGCTATGTAAATAAGTCTGGGTTTTATGTAAAATTACAGCAGAAAATTCAATGTTTTTAGTTTTTACAAAATAAATATAGAAATCAAAATAAGAATTTACATTGCATGTACCTTACAAGTGAAGATGTAGATGTAACTTTGTCTCCCTGTTGTTTTACTTTTCCCTTTTGTTGATTTATTTACATTCTATGCATTACTCTGTCCCCTTTTCTATTGCCTTCCATCTTTCCGTCTCCCGATTATTGAACTATTAATCATCTCTCCTGTCGTGATTTCTTTATTTTGATTTCGTTATTATCTGTATATATTTATGTACACAGCAGTGAACAGCTTTCCGTATAATGACCAATAACAACCATCCGATTTATGTCTTTGAGACCCCTGTACCGCAAGGTCTTATGTTTTGTTACAAAACATAAGACTTCGCGGAACACAAGACCTTGCGGTACAGGGGTCTCAAACATCAGTTTATTTTCTAAGTCCTAAACAGTCCATATTATTAAAGTAAAATTAAAAACAACAGTTCATTGACTAACCCAAATCATCATTTCCCTTCAATTCCACCTTCAACCCACCCCTCCGCTTTCAAGAACACTACATGGGTCCAATCCATCCACCACTGTTAAATTATTTAGACTTGTGACCATTAAAAAAATGATTTTTTTTTTTTTTTTTTTTTTTTTTTTTTTTTTTTTTTTTTTTTTTTTTGGGGGGGGGGGGGGGGGGGGTGATCAATTGAGAGAGAAGAGCTACAAATATAGTACACCCCTCCCCATTTTTTGTTGAACTTCCATGGGTACAAGGTATTATACATGAACATACTCCTGTTTAAATTTGAGAACAAACGGACCAGTCTTTTGTATATAATTTATGAAAAAGATTTCCTATTTCTTATTTCCAATTTAAATGGTCCGTTTGCTCTAATAATTGAACAATGTTGTTCCCATGCCACATGATGGCATTGCTCTTAATAATGACAGATTTATTATGACATCATTCCCGTCACGAGTATGTCCAGAGTCGGCGCTCTCATAAGAAAGGCGTAACAATCGTTAATAAATCAGTGTTTTGGAACTTTGGTGGTGATTGATAAGACGCCTCCTTTGAATTCTGAATGAGCAATAAGCACAAACATTACCTGCACTACAGAAGAAAGTGTAGTAGGTCCATGATTATAGAAAGAAGGAAATAGTGGTAATATAGAGAGAGGGAGATTAGAAAGGAGACAGTGTTGAATAAAGAGAGAGAGAGATATAATTTGGGGTGGGGGTGGGGGGGCCGGGCATACATTAGTGCCTCCCACCTTTTGGTAAATCCAGGATATGCCCCTGCTCTATCAAATTTTATTTGTAAACACTAGCACTGGCGGATCCAGGGAGGGGGGGGGGGTAATATGGTGTACAATAATTGTTCCCACGATATCAGAAGATTTCAAAAGAAAATAACTAGCGCGTCAATTACGGTGCCAGGTAAAAATGTAAGAGGAAAAAATGTCAGAGGTAAAAATGTCAGAGGTAAAAATGTCAGAGGTAAAAATATCAGAGGTAAAATTTTCGGCGCAATTTATACCCCCCCCCCTGCGAAGAAATCCTGCGTACGCCCCTCTTCATCACTTACTTCATCTAGTTATGTAATTCCATCTCTTAGATTTTGTTTCCAATGATTAATATGATAACATTATTATATTGTTTTTTCAGAATTTTATTGAAATTAGAAATTTGAATTGTGTTCAAGACTGTGCGAATTCATTCTGAATACCCGACAGGCCAAAGTCAGGGACAGAATAGGTACTCTTTAATATTGCGCCGAAATTGTTGATGGGGTAACAGTAGAGAGATCGAAGGGTCAATCTTTGTGCTCTATTCACCATATCTCATACACACTCTCTCTCACTTTCTTTCTATCTAGAATTATCATTCCATCACCTCATCTTTCAACATCAACTATCTCTTGCATCCTCTATCCTTTTCACTTATTTTTTTATTTTCTTCATTTTTTCTCAATCTGTTGTGCTTTCCCCTACTCTATTCACCATCTCTCATATCCACTCTCTGTCTTCTTTTATCATTTCACTTTTCAACATGAGGTGAAATGATAAAAGAAAGAAAGCGAGAGGGAGAGAGCTGGTGAATAGAGTAGGGGGAAGCACGAAGATTGAGAAAGAATGAAGAAAATAAAGGGTGAGAAAAACAGAAAACAAAAATGTTTAGATAAGAGAATGGGAGAGAGAAAGAAGAAGAGGAGAATTAGATAGAACGAGGGGTAAACATTAAATGAAAATTATTGAACAATAATTGAACAATGTTGTTCTCATGCCACATGGCATTGCTCTTTATCGTAGTCTAGTCACAACGACAATCAAAGAATGACAGATTTATTATGACATTCCGACCACAAGTATGTCCCGAGTCGGCGCTCTCCGAACAAAGGCGCGTAACGATGTTAAATATACGCGATGTTTTGAAACTTTGGTGTTGATTGACATGACGCCTCATTTCAGATAAGCAATCGACCTATACAGTGCGCCTCAGAAAACACAAAGCCGAGAATTGTTGATGTTTTATCATAACTTAATCATAATTATAATTAATAAATGACACATTATTTGTGAAGCTTAGATCCTCTTCTTTCATTTGATGCAACTCATATAATGCATATTTCACGAATGAGCGATTAAAAAACAATTTGAAGACAGGGTCCTTTGGTAAGGCATTAATCCTCATTACCAGGTCCCTCGGAGAGGACCTAAAGCCGTCGGTCGTCTGGTTGCTTACTAACAAGCATTTATGCTTTCTTAGCAGTCAGGTAAAATAACCACCACCACAGGGTATCAAAAAGTCATTTGGCGAACGGTATCTGAATTTCTAGAAAGTTCACTTTCTGCCCTTTCATAAATTAAACCTCGGCTCAATCAGGAAAAATGAGCCAGGAATAACAAATTTCTGTTTGTTTAAAGTAATGCTTGCACTTCCATAATTTGATTATACAAATTCGTTTTCACTGGCTGCCTGCCGTAGCAACATACATAGTTTATTATGGAAATTATGGAAATGCAAGCATTACTTTAAACAAACGGAACTTTGTTATTCCTGTACAAATAATGTGTCATTCATTTAATATAATTTTGATTAAGTTATCATAAAACATCGATAATTCTCCGTTTCGTTTTCTCATGGGACGCTCTAGCTAAAGAAAGTTGATTAAAGAAAGAGAGAGATAGTGGTAGAGGTAGAGAGAGATTAGAAAGGTGACAGTGTAGATGAGAGAGAGAGAGAGAGGTGAGATGGCTATAAAAAAGGGTCGTAGAGAGGGCCTGGAGAGAAAGATAACAGATAAGAAAGGAAATACTGTTGATTTGAGATACAGATGAATTTACTACTATCGAGAGAGAGAGATTCAAGGGGTATTACCCGAATTAAATTGTATGTATGCCTATAACAACAATCCTAAAAGGTGAATTGTTAGGTCTGTTTTTGTTATCAGAACAAAAATTCTCCTCACCATCGTTCAGTCGCAACAATGACATACAAATAAAGACAGATTTATTATGACATTCCCGCCGAAAGTCGGCGCTCTCAGAGCAAAGGCGTAGGCTGACAATCGTAAATATCGCGGTGTGTCTGAACTTGGGTGTTGATTACAACATTTCCAAGATGCGGTTATCAATCCAACTTTCTACTTCATTTGAGCCTTTTCATTGTACCCACAAAAAGATCGATAGAAATGTCAGAATGTCTATTACCCTTCCCAAGGGTTTAATGGGCGGCACAGGGTATGCAAATTAGAAATTGTTCTAGCGCTGCTGGTCGCTACAAAGCGGCCGCGGCGTAGTATCATTACGTTCAAAATCAGTTTTCATAAGACCAAACGACCAAAATAGATGACATATAAAAAATACATAACAGTCTCGTAAAGTAAATATTTCAAATTAACAAAACATGCATGTCTACGTCCCTCTACCTCTCTCTCCCTCTCTCTCTCACCTCAAACGGACCTCTGTATTGATTGCGATTCACACAATTTTCATTTCATTTACATTTCATTTAAAATGGGGAAAGCCTTCCGATCGCTGGAAGGAAGGAATTTTCCTGGCAAGGTGATTAAACGAGTTCTTGCCCCTCTTTATAGCGCGACAAATAGAAACCCTATTCCTTTCAAGAATGATGTAATATTATGTAACATAATCCCCCTATTCTTGCCCCTTTCATCGGGGACGCATTTGGGACGCTCGCGGTCTCTAAACAAAGGAGGGTACGCGATGAATGGAGAAGGTTTTAATCCCCCTTACCTGACGCGTTCAGGACAGTCGCGTTCGCTAAACAAAGGAGGGGACGCGATCGTCCTGAACCCGGACGAACGCGAGTGATAATAAAGTTGCCTTCCCTTACCTGGAAAGATCTGCCAGCATAGTGTCTTGAGGAGCAGGACAGAGCTAGCTGAAGAGCAACCTGCGCCCAACGCTGCTCCAGGTGGGACCCTCTTAGGCTCCCATGGAAGATCCGTACCACGTTCCGCAGAAAAGACTCAAGCTGCTCCGCGCTCTTGATGATGGTTAACCTCGGGGTGATCTCTTCACAGGACCACAGAGGGCGACATTTCCTGGGAGCATTTAAAAGATTATAGTGACTGTCTATTCTCCGCTACTATCCGGAAAGACTAAATTACAGCATAGGGTTTTCACAGTATCAAAACACCAGCCAACTTTTAGATTAAAAAATGAGTGTGACAGACGGGACATTCAAAACTTAAAGCCCCTCTAAAGTGTTTGGAGCACCAAAAATTAGAAAAGATTTTCAAAACAAATGTGTTTGAAGTCAAATATTGATGAAAGAATACAAATTTAGATTTTCTGCTTACAACAGAAAACCCATTTTACGTATTCTTTTACCAATATCAAAAATATGAATAGGACTTATATAGATAAGGCCTATTCATATTTTTGCTATTAATGTAAAACTTGACAGACAGGATATCAATTTATGATTCATAATTGTCTTCATAGTATTCGATACTGCCTGGTTAGTAGCAGTAATAATGAATTTTTCCCTACCAAGACTGCAATTTTTTTCAAAAACATAGATCCAATTTATTGTCAAAGTAAAAATGTGACATATGGGACACAAACTACTTGACCTTTGACGTTCTTTAAGTCGTAAGCCTTTTCATATGTTTAGACTTTTTGTCAATAGATGTAATTACCCTTTAGTTCTGACCAGTTTTGACTAACTTTGTGATAACAGCATGATCTCTAAAAACTCCTCATCCCATGATTAACCATATTTTACCATAAAAAAATGTTCAATTTAAAGGTAAAACAAAGTTTGGGTAATATTTCAACAGGATTGGATTACCATTGTGAAACCTAGGGTTAGAATAAGCAAATTTGAAAAAATTGGGCTCCAAAATGCTTAGGATTTCAAGAAATTAAAATGTCAAATATATTGGTGCTCCCGATAAATTTCAAATAGCGCCTACGGTACTGCCATGAAAACTGCAGAATTCAACATAAACTAGCATATTCGCTGAACAAGAGATGGTCTTTACTTACATACATGTATATATACACTGTAGGTGATAGATTTCACATCCTTAATTCAATTCTAGTTCCAACCTCAACCTAGGAACTCACCTTGTTACCAAGAATTCAATCAGAGCCTTAGCTGCTTCTTCACTGGTCCTCAAGTGATCAACACTGATATGTGTAACAGCACTCATACCAAACGGGATGACTGTTGAGGTGGAGCTCATACTGGACACAGACACGGTGGACGCTCCACTGATGGTGGTAGTGCTACCCATGAGGGCAGTGTTGTCCGATTCATAAGATATGGTGTCCGGCGTGTGACCATTGTGACTTGTTGGTCCACCTAAACAATCAAAGTCAGATTGGGTGAAAACCATGAATGTTTATATTTTGTCTTAATTTGACTTACTCATTCAATACAGACAGTATACACAAGATGCATCTTTGCAAACATGAACCAATTTGATAGAAAGCCTGGGATAATTAAAGGATTGTATCTTCTTTATTTTGAATGTTACATAGTCATCCCCAATTCTTTTAAGAATCAACCATCCTTATATGTATCTATTTTGCCACTTCCATATTTTTAACACACATTGAACCCACATTCACACTTCCAAACCTCTACTTCGAGTGCACATCGGTCCCTGTTAACCATCATAAAGTCAATGCCTATATAAACATTATTTCTAAATCAAATTTGTAATTCACTCTCGAGGAACCAATAGATTGTCTCAATAATAATTGTCTGCTGAGAGCAAGAAGGATTATAACTTATTATCATTTGTAACAGAGTTCATGCCCTTCTGTCTCTATACCAGGGGTGATTGAGTAAAAAATAAATAAAAAAGATTGGGAAATAAAAAAAATTGCATCTAACAACATTCCCCCTGCTTTTGAGTAAGAAAATTGGGAAAAGTAGGAAAAAATCTGGAAAATTAGGGAAAAACAAGGGGAAAATTGGGGTAAATCTGGAAGAGGAAAAAAAAAAAAAAATCAAAAAAATCGGAGGAATTAAAAAAAATAAATAATTGGGAAACCGATTTAAATCAAGTAACTATCAGGCCTGCTTTATACAGACAAAAGAGATGTGCTGTTGGAAGAGACTTCTTACCTGTGAAGTTGTATTCCTTGGTGATGACCTTCTGTTCCAGGAGTCCTGCATGAAGGTCACTGATAACATGATGAGAGAGTAAGGTGTGAGCTACATTGACAAAGTCATTGTGAGGAGCTAGCTTCACCAACAGGTTGAGCAGCAGTCGCTTGCAGTGTTCATGGACCAAAGGCCACGAGTGATCTAGACCTGAGAGGGGGGGGGGTGAAAAGATGGGTTCACTTTGGGTGAGAATCTTGTAACAAGTCTGTAAATCTAGAGTCACTATGTGATTATTTTCTTCCATTTATATCCTCATCAAAATCAATCACTCAAGACTGCAAAAATGATTCAAATTCAGGCAGAACGTACAATGTCCCTTGGTCAAACATTCTTTCCAAACTTGACCAACTCAGTCCCAAAAGTAAAATAATTATATTAAAACTGAAGAAATTACATACAACTGAACTACCAACACAACCATCTCAACAGCAATACCAGCATCATCATCATCATCATCTTATCATCATGTCATCATCATTAGCACCAACATCGTCGTCGTCGTCGTCATCATCAACCTTAATCATCATCACCATCACCACCATCATCATCATCATCATCATAACCACCACCACCACCACCACCACCACCACCACCACCACCACCACCACCACCACCACCACCACCACCACCACCACCACCACCACCACCACCACCACCACCACCACCACCACCACCACCACCACCACCACCACCACCACCACCACCACCACCACCACCACCACCACCACCACCACCACCACCACCACCACCACCACCACCCACCACCACCACCACCACCACCAACACCACCACCACCACCCACCACCACCACCACCACCACCACCACCACCACCACCACCACCACCACCACCACCACCACCACCACCACCACCATCATCATCATCACCACCATCATGTTATCATGTTATCATCATCATCACCGTCATCATCACCACCATCATCATTATCATCCACTTCATAACCACCATACCTTGATCATGTAAACACTTCACAAAGAAAGAGTGTACATAGTAGAAAAGTTAACATTGCTTCATCATAATCACTACCAGCTGTCCACTATCATACCATCCTGGTTACTCAAGTACTTACCGAGGAAGAGTACATGCAGAATATGAGGAAGGTGAACCTGCCAGTCAACATCTACATTCTCAATCACTACCAGCTGTCCACTATCATACCATCCTGGTTACTCAAGTACTTACCGAGGAAGAGTACATGCAGAATATGAGGAAGGTGAACCTGCCAGTCAACATCTACATTCTCAAGCACCAGGTCCGTCAGCAGAACCGTTGCTAGGTTACACCTAAGACATGATCATAAGATGACATACTTATACAGAGGCTACTGGAGAATACGCACTATTTCTCACTTAATATACAAGTACACATACTTTAGAAACATTTTATCATTACAAGGAAATATAATCACATTTTTCAATAAATGACTTAGCCTGACTCCATCCCTTATTTTGGAGCAATAATTTCTAAACACCCCTTTTGCATAATCGACGAGCCCACAGCCCATTGTCTAGATGTGTGGCCTAATCCACTACCATGAAGGGCATTTCCGTCTATATTACAATCAATGCATGAAAAAGGGACATTTCTGAATAAATATAAGCATTATCACACTTTGAGACAGCCACAGATAAGTGAAGAATGGTTTATAAAGATTTAATTTCCATTTATTTGGTTTTAATCACAAACATTTAGCAAACAAATTGTCCCTCATAAAATGCATTTCCCCGCCAGTGAATGGTGTATTCCTGGCCTTAACAGCTGGATTGCCTCTTTGAAGAGGAAAATAAGGTTTTAGCAGTAATCACCAAGGGAGTACAAAGACTGTAGATTCTTCTTTCATGGAACAGTACTAGTTCTAAAAAGATCTTAAGCATATTAATGCATGTATATCCCATGTCAAGATAAATCACATGTTATTGCACCCAAAGAGATTAAAGATTGTGACACTGAATGAACTTTAGCATTCCTTTCAACTTTTTTTTTTGGGGGGGGGGAGAAATGTGCACCTTATGGGTTGCCCTCTTTCTTTGCTCTTACATTTCCCTTGTATTTTGTAGAACCTGCAGGGTTTAATTATCTAATTATACTTTCAATTTTTCATGTAAACTCTCAGAGCCTTGAGCATGTCTGCAAAATGGACATGGCACTTTACAAATAGTCATCATTATTATTGTTTTTGTTGTTGATTGTGTTGTTATTATTATTTTTATTCCAGAATAGACTTGTACCACCAAAGTTAATTCCATTCAACTGAATTGTATTGTATTAGTAATATTTCATTGTATTTTGTTGCTTTAAAGCTATTGAACATGTTGAATAATTATACTGAGTTAGACAATACCACCTGTGCGCTTAAAAACGCCCGAATTAAGCGCCATATAAATGAAATTATTATTATTATTATTATTATCCCCATACAACTGTAACCAAGGTGGAAACTACATCCTTGATCCTTAACTCCCAAGCAAGGGTCTTACCTGTGAACGACTCCCTGTGGGGGTGTCTCATTGTCATCGATGTAGTCTGAGAGAGGGGCACAGTAGTATTCATCTGGTAGAGGGAGGGGTAAGGTAAGTCCATTCAGGGTCTGTTGCTGCCACACAGCATAGAAATCCACCTTGTTAGATCCCTGCATGTTATCCTGCCCTTTCTCCTCAATCGTGGTAAACCTGCTTGGATGGGTACAATATCATTATCATCACTGATTTCATTTTCAGTTTAAAATCATGACAAAAAAACTGAGAGGGATTGTGCAATCAGATGCAAAGCTTCACTTGTGTAAAGAATAAGTTATACCTCAGTCACACAGAAAAGGCCCCAACCAGAACAACACACTGTATATATTATATTACCAGCAATGACCAAGAGTCTTATGGTTCAGAGTCAGTATGGAGTCAGTTTGGCAATGTGACTGAGGTATTGTACACACACTAGCATAATGCTTATCCATTACTCTGCCACTTGTAAAGATTTCATATCAAATTCTTAACAATAAGTTGGTAAAATCAAAGAGTTAAATTCTGACCCCCTGTTTGTCCTAACTTTTAAGAGTGTAATAATCACTATATGTTCCTCATAAGGTAATGTTGAGAAATGAATTTACCCATCAGACTCTTCCGACTCCTCTGGTATGGCAGGCTTGAAACGGACTCGGTCTGTTCCAGCCGATTCATTGCTAGGTGTTGAAGTACTGCTGGTTAGAGTGGACAGACTGCCACTACTCTGGTGTAAAGATGACCCCTCGTTGTATCGGATAATGCTGAGAAACAAAGTAACAAATATTCAATCATTAGTGCTTCTTTTACCAAATAAGCACATTTTCTAATATAGCTGTAAGTAACAATTTCAAATAATTACATGTACATCAATGGATTAAATTAATATGAACTTTGCAGGCAATTTTATTAATCATCCATCACAAGCAACACACATATAAACAGTATACATAATATGGGTAAAACAATGAAAAGAAACCTATAAACAAGCAAAAAACTATATATGGATTAAACAAAATATAGAATATATCTTTTGTTGGCATTGATGTCGTTAACTACTATACATTGTGTTTTTACAAAGAAAATGAATGTAATTCAAATGAAAACAAATAATGCCTGCCTGTCTGCCTTCCTCACCTATCCCTATCCTTTGTACTCCCATTGTCAGGTGGAGGCGGTGTCTTAGTTCCCACTGCCACCTGCGTGCCCCGATCAGACGTGTTCTTCTCATGCTTGCCCTTCTCGCTCGCCAGCATCCTCGCCTCCTCCTCCTTGTCCATCTTCTCAATCAGTGATGCAGCACTTCCAGACTCTGGTCCCGTGGCTCCAAATTGGGGTTGGAGGTAGAGCTGGAAGAAAGGTGGTTCATCAATCCTCTCCACGTTGGTGGTGACGATGTCCACAGAGAGCATCTCCCGCATCAGTTCATCCATCAGACGCTGGGGCTTGGCACGGGCGATGTATACCAGCACTCGCTCCAGCTGAGAGAGAGAAAGACAAAAAGACAGCAGAGGGTATCAAAGTACATGTACAAAGTAGTTCGCTATATTCCTCTTTCGTTTTGTTTGGATTCTATGGACATGGTAAAACCATCTAGAAGGAAAAGTTTAAGAAAAAGATATATGTAATTTCACAATTACAAACCTATTGCTATAACTCAATCACCACATACTAAAAAAAAAAAAATTATTTTTCTGTGGGGGTCAAACTTTCAAAAATTTTAGATACAAAATGCTATTTCACATTAAGTATAAGTAAATACCAATACTTGCTGTCACAATAATCAGCCTGGTAAAGTTTTTAATCTTTTCTTCATTTAAAAGCAAATGTGGAATTCATTCACCTGTACAGCCAGGTGTGTATTGTTTTTTGCTAAAATATTTTAACATTGAGTAAACATCAATTTGTTTTCTCCAATTTGTCTATGTATCTTGGAAGATGAGTAGACTCATAATCATGATTCTTATCAATACTGTACATGGCATTAGGTATCAATGATTGAACAGATATTTGTAAGAAAGTTAAAAAGTAAAAGCTCTGCTCAAGTATTCAATACCGGTACTCACAAATGGTAGGAGGTTTGGGTTGGTCATGATACCAGTCAAACCAAGTAAGAAGTTGAGAATGACTGGTAGGTTGCTAGGCCAACAGGTACATAGCCCCGCCCAAAGCTGCTCCAGCCCGTCGCAATGCTCATCACCGTACTGAGAGTTAAGAAGGAAAAACAAAAAGTAAGTCTCTCCTATTGGTTAGTTTGATTATTTCAAAAGAGCTTGGGAGATGCATAATTACCGAAACTTTGTTTCTTATTCAATTCGGTACAAGTAAAATGTCTTTTTCTCTGATTATTATTTATTTTCTCATTTCACAATGTATTCAAACTTTTGATTAAAAAACATGTTGATAAAATACATGACATGAGGTGCCAAATCCAAAGAATAATAGAGCTTGGGTATGCCTAAAATATCTTTATCATAAAAGCATTTGTTGAAAAAAGCCCAGACACGGACAGAGAGCAAGAGAGATTGAGAGAGAGAGGGAGAGAGAGGGGAAGAGATAGAGAGGCAAAGAGATAGAGATAAAGGGGGGGGGGCAGGACAGTGGAGAGATCAATAAAGTAAAGAGAGCATGTGATATCCACTACACAAAGGTTAATATGAGCATTTATATTCAATTACCTCCGCTGTAATAAATAGAAGATTATTGAGAATGACGCAAGACGCCTGCTTGCTGCCCCATCCAGGACTTCTCATGGAGCATCCCTGCTCCGGGTCCTCCATCTCCACTACTTCCTTCTCCTTGCCTCCACCCATGGAGCTAGCTCCACCTCCCTCCTTGGCCAGGGAGTCCACCAGCTCAATGTTGTAGATCCAAGGGAGGAGGTACTCTAGCATGATATTGCGATGGACCAGCGGAGCAGACTCAAAGCGTTCTGTGATCTCTGCAGGTTGAAAACAAAGTTTGCAGTAATCCATGAAACCAATTACAACAAAAATAGCCAGAAAATATATGCAAATATAATGTATTAGTTTAAAAGATTACATACAATGTACTATTAACTCACCGAAAGTACCAGTATGTGTATTTTGCGAGTGGCTACAATGTAGCTGTGTGCAATAATCTTCCACATAACGTTTTAGTGAAAAATCCCATTTTTTCTTTTTACTTTATTATTAAAATTCTAGGCTCTTCTTTCTTGTTATACTCTCAAACAATCCCAAAATTATATTCACTTCTGTTATTAAACTATATGTTGTATTATCACTGTTTTCACAAGAATATAGAAGTTGCTGATCCCAACAAAATTTACCTGAAATGTTTGGCAAGATTGCTGTCTCAGGGCTTTGGTTTAAACAGGAAAGAAATCTATTGTAGAACCACAACTTAAGTCGACTGGACTTGTCATCCATGTTCAAATCTAATAAGCATCAAAACCACTTAAAAGATTTTTTCCTCCACAGGAACTTGTGTTTTATTTGCAGTGACTTGAGATATTTTTTTTAAAAATGCTTTCAGCCCATCTATCATTCCTACAAAATCAAAATAGTCCACATACCTGAGAAGATGGCGAGAGTGAGTTCTGGATGCAGGTTGGCCAACTCTCTGCTCAGGGCAACATGGGACTTGCCATAGGTGGCTTTGAGGAGGTTCCCCTGTCCGCCTTGGCCAAAGAAACGCTTGTCCAGGACATGCAGGAGCTGGTAGGCCAATGTTCGGATGACAGAGCAGGGGTCAGCAGTCTTCAGGAGTACCAGGCATAGGATCACTATCATGTCACATGGGTACTCACTAAAAGGCAAATAATGGAATGCATTAAGATAAAAATATCATTTACAGATCTTCAAGCTTTAGAAAGATGGCGCACTGCCTGATCTTTTAGTGTTTCATGACCAATGCCATCAATGATTTTGTCAAAATATTAAGAGAATGAGTCAATGTTTTGCAGTTTTAGTTGATTTTAAGTCAAGTTGTAATATTCCCCTGTGTGAACAATAGCATATCATACTGTATGATTACTCACTGAATGTTTATGAACATGACATGGGCCCGTATTCTGAAGTTGGGTTTAACTTAAAATCCAGTCTAAGTTAAACCACAGTTTAATTAAACCTGACTTCAGCAAGTCCAGTCTAAGTCCGGTTGTTAATCAAACCCAATCAAATCATATTTCTTCTCATTATCTTCCTCTTGCATGCATGCATGATCTCACCTTGTGTTAAGGACTGAAGCCATAGATTGGAAGTAACCACTAGCTACAAGCTTGGGTCCTGTGTAGCATCGGTGGATAAACCACATCAGTACCATTGGAAGTTGAGGGTTATTCTCTAGGAGCAATACAGCTGTCTCCTTACCAAGCTTATGAACCTGGACAAAATATAAGAATATTTTAAATTTGTATAAGACTTTGAAAATACTTTGTTATCCTAAATAACATCACTACTTCTTCTTTCGTATGAGGTAGTAATATCATATATCAAGTTATTTCTTGAAGCTGGGTAAACCAGTTGACTTCTGCATTGTTTGGGCTTGACACATCATCATCACTACTGACAATACTTTAATAAGTGTACCAACAACATTAGCCTCGATCATCACCACAACAAATATTCTACAACGCATTGCAACCCAAAACATCAGCATCACTTAATACTACAACCATCATCATCACTACAATGTCTACCCATAACTATCATAATAATTGTCAAAATCACTATCACCATTACTACCTTATAAATAGAGCCTACCCAAACCACTATCGCCACCACCGTTACAACCTCCTACACTATCATCATCATCCCCAACCACTACCACCACCTTAACCATATTGGATAACTGCTCATCACCGATACAATCATCACCTTGACAAAATCACATCTATTTTATTCATCACCATCACCAGCATAATCTTATCATCATCAACACCACCACCACCACTAACCCTTTCAGATGATTCAGATGATTCAGATGATCACCACCGTCACCATCATCAAGGTTCTTATAACTTTCTTATGACTTTCTTACCCTTTCATCTGTACAATTAAGCAGGTTGTCCATCCAGTTATAAAGATACCCCTCTTGACCAAGACCACTGGTATCAAACACCTCCCCACATACCAGAAGAGCAGCCATTGCCTGAAAATTAATCAAAGCATAACATGTACATTAATAAGGCCTCTGAAGATGCATTTAAAGTTCACATACATAATTGTATGTACCTGCATATGAAAACATAAACTGATTTCAAGGTACAAATCTTTGTGAAGTAATGATTATAAACACATGGCTGTGATACTTGGTTTCGATGTCAAATAATCAACAGGATCCCATTTTTATTTTGGACCTGACATCTAAAACCTTAGCAAATATTCTACATTTGTAACGGAAACATAAAATGTGATATAAAGCTACACATTTCCATCATTAAGGTCTTCAGATTATGTTGTACTCGTGTAATATATAATGATTTCTTTACCTGCAATGCCTCAATTTCTAGGTCTGTGAAGTTTTCATCTTGATATGATGGTGTCCTATCAAGTGTCCTATCCACAGCCCCATAGACTACACCCAGTTTGCGACACCATGCTCCACACAAGAAGAAAACACTGTAGCGTACACCACATGGGAGTAGGTTGGCTCGATGCTCAGCTGTAACAGAATCAAGAAAATGAGAATTAACAATTAAATGGGATTTTGGGTGAGCTTAGGTGAGCCAACTTTATCATCTAGAGAAGGAATAAATATTGTACAATGGCACAATGCCAATGCTTGGTATTACAATGGTATTACAACTGCATTGTAACTGTACTCTGTAACTCTTGGATGTCATCTCAGACAGCTTTGTGTCCTTTGGAAAAGGAACTATACAAATGTTTGAAAGTAAAAATGAAGATAAAGATGAGAATGATGATGATAACGATGGTGATGATGATCTTGATCATTATTAATGATGAAAATATCAGTCAGCATCGATAGCAATACCGTAAATATCCGTGTATAAGACGGTTAAAAATCTTTCTTTTTTTTGCTGACTTGTTAAAGAACCTACGCGGGAAGGACTTTCATTTAACTGCAGGGTGCAGTTGAATGTGTAAGATCATTAATGTTAATTAAAAAACAGTAGAGGACCTAGGATAGAACCTTGTGGTATGCCGTGTGTAATAGAAGAAAAATTGGAGGAATTATTATTATAAACTACATATTGAGATCTATCAGAAAGATTACTTTCAAACCAAGATGACAGACAAATTTGAGTGTTGTTCTAGTTTGCGAGGGGTGAGTCAACACACCGATTACTGAGCTTTTTTTTTTTTGTACCTGTGTATAAAACGCACCCTTGCCTTTGAATTTTTTTCGGCGGCAAAAAAGTGTGTCTTATACACAGAGATTTACGGTAGTTGAGTCTTACCTGGCACACTTCTAATGAGCCTTCCAATGAAGCCACTGAAGTGAAGTCTGATCTCCATCAAAGTGGGTGAGTCCTTATCACTTTCACTTTCCAGAAACAGCCTCATACCCTCGATGTAATCAATGAAGGTGCTATTCAGAGGTTGTGTCTCCTTGCCTAGCAAGCACCTGTAAAGGTTTCAACAAAACATTCATGTTATTAGAACAGATCTTGTCATTAATAATGATGCATTCACAAGCTGTACGTTTGCTAAATAGGCCTGGCAGTTTAATGTATATTACAAGGCATATTTATAAACAACTCTCCATGTAAGTACAGATTATTTCTAAAGATTAAGAGTTAAGATGTGACCATAGTCTTAATGTGACAGTACACTACTAACCTCCAGGCCCCTCGCTGCCTCAGATAACGCGTGGCGCGTGCGCCTCACGTTCTTGATTTTGCCTGACCTTGCACCACGCCTTCTTGATATTAAACATATTGCGCCACCCCTTCTTCATTCAAAGAAAACAGCGCCACGTGGCGCCATGCGCGCACCACGCGTATTATGTTCATTACTTGACAAACGCGGCGCTACCAGCTACCACCTGCTCCAAAAGTATTGAAGTGCTAGCGTTCTCGGAACAGTACACAAACCCGTAGATCATGCAGTAGAGTGGGGAAAGAGAGAGAGAGAGAGAGAGAGAAGAGAAAATGTCAAGGCGCGATGAGGGAGAGAGAGAGAGAGAGAGACAGACACACCAACACACATGGATCACGCCATTGTATTCTATGTAGCTGTGTTGCTGTGGGGAAATGTACATACGATACGCATATATTGTGTGCACATAGCTTAGCGCAGCAGGCCTAGCCTGTGTGTGTGTGTGTGTGTGTGTGTTGACCTCAACTCGAACTTTCAAAGTCGCAAGTGTCTAATTAAAATATGTGCCAGTATGATGATGATGATGATGATATTGATGATGATCATAGTAATCACTTTAATTCCTAATTTGTTTGTTATTTCTGTGCAAAAACTGGCTCATTATTATAACTGACTTTAATTAAAAAATTATATCTCTTTGGTTTACCAAAAGGCTTACTTTTTCTTAATTTACTATTTAATACATGCATGCAAACATTTATACATAAAATCAGGTTTCAAGTACAAAAGAGAATTATCCAAAATATTTGCATAACAATAATGAAGTAGACTAGGCAGCGCAGGCATACATACAAACACTAGCCCCTAGAACTGACAACAGTCGGAATGGATTGCAATGAATAATTTGTAGCTGCAACCAGGAATGGCTGCAAAGCTCTCTCTCTCCATCCCTGTTTTTTTCTTCTTTACCCTATATTTAATTGGTATTTTAAGTACATAATAAGCATGCAACTTATTTGATGTCTGCATTATGGAGACTCCAACAAAATCTTTATAGTTTTGTTTATTTTCGCCTCCTTCCTACCAGCTGGAACATCAAATTTATTTTATTAACGTTTTATTTTGCATTCTTACTTTGATTGTAAGAAATAATTCAATGTTTATTATTGAATTTGAACTTTGAATCTCGACCCCCGACCCCCCAGTAATCAAGCACTTCATACCCGGGAGATTGAGGGAGAGGGTAGTAGTTGTGTTGGGAGAGAGATAGACGCACGGACCATGGAAAGGGTCTGAATGAATTTTTATTTCATATGCGTTTGCGAAGCAGCAAACCATGAATGAACTAAAGTAAATTGTTTTGCTTTAATTCCAACAGCCTATTTTGTAACATTGGGCAAAGCAATTATACATATGTGACCCGGCACCACAAAACCACCAAAAAGTAGCAAAAAATTATTTTCCTGATTTTATCTGATTATGAAAGAAGAAGTTCTCCTCATTAAAATGGTATATTACTTGTCCAAATTGAAGCTTCCTAACCCTTTCAATTTAGTGAATGAAAAGAGCTGGTGAGGGAGGTTACTGGTATTAAATTGTGAGAAAGAGAGCTTTAAAGTTTGGGGCTATTCAAGCATGCGGAGCAAGCAAACCACAGGGAAATCAATAGAAGGGTGAATCAAAAGGCCATAGCAACCACTATGAAGAGATTTTCAGATTAGGCTGAAATTTGGCCTGATGGTCAAACATAGTCTGTTCATTATGTTTCTGAGGTTTCAATGTGTGGACTTGAGTCTTTCAAAAGTTATTATGTTGTAAATGTATAGAGTTGTAATTAGACAGATTAAGTGAACTGCAACATAGTGCCGAGATACCTGCACTAGAGTAAAGGAGCCCGTTTTCGGCCACTTAAGACAAAATCCTTTTTTTAGGACCCTTACTTCCTATTTATTATCATTTTTTGTTCAAATCATGAAGCAAATATTATTATTATTTAAACAAAAAAAGAATCCCAGAAAAAAATCACGAATTGCCATGACAATATTCATTTCAATTTTCACTGTTTTGGAGCCAGTTATCGGCCGAGCGTTTCAGTTTACGGCCGCATGTACAAAGTCAATACGAAGCGCTCGCGCGCGCCATGCGTTTCCGCGCTGATGTACAGCACAAGCGGGCGGAGCAGGTATCCCACGCCGGAGCTCCCAAGTGCTCGCCTGGCCGAAGACAGGCACAGCGGTGATCGGAAGTTGGAATCTGAATTAGACAGAGATATCGTGTGTGCGTTGCGGTGTGCGGCTGCATAGATTTAATACATGCGGTGAGATACTTTTGAGCTTGCGACTAGCACAAAATCGGGCTCTTTATCTGAAAAATACTTGAAATAAAGCTCATTTTATGGTACCCATATTTCTTACAGACACGCGTAAAATACTCGATTTTTCAGATTCGGGTAGCGGGACCGCCGATTACATCGCTAAAATGTGATATTTTAGGATATATTTTTCATTGCAAATGTGGTTCTTCAGTGACACTGGCATGGTATGGTATGTGTGGGATATGTGTTATGCTATTATGCGATGTATTTTAGAGTGATTTTACCTTGCATCCAACCAATCGGCCAAAAAACTGGAGCTGGCCGATTACCGGCTCCTTTACTCTAGACAATGCCTATTCATGGTGGACCCGGAGTCTTTTTGTTCCCCCTTACATAACACTGCTTGTCACCTATCTTGTTTTGTATACATCTGGGCAATTATTTGTAACCACATTATGAACTTCGCCGTCGCTGTCTTGCCCGAAGTGTTCAGTAAGCAAAGCTGTAAGGTTGGCCTGATCCCCCGCAGCTAGCCCCCGCATCATCGCTTCGTTGACCGCCCGAGCTACCCGGGCATCTGCGTTGGTGCACCCCGGTACCATCCCACGGCTCTGCTCACGTACAAAACCTGACATTGTAACGACGTTGTAGACTTTTTCGCAACTTGTCACTCTCAAATGTATAAAATATAATAATGTTCTTACTCTTGATCAACAAATTCTGGATATGTGATGTACAATCAAGCTACTCGAAGTCGTTAACGGAGAATATAAGACGAACGCAAATCTGGAACTCGGATGTGAAAGCGGATACAAACAAAATGGCGCGCCGCACTGATTGCTATAATGGACCAATCACAGCCCGCGTAGCACGACCCGTTAGCAACGACCGACCATTTCCGGACTACGATAATTTCGCTCGGGAAAAGTGATCAAATTTTGGAAGAGACCGAAGGCTGTGCGAAAAAAACTGGTCTAGAAAAACCGTTTAAAACACATCTTCTACTATGTTTTAGACTTCCAAATTTTGATACTAGGTACAGAAAAGACCACTCTTTCAGAAAATGCAAAAAAACAAAAATCTATTTTTTTCACCTAAATTGACATTTTAGCTGATTACGGAGAATCGCTGGTTGCGACTTTTTGTTGGTTTTGTGGTGCCGGGTCACATATTATAGCTGTAAATAACGTAAGGGGGACTTTAGAATAAGCTATGATTGTAAAAATCTAAAAGAAAAAGAAGTAGTGTGAATTACAAAGTTTCAACATTCACTTAACATTTAATCACTTTCTGTGTTATTTATTTGGGAAACCAACTACACTATGTGCCAGACGAGTGGAGTCATCACTCAACACGTGGCCTTGGTCGATGATACATTGCAGACATAATCCAATCTTATTAAAATGCTAATGTCTCCCCTTTTTTCAGCTCAGATCCCTCCTTGGCGGCCTAGCCCTTTCATGTTTGCGCGCGCTCCCCATCAGACATTTCCCTCTCTCTCTCTCTCTCTCTTGCGCTGTCTCTTTGGTGAAGTTTGTTTTTGTTTACATTAGCTCAGAGGGGCAGGGGCTTCATAAGTCATGAATGAACTGATCTACTTTCTAATCTATGTTTATATATGGTTACTAAGCAACTATGCAGTCAATCAAAATGTTCAAATTCAGTTGTGGCTGCATGTTTTCACATCGCTCAATAAAAGCTCACCGTGATTCAGATTAACCAAATTCAGATATTCAACAATCATTTTTAACATAAGTATGATATAGTGAGATCCTACTCAAACTCGTGAATTTCTCATTTTTAAAGAACAATTTCCAGCAAATTACAAATAATAACTGGCCATGTTAATGACGCGGGCGTATAAACACGTCGGCAGCTTTTCTATTAATTGCTCTGGCGTCTTGGGGTCGACGGGTGTATATGTCATTTTTAAATCTTTACTTTTTTTTTCTTTTTTTTTTTTGGGGGGGGGTTAAAATTTCTCCTCGGGTCGCACCACACCTTTTTAATTTCTTGGCGAGAGGCCTGCTAACCTCAGTCGTGATTTAAATGTGTAAGAATAAAATGCCATAATACTAACCTTTCTCTGAACAGACCATGCTCGGCTATCAGCTCAAAGACTCGGATCAGGTGCACTCTCAGGAAATCTCTCCTCCTCTTTCGTCTCATGTTCTGTTGAAGGGTAAACAAAATAATGAGCAAAAATATACTCTTATTCATAATTGTGTAGGGAAATAATAGAGTTCTGGTATTTAAAAAAAGAGTATTTATTTACTTTTTTGAGCAGGTATTTCCTTCTACTAATTTCAGCCAGAAATATATTCGATGAACAGAAATTTACACATACACTGGTTCGGAAACAGCTATCTAAAAAACTCAGTATCCCCTTCCTCCCTCTCCCCCTCTCTCTCTCTCTTCATAAAAGGATAGAAGTTCTTACCTCTTGTTTCCTCTCTAGGGCGTCTTTGAGCGATTGCTGCAGTTCATCCATCAGATCCCTGCAGAAGATATGACATATAAAGATCATAATTTGATGAATGAGTATTAAACAAATGCTAAAAACCAGAAACTGTCACATGTAAGAAAAAATGCACAATTGTTAGATTTACTGATTCGGTAGTTTCATGCCATATAACTATTTTAATAAAAATCCAGAATTTGCAAAGGCAAATTTTCATGAACATGACTGTTGTAGAAATTTGAAAAATTTCTTTCTTTGATTTTGTTTGATAGATTGTAATATATTCATATTTTTATTGTGTAGAAAAATGGAGCATTAAACAAATAAGAGGTGATTAAATATTTCGATCCCTTGATTGGGAATCTTATTTATTTTATCTTATCTTATCCATTGTAATTATACATGTAACTCCTGACACATCTTTTTACAGCTAATAGTTATCCATATAAAAAGGATGAACAGAATCACACACTATACTCTTTTATTACAGTGAATGTTGCCAATACTGTACAGAAATTCCAAAGGCCAAGGAAAGGACACTAACCTGAATGCAAACATGTTTGTCCACCCAAGACCATTGACGACCGCCTCTCTTGTGTCAGTGTTATCACATCGGATGAGAGGTACTAGCATCTTGAAGAGGGTTGCTGCCGTCACACCGCTGGAGGAGCTATGAAGTCTGGCTTCAACTCTCTCAAGGTGAGAGGAACCATCGTACGATCCACTGAGATCAAAAGGCAAACAAAGCATTCCTTTATTGAAGAACAAAGTTCTCTTCCCTTTACATACCTTTGCAAAGTTGTCTTCTTATTATGTTCTAAAGGATATACACGTTAGTTCACACAAAGTCAAGCTTTCCTAGTATATACAATCATTGAATACGAACAAGATGTACATGTACTTCCTGATGATGGTCACAAATTGAACTTGGAAGGTCGCTCAAAGAGATCTCTTCCTACTATTAAAAGCGATGTCCACAATTCATTTTTTTTTTTTAAATATCAAGATCTATGTCTTTAGAAAGACAGAACAGTGTTTTTATTGTGGATAGTAACTAGAATATTGTTTGAACAGTGTTTTTTGTAAATTGACAATTAAATCAAAAAAATCCAGTGAACTACAAAATGTTTCTGGTAAGAGAAGAGTTGAATCTACTTGGATGCAGTCTTCTTATAATAAAGACGATATACAAAACTCTCCAAAGAAGAATAATAGTATTTCAATGAATGTTGGAATTAGAAGTTATACCTTCTAAATGAATCCGCTACAAATAACACGATGGCTAGTCATGAAAGAGTAAAGTAAATTACCTATTGGGTTCAGGAGACAAGCATCGTCTTGGTGTTTGATAGCCAGCACTGGGCGGGGCGCAGCTACACGCAAACACCAAGTAGTTCCTCCAGAGGGCGATATTGTCATCCATGGGGTGAAGAACCTTCTTGGAACGAATGGATGTCCTCCCTTCAGATGGAGCACTGTAATTAAACACAGCAATATGCACATTAGCTTTTCACTTTTTATTTCACTTATTTTATTCTACAAAATATTCTGAAGTCTGGCATAAACAACTGTGCTCAATACAAACTTAAAAGACATATATTGGGGGGAAAAAACATATCAACATTTGTTGGCATTAAGGTTGTTGATTATTTAAATTATTGCTCCTGCCAGGTTAGAATAAAACAAATGGACACCACTTTATAACCTACAAATATCAAACACATATCTTATCCAAAAAAGATACAGGTCTCTGCAGAATATCATAATTCCATACACATGAATATCTCAGATATACATGTAGGCCTGTTTTAGGTACCCATCCCCTATCGACCGGGACCATCATCTGTTGTCTGATAGATGTGAATATAGCAAACGATTTGATATGCATGGAATTGTCATATTTTGAATATCCAAATTTCAAACTGGCTTCATATTCGCACCTCGAATATGGAATATGGAATATCTTTCTAACTTCACTCTGCTCATCTCTATTGAGTCTCGGATTATGAAGGACTTGAAGTCAGCAAGTAAATCTCCTACTCACCTTGGGTCAATATGTCCATAGAGCTGGGTCAGCCTGGTGTTGACCACTGGCCAGGCGTTAGACACTGCTGTCGGGCAGTAGTGTGGCAAACAGTTACTGTGGAAGAACCTAGCCAGACATGACGCCCAAGGATTGAACCCTCCCATGCCCCTGGCTGCAAGCTTGGTCAGACTGTCACTTGCTCCGGACGACTCGTATGTGCTGCCTGACCACTGGTTGATTGAGCGCTCCACTACCCATTGCAGGTCCACTGTGGGCAGTGCAGTGATGGTAGCCTGGAAAAAAAAAGAATTATTTGAAACTGAGCTTATCCTATGCACTGCAAGTGTGGAAAATATGCATTTTTTTCACACAGAAAGGAGGGCATAAAATCAAGAACATGTTCATATCATTTCTTTCAAGACTACCAACAGTCCTTTTCAGGACTACACACACACTCAAGAAAGAAAGATTACTGACAGTCCTTTTCAGGACTTCCCAATCCTCTCCCCTCTATCCTGTCACCATGCAAGCGGATACTTTTGTATAAGCAGCATCTATGTTTATAACATATGCACATTTTCTTGGTTGGTACTCAAGGGCTTTATGCAATTTATTGTTCCACTAACTATTATAAAAAGTAAATTAAATGAATCGCATGGATACTTACCACTACCATACAATGTTCTATTTGTCTTGTTTACAAATACAAAAAAGTAATATCCATTCATCTTCAACTGATATGATTGCCAGTTGGCACAATATTACACTGACCCCTCAGTTTCATTGAAATAGTGAGACATAAGAAAATCATGAGCTAAATTGCAGGTATGGGCGTCTGTTCATTCATGGAAATACAAAAAGTAATATCCATTCATTTTGAGAAAATGTGAAAGTAAATGTGAATGACAAAGAAAAGTTACAGTTAATAAAAATGTCCACAAATAGTAGATGTTTAGAAGATAGTAGATATTTCTATAAAACTATTCTCTCTAATATTTTTCTAATAATACACGTGTATGGGTACACACTTCAGAACCCTTGAAAATTGAAATTGGTCATGTTTCATGGAGTCTATCAACACCTCGTTATTATTAATCCATCAAGGTCAAGGTTGCAACTGAAAACTTTGTAAGAAGGTGCATTATGATTGGCTAATGACAGGGTAGTTGTGATGGATTAGAAGCCTTGCATGATGTGATGTAAGATGGTAGAGTGACAGCCCTGAGTAGTCTTACCTTTTCTGCCGGTGGTAGTTGATGGATGAAGCTCTCTACCACCCCAGGGCAAGCTCTATCAATCACGTCTAACACACTGTCATCATCAATCTACAAATGGAGACAACACAATCATAGAATTCAGCACCAATAGAGATGGTTAAAGTTTTCATTTCAATGATCAAGTTATATTTTTTTTTCTCTAATTGTTTTCTTCTGGATGAATTTGCAGAACCCTTCAAATTAATTTTGATTGTTCAGTATCCTAACATTTAAATAACTACAGGAGAAATTCCAGGGCTTGCAAAGTGCTTATATTATCACAAAATTTCAGATTCATATAGCTTGAGAAGATTATATGTGAAGCTTTAAAAATATAAACTTGAACTTCAGCTGAGTTTGCACATTTCACCTATAAGCTTAGGGTAACTTGTCTAAATTATATGGACAATATTAAAGAGTTAATAATAAAATCACATCCAATGGGTAAAATCCCTCTGCTGATTCAATATATGAAATATACACATTGTCATAAAGATGTAAAAGTATTCTGACTGTTTATTGCATTGCATGTACTTATATTCTTGCTACCACAAAATCATAGGCCCAAATTCACAAAGGAGGTTTAAACCCTCATTTAGCGCAAATTAAGCATACATGTACCTTGCCTTTAGTGCGTCTAATATTGGACCTCTGACTGTGTCACGTTTATTTTGTGCTAATTTCAGACCATGGGTTACTGTAAATTTAAACCTCCTTTGTGAATTTGGGCCATAGTCTTTACTGAACAAATTACAGTCCCACTATGTTATACTCAAAAGAATGCTTACTCTTGAGTATCCCAGAATACTGAAGAGAGCACGGACTTCCTTCAAGACGAAGAAGCTAAGACGTCTGATGAGAGGGCGGCAGCTGCAGAGGAAGACCAGTGCAAAGCCTTCCACAAGGTTCAGTACATTGGCAAATGGGTTCCGTTCATAAGGAGGCTTCAGCTGTGGCTGCATCAAAGGTACCAAAGCAACATTGATAATCATCACTCTCTTTTCTCGTCTTTTTAATTTTGTTTATAAGGTACAGAAGTGCTTAATCTTAAAGAAATAATTATTTTAGAATAAAAGGGCATATAAACCCATAATGGTAATGATCAATCTTAAATCACTCTACAAATTAATAATTTGCCCATATAAGAATTTTTTTAGCTTTTTTACTAACAATTGAAATTTCCTCTGTAAAACACCAATTTTGGAGATTGGTACTTTTGTATTCTACACAGATATAGTTAAATTGCATGAAATATTTTTTCCAGAAATACAAATTGGTAGAGTATTATCTAATCCATCAAAGGTCTATGGTTTGAACCCCTTTCTCTCTTGGAACATACTTGACTTGACTTTTGTCATAAGAACTATGGAAATACATTCCAAATAAGTTGGCAGTCTAGGGATTCAAATTCTATTGAAAAAAGAGTGAATCCATTGCCGAGTGAATCCATTCCCTACTGAAACAAGGTGGTTCTTGTATTAAGCCTATGAGAATGTGAGAATCGAGTAGTGAAGTGGTTAATACCTCCTCTTCCTTGTTTGTTTCAGCCATCTTCCACTGTGAGAGTAGCTGCAGTAGCATCTTAAGGGCGCTCTCTAAGATGAGAGGGAACATATCATGGACCTCATGCACCATGAAGTTAACAAAACATAGGATCACATCCTCTCTCCAGTCCGGAAGGTCAACCACAACGTTCTGTAGTGATGTGAAGGCCAGGCTAATTCAAATCAAACAAATTATAAGCATTTAGATATATTTTAACATCTTAAATACTTGCAATTTGGGGAATATCGCACTTTACAAAAAATGTTTCCATGCAAATCTGTACACACAGTACAAAATGCATGCAGCAGAATAATACGCTGATTTTGCTACATGTTTTTCTTTTCTAGTGATCACACCTAAACTTGTTTTATCATTTGTCGGTGAACTAACAACGTGTTCTTACAGCAATCAAAAATGGGAAACTGTGGTACGCACATGTCAAATATGTTCTCTTTACATCACTGACATGTGAACAGTCTGATTACGTTACTTTCATTTGAACACAGGGTGAATTATGGTCGGTACTTTACAGCCCAATGTGGAAGAGCAATTACCAGAAATTTTCTTACAACATCAAAAAGCTCATATATTGTAAAAATTGAAGGGCAAAACATATCCCTGCTAAAGACAAGTTATAATTGCTGTATCTTTACATAAACATGTACGGTACTTAATACCCTCTGAGTTCATCCTCCCTATGAACAGACAAGCTAAATAAGAGTTTGAGGAGCTCCTTACTACTTAGTGAATCGGAAAGGTTATAGATGAACAATGTTAAGGGATGTTAAAGGTCATGGGTCAAATGTAAAAGGTTAAAGATTCTTACCCTCTGAGTTCATCATCCCTATGAACGGTCAACCTTGATAAGAGCTCCAAGAGTTCTTTACGACTCAGACCATCAGGAATGATACGTGGAACAGCTGCGATGCATGTCCTGAACAATTCAATCTTTGGTTTCCTCTCATTCCTGAAGTCAATCAAATTCAAAAGTAAATTTCATAAGTCAAATAAAATGTCTACATAAACTTCATACAGCATTGTTTCATAACGATAATGTAAAGAGTTAAATTGAAATATCATTCATAAATGTTCATATGTCTATAGTAAAATATCAAATTTTCAAATTAAATCATGTACAAACAGTCTGACATTACAACTAACCCTAGCTCTAAGCCTTAAAGGTAAAGATCAAATTGGCAACGCCCCCCCCCCCCCCCTCTCTCAAAAAATGAAATGGAAGTCTTGGTGGCCATAGTGACATTGTTCTGCAAAGCAAATCAAAACTTCAGACTGGAAATGTTGAGTCTGAAGCATCGACATCCAAACTTACATCATGGATTTAAACTTTGCAGGATTTAAGAATAACTTGAGACGAGTGATTTTTTTACATCATTTTATTCAGAGCACAATATTCCTTTTTTTTGTGGCTGATCACATGGGACAACTGTTGAGGAAAGCATTTTCTAAATATGAGGAGGAGAAAAAGTTTTCAGGTAAAAGATCAAAAACTGCTTGTCTGGTTCATGAAATGGCTGAAAGGTATAACCAGTTTTGGAAACGCCCCCTCTCAAAACAAGGGAAACGCTCACGGCAGTCTCGCCTACATTACGCAATTCGATATGATGAAAAATTGAGGTTGGAACATTATTTATAGGCAGGGTGGCCCATTAGCAGGCCCCAAAAAAATGAAATCCTCTGCATATAATCAGCATTTTGAAGTGAATATTGATTAAGAATCATGAACAAATAAGAAAAATTGATTCATTTATTCTCATATTAAGTTGTGAAAACATAATCCAAGTCTACTGACCTAAAATGACCTTTGACCTTGTGACCTGGAATTTGTGTCATATGACTTGTGATACTTGATAACCCTTGGGTACAAGTTTCATGGAATGTGAACAAACACTTTTGAAAATATGCTAAAAATTCAAAATCTTGATGTTGATGCCACAAAAAGTCTAAGTTTATTGACCTAAAATAACCATTGACCTTAACTTAGTGACCTGAATTCTACTCACATGATTAAGGATACTTGATTACCCTATAGTCCAAGTTTCATTGACTAAGAACTTATACTTTCAAAATTATATCAAAAATTCAAAAACTAACCTTAGGTTAAGTTTTCGATAATGATGCCACAACATAGTCTAGGTCTGTTGACCTGAAATGACCTTTGACCTTCACTTTGTGACCTGAAATTCTACTCACATGATTGGGGATACGCACATGTTGCGTAGTCCCATATACATCTTTCTGTGTACAGTGCTTGTAAATTTACCAAGACTGGGCCAAATTTCTTACCATTTTGATGATTCCAGAACCTTGCAGTACACACCAATACTTATATGCTAGATGATCAACCTTTTCTGATCGATTCCACAATGTTTCTTTCGCAATGCGATCGCATGACCATAACTGGTCTTTATCTTTAACCCAAATGCAACCCAAGCCGGCAGCAAATGTTGCGAGAGTGTCTGATCAACAGCTATTTTGCCAGCTATATGAATCACAGATCAAATTGTAAAAATCTATCAGATATAAATGAAAGTATTTACTGGGTGTAAGCCACAAATATATTTAAACTATTAAATGAAAGTAGTTGCAAACTCTTCTGACTGTGATTTTACAAAATAGATATTTTTATTTATCATATTCATTGGGTTGATATGATCAATACTTACGTCATGAGGTCATCCAGCTCTTTGGTCAAACACTGCGCATTAGTCATGAGAAGAGCCTTGCCCACCGTCATGTCCAGAGACCTTACAATATGGTCCAGGGCCTTCCTGATGCTGGGGTAGAACGGTGCTACCCCGATGGTCCTGGCTCCATCCTCAGTCAGCTGCTTATTGAGGAAGGTCTTACGTGTTCGGAGGGTGTTTCCTGATGGCATGCTGCGGGTGGTGGTGGGCATAGGAGGAGCTTCTTCCTTCTGCTGCAGGCTGTCAGCTATCACCAAGAAGGCCCGTAAGCCAACATTCATGCGCTATGTAGAAAAGTGTGAGAAGCAAATATTAGAAAAGCTGACAGAGAATAAAGCTTCAACAACATATGTTTTGCATCAAAATCACATCAGCAAAATTATTAACCCAAAATGTACCAAGAATGATGGAATGATGCATTCTGGAATATTATTCAGAGTTGTGCTATTATTCCCTAATGTTCATCTTCTTATCTAAATATGTATTTAAACAGTACTGCCCTCCAAGCTTTCTATCTTGCATGCTAATGAATAGGACATCTAATAATCACACACAGGATCAGGGTGATTTTAACCCCAGAGAAACTGAAAAATCTCATCTACGCCTCTTAATAGCACAGTTTTCCCTTTTAAAACTATTTTGGACATAATTGAGTGAAAAACACCGGCAGGGAAAATAGTTTGAGGGCGGAGCTCAAAGCTGGACATACCTCAGGGAAGAGCATCCTGCTCTTTCCTGTGACTCCCAGAAGGTCAAAGATCACATCCCTGACAGCAAACTCCAGCTTCTCCTGGGCAATGAACTGAATAATCTTCACAAAGATGTGGAGCGGTGTGTCCCGGGGGATGACGTTGCGAGAGTTCCGAGGGAAAAGGGTCCCTGTGATGCTCTGGAGGCGCATGGTGGTGCTGGTATTGCTTTCACATTGAATACGCATGATGTAGACCCATAGGAGACGGTACAGTGATTCGAGAGCAACCCGGGACAACTTGGTGTCTCGATGCTGTATAAAGAAACCACAGATAAAGTTGCAAATCAGGGAATGATTATTCTGATTATACAAGGCAGTGTACTATAGCTTCCTGGAATCAGTGATGATACAACTCTATACCAGGGCTTCTCAAAGTCTGGACCGCAGATTAAGGTTGAAGTACATGTACTCTGCTTTGGAAGGTATGGTTATCATAATAATAATAATAGGCATTTCTATAGCGCCATCTATCTAGATAATTCTATTCCGAGGCACATTTATTATTACCCTGGCTTAAGCCTAGCAGCCGTAATGAAAGTTAATTAGTGAACTTTCTTAATCTTTTCATTCTCATGTGGACTTTTAGTATATATTACTAGCAATGTCAGATGAAAAAGGATTGCTCCGAAAAGTACTACAATATTTTCATATATTTTCAATACGGACCAAATCTTTGTGTAGTCCCATGCTACCATATCTAAGTCCAGAGCTTTTTATTGTTGGTGATTATCAGCAAGAATTTATAAATACATGTACAAAAAATAACAACATAAACTTGATGATTCAAGACTTCATTGGTACGATATATTACATAACCAACTATTTTGAGTAATAGTATGTTTTTCCAATGTATTTCACAGTGCAACAGCACGACATCATCTCAGACGTACCTTGAGGCTGGACAAACAGAGTGAGAGAAAGTTGTGCCAAGTGGACAAGAAGAACTGTTTCTGACTGACGCACAGAAGACATGTGAGTAGGGGGAACGCTGCCAGGGCATGCTTCTTCTTGGAGCACTGCTCAAATGTGGTCTGGTACATCTTCTCCACAAAGTTCTTCAATACAGGGATGTTCACTTCATTCTTCACACACTGTAAATGCAAGATAATCAGTGGATTAGGATTATATGTTCATTATGATTAGGTTTTGCCTGTTTTTGCAAGTATGGTAAAAAGTGTATAAGAATTTTGTTTACATTGTACTATCTCATGAAGTTTCTGGAATTATTCCTGTGTCCAATTCAGTACTGCCACTGAGTCTACACCATATAACTACCATCACGCTACTACTACTACTACTTGTACTACTACTACTACTACTACTACTACTACTACTAGTCCTACTACCACTACTACTACACTGTACTACTTCTCCACTCCTACTGAGGTCTAGTCACAAAATGTGGGGGACAGACCAAACAATTATGCAACAATGATTTGCTGTGAAACCTATATATCAAAAGCAGTAATGGTAACATAGGTGCCAATCAACATGGCATCTTTAAATATGCAAATTTATGCAAATTTTATGAAAAAACCTATATATTTCAAGTCACGTTATGTTCAGATACATACCATCACCTTAATTTCATCAAATCCAGGCACTGAATCCAATGACCGGGGTAATAGTATATTTGTAAAGCGCTTAGAGACATTAGTATTAAGCGCTATATCAAAATTAAATATTATTATTATTATTATACCAATTGAACTTTCTTGATCTTTATGCTAATTCATGCAATCTTTTGCGTACCACACATTTTCAATTATGAGTTATATACATGTACTGGCATCACAAAAGTAGAGGGTGTTTTTTGTGTAGGTTTGGTCCGGCAAAATATATACCGATAATCTTAATTGCAGTATTCTGATTAAATTCATGAGTCTAAATGTAATTTATTATGATTACTGTAAATTGTCAATGTTACGTTCATAAATATACCAGCACCTCAAATTTGTAACATGCGAGTTTGGTCAGGAAAAAGAATGCAATGAGTATATTATCACCATTTTTATGGTTACTAGCAGAAAATGTAATTTTGTGATTTTTTGTGATTCACACATAAACACATACTTAAATGGAGCATCAAGAAATAATTTACAAATCCTCCAATTTTGTTAGAAACGGGTAAGCTTCCCAAAAATGATTACTGCTCCAATTAATAGATTATCATTCAAATCTTTCATTTTAATTTGAAAGTTACAAAGAGTCGCCTATCACCTTGAAACTGCCCTTCTTAAATGTATGATTAAACGTTTCTACCACAATCTAACGTTGATGGTATTTGCATTTCTAATGACATAAGACTCTTTATTTCAATTCAATGATGCAATAGTAGTTCACATTAACTTGTACATTAAAGCTTTATGGATATATTTTTATATAAAAACAATTCAGATTAGTTCACTGGAAATATGCTCCCTTATTACAATGAACCTGATACAGAAAGCTTTTGGTTAGAATGAACTTCCAACAGTTAGTAAATGGAAAATAATTGAAATGTTAACAGAACCCTGATAATTACATACTATATGTAATTTGCATATATTACCACAAAATTGCCAGAAGTTGCAATTTGAGTTGTTGGAAGCTGTGATAGAAATGAAGCTAAAGATCTAACAAATATACTAAAACTTTTATAGCACATTTCTAAACTCTACTGCCAATCATTATATAAAATATCCATAGAATTTATACTATCTATGTATTCAATTTGCATACAATGTGCATATTGAGAGTAATTTTTAATGAATATGCAATACAATTTGTTCTTGCTCCAGTGGAAAAGTGAAGCTACATTCAGTGTTAATACAGAAGTTAAATGTGAGGCTCAAGCTCTTCAATATGTACAATATCAACAGGACTAACATTATACATAATAAATCCATGAACTCTACATGAATCAGCATAGATTTTAAAGAAAATTTTATTTGAATTGACAGGCCCAGTAAGAAAAAATTAAGAATTAAAATAAAAAAGTTACAAGCTTATATGTAAAAAGTGTTATATTAACATGAATATACCCTTTTCTCACAAACTTCCTTGACCGCTCTACTCTAGACTGGTCTATGTTAGAGCAGTGATTAACGGTGAGTGTGAAGCACAACTGTGCCAGGAAGCGTGCCTCTGGACTGATCTAGACCACTCCAACGTGCAGTGTGAAGTAATTTAACGTAATGAGTGTATAATCAAACGAACCGTACCTCTGGAGTGGATCAGTCTAACATAGATCGGTCCGACACAGTGAGTGAGAAAAGGGGTCTCTGCAATATTGACTAAATGCATCAATGTGCATGAATTAGCATTTGCTTAGACATGAAGTTGTGATCTGCTGTAACCATCCTGTCGAAATTGAAACTTTAGGCCTAGCAAGTCTGTCCCAAAATCTCTACTACTACAATTATTACTACTACTACTTCTACTACTCAGAACTGTCAACATCCAGGACCATAAATTAGTAATCTGAAAGCCAAAGAAAAACAGTATAAATTTGGGAGGATATCAGTTATTTCCTGTATGAGAATGGCATTGGAACACTACTTTTACTATCACTACTTCTACTTTATTTCTCACCCCTCCTGTCTTTCCCTTGCTAGTATCCTTTTTCTACACCTACAAGGACCCAAACCAATCCAAGACTGGTCCTACTTACAGCAGCAATGGGAACGAGGATCTCCACCAGGAGGCCAGCGAGGGCGTGCTTGATATCTTTGTCCTTGACTTCCAGGTAATAATTGGCACACTCATGAAGGAGCTGAAAGGACGACTCAAAGTCTTCCACAGGAAACATCTTCACTCGGTAGAACTTGAGCCCCATCACCAAGCTGATGATTGACTGCATGATAAAACATTGATGGAAGATACAAAATGAAGAATGATAATAATAAATGATACTGGAGATTGTCGTTCATGAGAGATTAACTAGTTATGTGAACTGAAAAGAAATGACGAGTTGATGGTAGACCCAAGGAAGATAAAAGACAAACGAAAGACAGATGATGTATAAAAACAATGAGGTATGGACAAATTGCAGATATATTGAAAAGTCCCTCAACATAAAAATACAACCAGGATTTAGTTTTAAAGAATTTCAACAACAAAAAATTGTTGAGGTAATTAAAAAAAATAATTATAATGTGCATTGTCAATACTGTGAATCATCAACATCACTACCATATCTATTCAAATGAGATGGACGTACTACAAACGGAATTGCCATACTTCGATCCTTCTAGGAACGTGTTACAACCGTAACAACGTGACGTGGTCCAGCATCAATTAGCAGTACGACCGGGTCAGTTTGTAGCTTGACCAGGTCTGTTGGCAAACAGACCCAACTCGAATGTCTTGATCTGCACAGCTTGAAGCGTTGAGCGAGTATGAGGAACGGCAAGAACGCGCTGGATTTTTTATAGCCCTCGAGCCAGGGCGGGATTCCACACACACTATAGGAGCGCGTTCTAACGCACTAAGAACGAGGTGAGAATGAGTTGAACTGTCTCTGAACGGGCTGGTCGGGTTACAAACTAATGTAGTTAGAATGGGTTTGGACTTATTGGAAACAAGGTAGAACTAGTTAGGAACGGGTTTAAACTGGCTACATACGGGCTTGGACTGCTTGGAAATGGCAAATTTACCCGATCTGAACTTGATAGGAACTGACTGTGGATGAGGTACGGACAGGATGGACGCACATGTATTGTGGACTGTTTATGAACGAACCAGGATCGTATTATAGACATTATTTACACATTCTACGCCGACCACAAACCGTTTTACGATTTTCTATGACGGTTCCAGAACGTAGTGAGAACTAGTTTGGTGTGATGGGGGCTTTAACAGTGATGGGTTTTAAGTCATTTCATTACAAAACTAAAAATGAAAATTTAGCTAAAATTTGATTTGCATCTATGCTCGATGTTCAACTTTTTTCTTTACATTTTTCACTAAAATCTTATCTTTGCCCTGTTTTGGAGGCAATTCTTTCAGGCATACTGAACAATTGCTGTTGTTGAATCTATGCATTACAACCCATCTAGAAATACAATTATTTTAATGACAGGCCTTCCAGGGATTGAGAGGGGGGGTGGCACATGGCTCCCAGACTCATCTATGTTTCTCAAAAACCCTACCTGAGTTGTTTGGACATTCTGTGGCTCTGATCTGAGTTCCTTGAGCTCAGTGAAGAAGCGTTTTCTAACAGACAGGAATCTGGTTTGAGCCATGACACCCAGTACCTCAGCATATAGATCAGCTATGATGTGAATGTTCTCTGTGTTGACTCCACTCTGCAGTCTAAATGACACAAGGCATACGCAGAATAGTTTTTAATAATTAGGTTTAAGCTCAGCATGCAAGTTTGAGAGTCTTAATCTGGAAGTCTTTTGTTAAATATAAATACAAATGTACATATAATAATAATAATAAATACTTATAAAGTGCACATATCTTATAACTTACTCAAGGTGCTATACAAAACAAAATACGCAAATCTCTCTCCAGGATTGTAACTCTAAGTAAATAATACCCTTTTAACATGTTTCTGAAAGGTTTATAGGAATTCATTGGTTCAAATATCACATATTACATTCAAATATTGGAAGCTTGTTCCAGAGGACTATAATCGTAATTATGCATGTCTGTTTTAATAGCAGCTATATGTACTATACAAATATACACAACTGCAATTCACAAAGTATTATATTATAACCACCACTTTAGTCCAGCTGCTCAAGCATTCAAGGAATTTCTCACCCTGGGTAAAGATTTAAAAATACATCACCTGCATAGAGAGTTGCAACAATATTGATTGGTGTCTTGCCGGGGGACATTAGGGCTGTGACAAGGATTGGAACCCATACCATGTGGTTCATAGTCCAACGACTCATCCACCAGATCTACACATTCAGCTGCACCTCGCAGTTAAATGAAAGGCCTTCCCCCGTGGGTTTTTTAACACGGTTAATACACGAGGGCGGTTTATACACCTTTAATTACGGTAATCATGAGCTTTCTTTCTAACTCACCCTTCTCTACTCTTGAAATGTCTGAATGCTAGAGTCTCAATGTGTGTGATCATATTATCAGGTACAGGATGGAGAGGGAGTTGCTTCAAGACTTCAATCAAGACCAGACAGAACAGAAAGTCCACAGCAAGCTGAAATGAAAAATAGGTATAAGGAGAACAAGAATTACTGATCAAATTTGACAGTGTAATTTACTGAAACACTTTTCTTTTTGTTTTTGAGTTAGTTTAGCATGATTGAGACTATGAGGTGATCGCCTGACAGGCTGACCCTCTTCAAGCTCTGTCTTATTTTGCTTACTATTTCCTCACTTTTGATAGAGGCATCATCAATTTAGTACTAGTCTGTTTGTTTTAACACCGGGATTAATCTGGACCAATTTCAGACAGTTTATCTTGATATTGAGTGAAAGGAGAGTGGACATAGATTTGCAGTTTGGATTGCATGAAGTTACAAGTTGAACTATATATGTCCACCATTCTGCATGTATGCAGTGAAGTTCACTCAAGCAGCCTCTCTATTGTCCTCATGAATGGTCACTTGGATCTACAATGGAGCTGGTCAAGCTGATCACTTTTGTACTCTTTGTATCTACCCTGGGAAGAAGTGCATTCACTGGGCACTGTACTTTCAACATTGGCTTGTTAAGTGGTGTACAGTACAAGCTAAAACTAAAGCCACTGAAATTTCTGGGAAGTCGCCTTGCATACTATACAAATACTACATCAACTCTTCAGCTTCAACTGTTGATAGCGGGTGACGTGAACCCGAACCCTGGGCCTATTAGCAATGACTTGACCTTGGAAAAGCAGAACCATGCATCAACTACCTTACCTCCAAACAACCCGCGAAAATACAGCAGGTATGAACTTCTACAGCTTAATGTACCTGGACAACAGAGAACTGAACTCCAGAGAGAGGTAAGAGAGAACATTTGCTGTCTTGGTATTGAGAGAAGAAATGAGAGGAGAAAATGGAAGAGCCACAGAGGAAAAAGGGCGGGAAGGAGAAAGCAGAGACCTATCCCAGTACGTATTACAAAATGTAACCGATCTTCTTTGAACAATGCTCTGAAACCGGGAACTCATCATCAGAGTAACCTGATCAGTGTTCCAAGATTAAAAACTAACATTTCTTCTAGCACAAAACTGTGTCTGTGGAATTCTCGTTCCCTTAGAAATAAAGTTCATCTTATTTGTGATTATGTTCTTGAACATGACCTTGACATACTGATCATTACAGAGTCATGGCTGAAGGAAGACGATCAAGTCGTCATTGGAGAATGCACACCACCGGGTTACACGTTTCATAGTTCACCTCGAAAAACTGGTCATGGAGGAGGTATCGCAGTCCTCTTTAAGTCAGAGCTTAATCTAACTACAAAGCCAGTCTCTAACGTCACAACATTTGAATCCGTTCATGTTATCAGCAGGACATCGACACTTCACATCGTTGTCATCTACCGTCCACCACCTTCGACTGCAAATGGACTAACTGTTCCAGACTTCCTGAATGAGTTTGAGAGTTTTCTAACCGATTTATCAGTCCTTCCAGGCAAATTACTTGTGCTTGGAGACTTCAACTTCCACGTGGATCTACCTGCCAAACCAGACGTCAGTGCCTTTCTTCAAGCGACATCCTCCGCCAGTCTTCATCAGCATGTCATAGGTCCAACTCATTCGCATGGTCACACATTGGACTTGGTATTCACAAGAGAGACGGAATCCTTAATTAAGAAATGTAATATCTATGATGTACAAATGTCTGATCATTTTGTTATTGATGTTCAATTAGACATACCTTTACCGCAACCACAAAAGATTCTCACAATATCTCGAAATTTTAAAGCAATCAACAAGGAAATATTCTTGACAGCTTTGTGTGAGTCAATTTTGGATTTTAACCACCAAGGAGATCCTGAATCTGGGTTCAAGTGGTACAATGAAACTATGCAATCACTTCTGGACGAATCTGCCCCTCCAACCTCAAAAGAACGCCCTGTACGACGAAGGATGCTGTGGTACAACGATGACATTCATTTGGCACGTCGTGAGAAACGTCGAGCAGAACGAAAATGGAAAAAGACTAAATCAGATGTTGATCGAGATGAATTCTTGGACAAACAACGTTATTCATCAAATCTGATTTGTCGCACAAAGATAGCGTATTTTCATAGTACTCTATCCTCGTGTGAAAATAAGGATCTCTACAAGACAGTTGATTATTTGTTGAATAGAAAGATACCATCTCTTCCTGTACACGACTCAGTTGAGACATTATGTAATAACTTTTTTGTAAAATCATTTTCGTGTTTAGATCCTACAACTGAAGATGAGTTATTGAAAATTATTCTGGCTTCTCCTAGTAAGTCATGTAGTTTGGATCCCATTCCAACTTGGTTTTTAAAAGAACATGTACATTGTCTTCTTCCTGTATTGACAAATATTGTTAATTCATCATTACAAACAGGTACATTCCCTTCTGCAGCTAGGTCAGCCATAATTAGACCTCTTATCAAGAAGCAAAATCTTGATAAAGACTGCTTGTCAAATTATAGACCTGTGTCAAATTTAAGTTTCTTGGAAAAGCTCATTGAGAAAGTTGCTTGTCGTAGACTCACGGATCACATGAATGAAAATAGATTGTGGGATCCTAACCAATCTGCATATAGACCCTATCATAGTACTGAAAGCGCACTTATCAAAGTAAAAAATGATATTCTGTCTGCTATGGATAAAGGTCGAGTAGTTTTATTGTTGTCATTAGATCTATCAGCAGCCTTCGATACTATTGACCGTCATATTTTAATATGTCGGTTATCAACAAGGCTAGGAATCGAGGGTGCAGCTCTGAGATGGTTTAGGTCATATTTGGAAGACTGGTCCACATGTGTTGAAATTAGGGGGAAACAGTCAGTAGTAGCTTCTAACAAAGTAGGTCTCCCTCAAGGATCTGTATTTGGACCCATAGGATATACTATATATACTTTGCCTGTCCCAGACATCGCTAGACATTATAACGTTTCATATCACACTTACGCTGATGATACACAGTTGTATGTTACATTTAACCCTAAGCAACCTAATGGCTTAAATACTGCATTAAAAACTCTTTCAGATTGTGTCACAGATATAAGTATGTGGATGGGAAGGAATAAGCTTAAACTAAATGAGGAAAAGACAGAGTTTTTGGTAATCGGCTCCAAACACAACTTGGGAAACATTAATGATGTTAATCTTACATTCGGAACCACCCAGATTGCACCATCTACATCGGTCAAGAACCTTGGTGTCATTTTTGATTGCAATATGTCCATGTCTAACCAAATAGACCAGCTTTGTAAATCTGTACGATATCAGTTGAAGAATGTATCACAGATTAGGAAGTATGTATCTGAAGATGCATGTCATCATGTGATTCGCAGCCATGTTCTTTCCCGGTTGGATTATTGTAACGGGTTGCTTACAGAAGTCCCTCAAACATATATAAGAAGACTTCAAAGTTTACAGAACTGGGCGGCTCGTATTATTTTTCGTTTAGACCGTCGTCACGATGCCATGCCTCTACTAACATCCCTTCATTGGTTGCCAATCAAACAGAGGATTGTTTTTAAGATTCTTTTATTTGTATACAAATTTTTTCATGATCAGGCACCAGAGTATTTTAGTGACTGTCTTGAGTTGTATCAACCTGTACGTACAAACCTTCGCTCCAATGCAGACCCATTTCGACTGACATTTCATGTGGCTCGTAGTAAGGCAGGAGATCGCACATTCACTGTTGCAGCAGCTAAGGAGTGGAATAAACTTCCCTCCAGTATCAAAGCTGCTGCATCAGTGGATGTTTTTAAGAAACTCCTTAAAACCTATGTATTTCCTACTTGATTCGCTATTTTTTTGTTTTTTTTTGTTCAATGTTATGTTATGTTATGATTTGTGGTTATTATTGTAAGCGCTGTGATATAGTGTACTATGAATAGCGTAGCTAAATGCCTAATAATAATAATAATAATAATAATAGTTTGTTTATTTTTGTTTTATTATGATTCATGGTTAAAAAAGAAAAATTGTTCTCTAATGTTTGATGATATTTGATGTTTATTTATTCCATATCCATATACAATTATAATCTTTTATCTTTAGATGTATGATAATGACATGGTATATAAAGAAAAGGGGTCGCCTTAAGCATAAGCTTGAAATGATGTCCTTTTGTGGTATATTGTGCTCTGGATCTCAAGGAAAAGAGCTAATGTGGAGCCCTGGATAACAGATTTTGGACAGATTTTTAACAATACAAGTTTGACTGATGCCACCTACTGCCAATATACACTTGACTTGGCCTGAAATACAATTATACATGCGTCAAAGTCATTTTTCATCTTGAATTAGAGAGATGTCAAGGCATCATCTGTCACATCCTGTTGTAGTCACCTTGATACCGAGGGGAATGAGGCGATAGTGATTGGATCTGTCATTTCAGGATGTCATTCTACCATTGTCTATGTGGAAGGGTAATGTTACTGTACTCATGTCTCAGACAAGACTTGACATGGATATAATTTTGGGTTGCAGGTACATTTACTTTCGATTGTAGGCCCTGTTTCATCAAAAAAATAAAAAAGATCTTAGCCTTACAATCGATTTTATGTTAGGACGTGATCCGGATTGATTTTAAGATTAATTTTAAGGCTTGATGAAATGCGCTGAGAACTCAGGTTTATTTTTAAGGCTGGCTTAAAGTGGTATTATCATCAAAGATAAAATCATGATATTATTATCATTTTACTTACATCTCTCCGCTCAGATAGGTAGTCCTTTTCCCTGCAAAACAGATTTCATAAAAAAGAATCCATATCAATACTGCATCCATGAAGTGCATGAAAAGTAGACAAATGTAAATACCAAAATGCAAATGTAGAAATACAAAGAGTGTGTTATGGAAGAATATGATTTGTTCTCTGAATTTCCCTTTATACGCATGGAAATGGATGAAATGAAAACAAAGTAAAGGGGAGGAAGAATGAAAGAAAGACATCAAGGAACAAAATATGCCCCTCCCCCCCCCCCCCTGGTATGTACCATATCCTTTATTGGGACACAAACATTCAACACCCTGTTGAAAAATACGAGCGAGCAAAATAATTCTTTAATATCGGGCACACATTTTCCACAATGACTAAATTATCGTTTCCCTTTCCCTTCTTTTGCATCTTTGTGCCACTAGCGTACTATCAGGGCACTGTCCTTCTCTGTCAGTCACCCTAGATAAGGCCACATGATAATAATGAATTTATATAGAGCTTAATATTAGACATCTCTAAACGTTTATAAAGTACACAAGAAATATATTTAACTCTGATAATAGTAGAACAATTATACAATGTAATAGTATGCAATACTTAATAAAGTAAAAATCGGTTGTTTTTTTAGAAAATTTTTGAATTGATATGTAGTGGACGAAGCGTTATGAATGTTGAGAGGAAACGAGGTCCATAAAGTTGGGGCGATGGAGTTGAATGCACTGTCCCCATAGAATTCAGTGTTTGATCGTGGCAGTTGTAGGAGGTTAAGGTTCTTGGAGCAAAGATTTCTTGAGGGAACGTACTGTTTAATGATTTCGGAAATGTATGGGTGGAGGGCAGAACCATTGAGGGCTTCGTATACCAGGAGTTCAGAGGTGAACTAGCAGCCAGTGGAGATGAGAAAGAAGAGGTGAAATATGGTGATGGCTAGTGATAAGCCCTAACCACAATCCTAGCAACAATGCTTTGGGACACTCTGGAGTTTCTTTGTCTCTGAATAAGGGAGTTTACAGATAGCAAATGGTACAAATGACCTCAAATATCCACAGATCTTTTACACATGGAGAAGTTCCACTTTGAGCATATTAGAATAATAACTGCCAAAGTCCTAGATGTGCTTCATGATTACCTTTTGTTTGACCTCTTGAAAAGAATACTTCCATCTGCGTAACATAGAATGTACCGTTTAATGTTACATAACTTTCATGAGCGCATATCCAGTATTCATCTGTGTGGGTTAACCATTTTGGTACAAATGACCTTTATCTGTCCATGCGCAGATTGTATCTGTAAACTCCTTATTAGGAAGTCTGCATAGGAGAGCATTGCGTGAACTAGGATATGTGCTGTGTTATGGTTTAGGTAGTCTCTGATCTGGCTTATCTTTTGAATAGCTCCCATTGCTGCACAACATGTTTTAGTGACATGGGCTTTCATGGTGTGATTCTGATCCATCAGGACACCTAGGTTTCGATCACACTGTTGTAGCAGTGGCTAGCAGTTCCTGACCCATGTATATTTTGAGATGGATAAAATGTAATGTAATCAAATCTAAAGCAATATGAAGAATAAGAAAGTGAAGCAATTTAGACATGCATACAATTACCCTTTATTCTTTGTGGCTACTTTCTGTCTCTGAGTTCCATCTTCCTCATTTTGTAGAGAATACCAATCAAAAAGAGTCTTGAGTAATGATGGTAGACAATGCTCAGCCACAGCACTCAGAGAACTCAGCAACTACAAACATAAAAGAACCATATCCCTGGTTACAACACGTTAGTTGAAGGGAAACATATCATGGTAATAGTCTAACTTGTAACTTAGAAATACATGTTACAATTACATGTAGATTACATGAAAATATGACAAGTCACCATTTCGTAAACGATAGTTGTGTTAATATATTGGTAAGCTTTTTATTCTTTTGATTTGCTTGTCTGATCAGGCTGTGACTGATGTTAAAATTTGTTTGGGTTCATACAGTGTGCACTTTTTTTAATTACTTAGAATGCATTCCATATGTTAATTAAATTAAAATTACCAATGACAATGACCACAACAATGACATTTATTCTCATGTCACCCATAACCAGGGTATTGGAGAATTGAAATATTGCCAAAGTAAAATGTTGGTAACTCAAATGAACTACATGTACATGTATTACTCTTGTTAACTCAAATCATTAAAACTGATAGTAGTTCAATAAATTCCCATTTTTTCATATACATTTCATTCTTGAATCAAGAAAAGCAAAAAATAAATGAATAAAAGGCAACAATACATGCACATTTACAAATCAGGTTTTAACAATATACCGTAAGCTTTTTAAATAAAAAAGACTAAATTGTGCTGAACTTCCACATTGTTTCAGAATAAAGCAATGGCTTTATATGTTCATGAAACAATTAACTAACAAAGTCCCAGCTGGCTTCTTGCATCCAATATTAACTACTGCTAAGTGCCTGGCAGCAATTTGGAAGGAAAATAAAGGAAACAAGTTGAAACAATTATTGCAAAGATGTTTCCTGTAGCTATAGGTTGTTTCATAATACATGCTGTAAATTGAGATAATTTGCAACCGGAACACTTTTCAAAACAAAAACTACTTAAACAATGCTTTTATCTTCCTGTAGTTTATTGTATCGAGAACTTCGCTTTCTGAATGTATTAGGTGAATTTTATCCTTAAGATTTTGGTATTTATAGGCCTACACTGTACATATTAGCCGTATTCATAGATGGTCTGTGAAACAATTTAACATACCCTTTAAACTGGACATTAAAGACATTGTTTAACAATGTTAAATCTGAGATGCACAGCCCTACGTGTTATCAGTGTCTGTGATAATGGTGTAATATTGAAGCCTCAAAATGATCAAGAAGTGCCTCAAAAAAGTAAAAATCTTTGAGTGACTGGTTTTACCATACTCGTTTTCCCCAATAGACTGTGGTGTTATGAAAACCGTTAGGAAAACACAAAATTTGGTTTCGATTTCCAATTATAAATATCTTGATAATCAGACAGGCGATCAGCTTGTAAAAGTCATGGGTTCCCTGACTGACCTAAAGGTTTATAATTATCATTGCAGCATGAGTTAAACCTAGGATTTTGTTTCAGAATCTGAGACAAAGTTACCGGATCCCTTTAAACATTCTTTGTCTAAATTTAATCAAGATATAATTTACATCCACACAGCCTGAATGCCCAAATACACTTGAGAGTCCAGAAAGTCCTGAGTAGCGGTATTGACTATCCTCTGACCATGTTACACAGAGAATGAAGATGTACATTGGTAGAAAGCTGATTGTTCTATCCATTTAACTGAAAAAAGGACACGACTACCATACCCTCCGTTATAAAGGTGAGGTGCCACATGTAATATCCCCACTGCTCTGTGGGGCGAATGGGAATAAACATCATGCCTTGAGTTAAGGCATGACAGTTATTGACCTGCTATGCAAACTGCTTCACTTGGCTGTACTCCTTCATTATCAAAGGTTATTACATGTACTTACACCTCTCCATACATCTACATGTTGTGAATGACTTTGATATATATTTATTTATATATTTATATATGTCTTAATTATTCTCTCATTTTTAAAGGCATTACATGTATTAAACTTCTCCATGCATGTTGGGAATGACCTAGAATTACTATATAAAGTCTGAAAATGGAAAGAAAATTGTCCATGAATGTTTGAAATAAGGTCTAATATTCACATGTAATATTGAAGAAAAATAAGAATGATTCATATCAAATCTGAATATATATATATTAATTCATCATCATCATTGCAATATAATAATTTCCCCACTCTCTCTCTCTCTCTTTCTCTCGCTCTCTCTCTCTCTCTCTCTCTCTATATATATATATATATATATACACATATATATATATATATATATATATATATTTATTTATTTTTTGAATTATTTTTTTATTTAAAGAATATTTTTACTTGCAATAATTGGTCCAATATTTCAAGTAACTGTTATAGGTTGTTCATCCATCTATTATCATTTATTTATATGTGTACATGTATATAACTTTAGGTAAGAACAATAATGTTAACTTTATCTTTTATCATTTTTATTTTACATTTATATGATCATTCCTGTTTTTTATGCACATTTTATGTAAACATTGCATTATTGGTCCCTGGACTACTGCATTGTACATATGTTGATATTAATAAACCGAAATTGAATCGAATTGAATTGAATTAAATTAAATTAATTACATGTACATGAGTAAAATGGTATCAAATTGGTGCATCATATCATTTACATAGCATTTTTAATATCTCAGACAAAAACAAAGCATAGCTAATTTTAAACTCACCTGATCAAATTGCTGATCCTCTCCTCTTTGAAGCAATTTTGCCAGTGGACTTTCCTATAGTGTAAACAAATGTAAATCAAATATATTGATAAGAGCCTTTCGTATGTCTATCATATATTTTATACATACATCAAACAATTGAGCACTCAATATCATCCTAACAGTGGAAGTAAAGCTGTAAAGTAAGTTAAGCACACATGCAGCATACATCAACAAATAAAGTGTGCATGTTTAATAAACTAGTGGTGTAAACTTCAGGAGGTGTTTATTTTTATTATTATATAATATATGCATGATTTATTGAATAAAGAACAGATGTATAAGTTGTGTGTTTATTATAAGTTTTGGTAAATAATTTTTTAGTCAGACTATGATGCGCTTAGAGACACCAGTATTAAGTGCCTAATAAATATTGTGTATTATTATTATTATTTAATACTGTGATGGTGTTGGATAGCCAGTTATGAATCTTACATTTATGTACACTTGTACTCTGAAATGTACTCCTTCCTTCTCTCATTGTCATCTACTTCCTTTTATTTCCTCCCCCTTACTCACTCACTCCCTCACAAACATTCTCTCTCACCCTCTCTCTCTCTCTCTCTCTCTCTCTTTCTCCTTCTCTGAATATTCCAAAACAAAATTCTCTTTATCTATACCAGTCTTCATTCCCATCTTTCCATTTCAATATCTTCTCTCTCTCTCTTTTTCAATTATCTGGAGTTCTGTATTTTCTCAATTTTGTTTGACTATCCTACAACTGCAGTGTTGTGTCTGTTGTGACTCAATTGCTTTTCAGCATGAAACTCTCTGTCCATCTTAACCATTCAGGGGATTTACAAACATTTAATAAATGCAATTCTTTTCAGGTTTTACTATAAATGAGGCTCACACAAGAGGACTCTTTTGCTTACCAATGGCTCTGTCATTATCCTCTCTATCTTCCTCTCTGCTTGGATGGTGAACTCTGCAAAGAGACTCTGGAGGACATACTGACCAGGCTTCACGTTGGTATCAAGGGGAATGGTGGTCGTCGACGTCGCATCCTGCTTGTCCTCCTCCGTAGGCCTCCGTATCCATGGTAACGATACATCAGAGGTGGAGCTGGTGGCTAGGCTCAGGTTAGAACCTAGAGAAAGGGATACAACAGACACAGAAAGACAATTTAAATGAACAATCAGAGCTGAAATAATCAAAGGCATTTTTTTTACAGCACTGCAGTACATGTTCATGTATGTAAACAGGTTTTATTCAGTGTTCAGGAAAAAGGCCCTGTTTCATAAAACTTGCTATCAATAGCAAATGCTAAATTTCTATGACAATTTGCTCTCAGATAATCAAATGCCATACATGTAGTTTCAGTAGCTTGTAACAGCTATTGTAACTTGTTATTGATAACAATTTTTATGAAACGGGGCCCAGAACTAACAGCCCCCAAGATGAATAGCATATTTCAGTTGTATGTGCCTTCTGGAATGCTGAACCTGTCTATTAAGGTCACGCGAGGAAACAGAAAAAGCAGCAACTGTAGGCAGGTGGCCTTTATAGACAGGTTCTACAACACTACTTTATTTCTTGAGGTAGACAAAATACACGGCTACTATACACAGCGGGCCTTTATCAGGAGTGATAGAGAGCACTAAAAAAAAAAATTAGTTTTTTTCTTCTTTTTCCTCAACTGTCCCCCCCCCCCCCCCTTAGGTAAAAAAAAAAGGATTCGGGGGAAAAAATGGCATCTAAAACATCCCCCTCCCCCCTTTGGATAAAAATTAAGGGAAAATAACAAAAATTAGGGAAAATAAGGAAGATAGGGGTAAAATCAGGGCGGGGGGGGGGGGAAGAAGAAAAAAATCAGGGGGAAAAAAAATCGAGAGGAAACTATTTGCGGTTTTGCTATAAAATTGAATTTTCTGTTCATAGGTTAATGAAAGAATCCAATATTATTATTACTATTATTATAATGGGTTTGTCTAGGACCTGCAATATTCAATCAGAGTTGGTAGAATTAATTTAATACATTTCTTAAAAAAAGAAAAGTGTTCATCCTTTCTTTTGGGGCTGACCTTACATGCCCTCCAGCAGGTAAATGACCTGCATTACGGTATTCTTAATTGCACAGAGAAATTTCCTTCAATCTGTCTTTCAAAGTTGAATGAAGGTGCTACGAAACATCATCAGGAAACTGCCTAGCTACATGTAGTCATTATGACTGAGATCTGAACGTGACTGACTGACCAGCATACAGGGGTAATGTGTGGGTGACTGGGTAATGAGATAAATGTTATGTAATTCTAGCAAGGTAGACAGACAGACAGCAGATGAAAATCTGGATGAAATTTCACCAAAGATCACTTCTTTCCACTGTCAAAATTAAATGGAGCTCTAAGTTACATGTTCTTTACTTTATAGTTTCTATTATCTGTGTCAAATCTACCTACATGTACATGTAGTATCCATCATGATTGCGTTAATTGTCTTTTTCAAATTTAAATTTCTAACTTCTCTATATATGTACATGTACATTACATTTGATAAATCAATCATTACCATACTAATTATTTGGATTCAGGATTTACTCAAACATTTCTTCTTTTATCCCCCTCTTTTTTCCCCTCTTTTTTCCCCCTCTTTCTTACTAAATATACATACATATATTAAATGATACAGTAATTTCCATTCCCTGTAATTGTTATTCGTAAATCTATTAATGCCTATGTGATTCATGTACAGATGTTCATGAGTACAGTGTAAATCACAATGTCTATTTTAAATAATTCTTTAGAGGGCAGCCACATTCTTCTGCAAGTACTAAATCTAGGGGAACATACATGTACATACATTTTAATTACAATACAGGGCAACCAAAAAAATTGTACACTCTTTAAGTACATGTATTAACATGTGTAATTTACTTTAAAATACAACCCACATGTACATGTACATGTATGGACTTGCACTTTAATCACCAGTTGAAGTAATTATGTGTCTTGACAAGCTCTTTATAAATCCAAGACTTGTTTGTTTGCAGAGTACAGTCCTGCTAAATAAATATCATTTCTGTCATCTGCACATCCTGCTACCGACATCAGATCTACAAAGCTAGAGCTCTTTGCCAAACCTTGCCAGAAGGCTGCTGGTGCCCCAGTTAGGATCAATGATATCATATCAGTTCAACGCTATTACTATCGTAATAAGAAATCAAATCTCTCAAGTTTCCTGATTCAGCAAGATTGGACCATACGATTGTGCTTTACAGCAACTTGACCGGGAGACACAAATCATTTATAGGGTGCAGTGAGGAAATTCAGATGTTATTAAAAACAACCCAAGACACAAGGCTACATGAACATCTATTTATATATTAGGGCTGAAAAGGGTAGCGCTTTGATATATTAAAAGGTTAGACATTTTCATTGACTAAAGCAGATTTTGGAAAGCAATTTTCTTTTCTTCAAGTGCCATAAAAAAAAATTTAATGTATAATAGCCTGTTGTCAATTGGTCAACTACAGGAAATTTTGTGAGGATTAGTGGAAAAATGCATATATGTACATTTTTTAGGAAGAGAATGTCATTAATAAAACTATGAAGTATGAATAGTTGTTTCCAAACTTTTTTTTGAAAAGCTTTCACAAATTTGAGGAAACACATCTTCCTAAAAGTTACTGGTACAAAGTTCAAGAATGCAGGAGCTGATGCTACAAAGGGCCAGTTTCCCGCTAAGTTTTCCGCTAGGATGAACTGACAGAAGACCTTGTGTTGATAGTGTTGTATATTTATTCTGTATTTAGATACTATATCTGTGTCATTTCTAATTATACCACTCCTTTTCTCAAATAAATATGATTACAATATGAACAATGTGCCGCTACATGTACATGTAGTAGACATGTCAGTCAAGGTCAAACACTCTCAAAAACACTCATACATGTACATGTAAAGCTATACAAGAACCCACTATTATTATTTATTATTAGTAAAGTGCAGATAACAATTTCTCATATATATTCATAGTAGAGAGCATGTAAAATAAAATATGTTTGAAGACATACAAATAGCTATAAATATCAATTTGTCTACATTATTTCTCCATTACAATTATCTCTAATATTGTATCTATACAAAGCTTAGGAATATATTTCTGTAGTGCAGTTTAAGATATTTGAAAATTAATTAATTCAAAAATCATTAAAAAACAACAAAATCGCCATCATAAAAATGATTGAAAAGTAACTTTAAGCCAACTTCAAAATTGGAAACAACGTTCATAGTTCATGGTTATGACATTCTCTTTCCAAAAATGCTTGTTTCCAAAAATCCTCACAAAATTTCATCAACAGCTGTTTTTGACGACAATAAATGAAATATAAAACAGAACAAATGAAAAGACCATGTCCGGTAATACTGTACATGTATGTACCATTCTAGAAACATGCATATAAATATTTAAGACCTATACCCGATGAAAATACCATTTTATATAAATGGAATACTGAATGAATGTAGAATACAAATATAAAGGAATAAAAAGTATTTACCCTTTCATTATTGCACAAAAGCAAATTAAAACCTCATTTTCCACACCCCTCCAAATTACGGGTCAATAGGGGTCAAATTTACAGTGACGACATAGCATGTGGACCCCATCCGTTCACTTACCTGTACATGTATATACATGTAGCTGAGGCGATGAGCCGCGCTTAATTAATGCAAAGTCATTGTGAATATGCACACTCCACATAAGATGATGTCATCAATTCAAAGAAATCAAATTACCTGTCCAATATAAAATGGACTGCCTACCGATATATTCAGGGTGTAGTTTCAGTTTCTCATTCAGTATTTAACATTCTACACAAGGTGAATGTACAAACATGTACATGAATTATGAATATCATACATTATATAATATTAGCCTCCAGTCTACACTGTACATGTATGTAGATTAAACAAAATGTCTCCTGATGATATTCATACATGTAATACAGATAAGTCATATAAAAGCGATGGTAATACACAATGAAACATGATACCCAACCACATGGCAGCTAGACTCATTTTTCATGCTGGAGGATCACTCTGATAATCAAATTACATCCAAATAGAAAGACTAGCTCAATCATTCTTCCAGCTGTGCATTATGATAATGCTGTCTATAGAACAAACTACCTACTTGAACTTTCTCACTTCAGATCACAGAGCTTTGTACCACGTTGTGTACATGATATTCCACAGACTACATGTAGTATTGCATCACACATAATTCATATGAGCCCTGCATGAATATTGCACATTCTTTGTTCAATGTACAGTATCGTAATGTCAAATAGTTTTACTTAGGTATAATTAAAGGTGAATTGGTTTATTTTACCAGAAATGTTTTTTGGTATTTGCTTTTAATATCGTTGTCATATATTATGTTGTTTACATATTCAAATTTGTCATGATTGTAAAGCACATAAAGAAATTTTCAATTTATTATGCACTTAATAAATATTCTCTATTATTATTATTATTATTAATATTTAATACTACATAGATCTACATGTAATGTGCACGCTGCTGCTGCCTGTATTATCATTGTGGTTTTCGGTATGACAGCTGATATCAGTACACTGTGCATTGTTGTAACAAAGTTCATTTCATATCAGATACCATTACCAACAATATTGCACACACCTTGGTAAAGACAGAAAACAAGACAGAGAGAGAGAGAGAGAGAGAGAGAGGGACGGAGAGAGAGACACACACAGAGAGAGACAGAGACAGAGAAAGAGAAATAGAGAGACAGAGCCAGGCAGAGAGACAGACACAGAGAGAAAAGCAGAGAGACAGAGACAGAGACAGATACAGAGAAAGAGAGAGAAAGAGAGAGAGAGACAGATACAGAGAGAGAGAGAAATAGAGAGATCTAGAGATAGAGATTATGTACATCTTACATTTCTAGGGACCAGATACTGCTGAGAAAGAATCTAGGGAGGTACATGTACCTGTACATGGCATCACTTGCCAACCCCAGACGATAATATGAAAATAGACCAGAGTTACATTGTGTCTGGCCACTCTAAAGCTGTCTTTCGTAAAGTAGATTACAGATAACTGCATGTTATTTCATCCCCTTTGGGCCCATCTACATGTACATAAAGAATGTATGATGCTAAATAGGCTGTATTAGCCATACATGTGCATTTTAATGACTTTCTGTCTCTCAGAAGATGGTGCAAGATTCAAACAAAATTCACAACTTGGAAAACGTGCATTTATACTAACCTGTGTATTCTTCGCTTCTCCTCGAAGACATTTGGTTCCTTTCTTATATTTCAGTAGAAGCCATCCTCACAAGTTACTCATGGACTTCTACGAACAGTTGTTTGTGCACATCCAGAATTGTTTGTTTTGAAGGTGTTCCTGTCATATAAAACCAAATAAAGATTAGAGTTTTGCATCATCATGACAAAAAAATTATATGAAGAAAGAATGAAACACACCTTTTCAAACTTCTTGCCTTTTATTAGACAATAAACATGTACTCTATATTTGTAGATAGTTATGATACTTTAATTGTATTATCTTATATGGAATGTCTATTTATACAAGTTTAGGCTTTGTACTAAACACATAAACATGTATTATGCTAGATACTACATGCACAGAATGTAGCGTTAGTTGTACCTGTATGTAATAATTCATACACAAATTGATAAATGTTAAGATACTGTACTTTTCTGGTCCCTATTATTCATTCGAGATATTTGTTAAATAGACATTTATTTTTGTTATATTACTGTATTTTAACGTTTGGATAATAAAACCTCAACTCAACTCATTTCACAGCTCAAAAAATGTGAATACATGTAGTTACCCTTTTTCATGACATGTATGATTGTGAGAATAGGATTTATTTTGTACAGCTAAATATTTTTCTTTCTCAGAATGTTATTGATCAATGTATAGAGATATAGAGACTAATCAATGAAGTTCTTAAGGAGAAGGTTGAGTTCTGGGAAGAGGTAAAAAATAATTTGTGAGCTTTATCATTGTTATTATGCAAGTGTGAAAACACATCAGATACAAAATGTTCCCTGAAAAGCATGGCTCTTCAAATGCTTCCATATTCTGAATATGACATGTAACAACATAAAAATCAGAGACGGATTTTTATGCCACATGTTCATGTAGCCCCATATACATCTTTCTGTGTACAGTGCTTTTAACTTTAACAAGACTGGGCCAAATATCTTATCATTTTGATGATTCCAGAACCTTGCAGTACACACCAATACTTATATGCTAGATGGTCAACCTTCGATTCCACATCGTTTCTGTCACAATGCAATTGCATGACCAAAGTCAACTTCATCTTTAAAAGATAAACCATATTGTCATAATCATTTAAGAATAGAGATAAGAAAATTATTCCAATGTTATGCACACGATAAAATGTTGTGTAATCCCTCAGTGACCTCAACATGTAATCATCCAATGACCTCAACATGTAATCATCCAATTACCTCAACATGTAATCATCCAATGACCTCAACATGTAATCATCCCATGACCTCAACATGTAATCATCCAATGACCTCAACATGTAATCATCCCATGACCTCAACATGTAATCATCCCATGACCTCAACATGTAATCATCCCATGACCTCAACATGTAATCATCCCATGACCTCAACATGTAATCATCCAATGAACTCAACATGTAATCATCCAATGACCTCAACATGTAATCATCCAATGACCTCAACATGTAATCATCCAATGACCTCAACATGTAATCATCCAATGACCTCAACATGTAATCCTGTACGACTACAAGGTAGGATTACTAGAGCTAGAAGACGTTCGCTGGACGGCTTTCATAACACTACAGTCTAATGGGGAAAACGAGTATGGTAAAACCGGTCACTCAAAGATTTTTACTTTTTTGAGGCACTTCTTGATCATTTTGAAGCACGATTTTTTTAGGGCTTCAATATTACACCATATCACAGACACTGGTAACATGTACATGTAGGACCGTGTATCTCAGATTTAACATTGTTAAACGATCCCTTTCATGAAGTTGGATGAAGGGTGGTGGTGATCATGATGATGATGATGATGATAATCAAAGAATGAGGAAATTGGTGATCATGGATAATGATGATTACTGTATGGTGATGATGGTGATGATGATGGTGTTACAACACATGTGAGAGGGAGAGGGAGAGTGAGAGAGAGAGAGAGAGTGTGTGTGTGTGTGTGTGTGTGTGTGTCAGACTGAGGGGGGAGAAGTTTTCCAAGAATAGAGTGCTAACACTCCAACATATTTAGAGTAATTATGTAATTGTGATATGACTGATATGGATTAGATTACATTGCCATTATTATTAGGGAGTTATTTTCACGGTTCCATTTGTTAAATACAGATATATGTAAGCATTCTTGCATATACTGCAAGACAAAATTTGGCTAGAAAAGATACAAGACATACTAAAATGTATCACTGCCCCAAGTTGTAAGGATAAAAATTATTTTATCCTGCATCAAAAATTTGTTGGCTTTTGATTGGTTGAGAGCTCGTCACATGACCAGAAATATTTGACCTATTTTTAGAAAGCACTATATGAGAGTACTGTACTATTTTGGTTTACTATTTGGGAGTTGAAAAAAAATGTGAATTTTTTTTTTTGAATTGAATCAATTTTTTTTTTCAAATCTTAATTTAATGAAAACAAAATATTTTAAATCTTTTTAGATAAAAATTGACATTTTTTTTTGTTCTAATTTTTTTTTATTTTTTGAATTTTTTTTTAAAATAATTTTTTGATGCAGGATATAAAACAAATATACCATGCCTTCTATTTGAGGTACTGGTTAAACTATGGGCCTCGGTGACTCCAAAAATACTATTTGCTTCAGGGCTGCGCCCCTCAGCAAATAGTAATATTGGAGTCACCTCTTGCGCATAGTTTTAACCAGAACCTCTCAAGGCAGTGTATATTTGTATACTATAGTAGTCATATCCTGTCAATGTGGAAATAAATACCGGTAATACTCTTTAGCATTAATTAGGCAAATTGTAGACAAAATAAACACTATACACACCCAATACCTCAACCAAATGAATAAATACATGAAGGTACATGTATGCTGAAATATGGCGTACATTTTTGTACATTATTTTCATAACAAAAATTCTCTCATTTCTTGGTGAAGTGATGATCTCATCACAGGCTGTACTCTATGCATGACTCATCATTTGTATGTTGAGGAGAACCCTCCAATTCATGGGTGTTTACATGTATACACACACGTTTGCTTCAAGGCATGCACACTACACACGTACTGAACACCTACAGGTATATCTGCTATGTGCAACAAATATTGCATCGCCATGACCAGTACAGTGTAGTTTATCAAATGAAGAATCCTGGAAGACCTGGATTTAAAGACAGCCCCCTAAAAACATACATCATGGAAATTATACTTTGTAAATGCAAAAACAAACTTTTGTTGAATGCTGTCTTTTCCTAGCTCACCCCACTGGCACCGTTATCTCTCAAGGTTTGAGAAAATATGTGCACACACACACACACAATGGCAGTCATCCACATTGAAAAGGAAATTTACATCCCACTAGGATTTAAAATATTTGATTTGATACTTTTTTCTGAATATTGTATATTCATAATCATTGATTTTTATATATATGGTTTAACAAAATTCATATTTTTAATGATTTAACTGAAAAAATTACTCTATATTAGAGCATCTACACAAAAACATATTACTACCAATATAACTTGGATGCTGGTGTGAGGAAATAAGATTTTTAAGGGAAAAATTGGAAATGTATATTAACAATATAAAGAAAACAATGAGTGAAAAGTGAGGTAATGCTGTCACAGACTCATGATGAGTAAGTTGCCAATTTATCTTGAGATTTTCAAAGTTTTTCATGTCATTCAAAATTCATAACTTTCTTATCCGATTTTGCTCAAACTATTTTTGATTGGTTTGTCTGATTTTTGTTTGCTTCTATTGAAAGTAAGTTATTTTTGTGTACTTGCCCTTTAAAGGTCAAATAATTACATTCCCATAGAAAGTGGCTTTAAAGTATACCGGTTCCCATTATAAATACAATTTATCCGTTGATTATTTGAACTACCATGCATGTAATGAAAACTTGCTGGAAATAACATTTACTGAATGAAAAGCACAAAAGGCATACACTGTACATGTACAGTGTATGACCAAATATTTTACTGGTTGACTCAAAACTAGTCTGATTTCATTATTTTTCTTTGCAAAGAGGAGCAGAATTGCGATCGGGAGATTGGGGGTCATTCCAGAAGGCTTGGAAAACGTTATTGAATAGAGGGGGCCAACCGCATAAATTCCTGAGCCGTCGATTTGAAGTTAAACGGTAAAAACAGCCCCTGCGCTACAAAGGTCATCACTCTTTGGTGAGAAATTTGAAAAAGGCACATCATTTTGGATTTTTGATGATGGGGCTGGTGGCAGGGGTGGGGGGGGGGGGCAAAGTGCCCAACCCCTCCCCCCCCCCCCCCATTTTTCCAAGTTCCTCCAAAGGGCCACTTTTACTTCGTAAGAAGTGCCCCTTCCCCTTTTTAGAGCTATCCCTTTTTAACTCGGATAAGCGCAATTTTTTTTTTACACATGTGCCCCCTTTCCTTTCGAATAAGGGCCTCTTTTCCTTTATGATAAGGTCAATTAAAAAAAAGAGCCCCTTCCCCTCTCATAAATGCCCATTTTCAGCTATGAAAAGTGCCCCTTTTCATCTCTGGTAAATGACCTTTTTCATATAAGAGAAGTTAATTTTTTTCATTTCAGGTAAGTGCGATTTCACCTCCGATAATTGCCCCTATTCAAATCTGAGAGATGCTCGTTATATTTTGAAAAGTACACCTTCCCCTCCTGATAAATGCTCTTTTCACCTCTGATAACTGCCCCTTTTATTATAAATTGTGCCCCTTTTCCTTTCTAACAAGGGACCTATTCCTTTTCATAAATGTCCCTTTTCACCTCTGATAAATCAAATTCTGATGGATGTCCCTTTTCCGTCGACAAATGCCCATTTCTCATACTCATAAGTGCCCTATCTCATTTCTGGTGAGTGCCTCCTTACAGGTGTAAGAAGTGCCCCATTTGAACCTTTGATAATTACCCTTTGTACCTTGACACGTGCTCCTTTTCTTTTACTAATAAGTGTCTTTAGTCATGCCCCTAATTTAAAGCGGCTAAGAGTAATTTCCCCCAAAGCTCTAATATTTGTGATTGAATGACCACCCACTTGTATCCCATTTTCAACTTCCAATTCTCTTAGAATAATTTCACTATTAGTGAACAGGTCTGGCAACATAACACAACCCTGTCCGACTCCCCGTCTGATG